TGGGTGTTGGTCAAGGAGATTGTTTGTTTTGAGTTCGTGTTCAAAGGCGCTGGCGTTGTATGGCATGATGATTTGTTCGTAAAGTTCGACGTGTTCTGTTGAGGCATCCGGCGATGCTTGGCGTGTGATGATAGAGTCTGCAAAGTCATGGAATCTGAGAGGGGTTGAGGCGAGGAAGTCCCTGAGGTCTTCTTTAGACAATGGGGGGCTGGGCAGTGCATTCCCATTTGAATGCATAGTGGGAGGTGCTGCCACAGAAGGTGCAACAGTGCTCCTTGTCGCAGCCTCTGCATTGCCCTCAAAGATTCCAGAACCAGCAGATACTTTTACCTCCCGGCGTGCCAATGATGCCTCTGTTATTGCGAGCCCAGCGGAAGGGTCCGTTTTTTGTATCGTCGCATCCATCAAGCTTGTGACCGCGGGCGGTGCATCCGAGGCAACAAGGGGCCGCAGTTCTCTCCTTGTTGCCTGTTGGAAAGGGCTTTTGGCTCGTTGAGGATGAGTTCGTTTTGGAAGATGGAGTCTGGATTGGGGGAGGGGCAGAGGAGGTCACTGTGTACTTGGCATCTGAGATGTATTTGGTGTGGACAAGTGTCCATTCGCATTCGTACGTGTCGCTGTCGAAGGCGTAGAGTTTTGACTGATGCTCTTTCTGGAGTTTGATTTCCACCTTGAGCCAGTAGGCGAAGAAGTCCTCTGAGTCTTGTTGGTTTAGGAAAAATGCGAAGTGTTCGACATAGAAGAGGGCCCGGGGAGCCTCCTTTCCCAGTTCTTCGTCTCTCAAACATTCAAACTGATAGAAATTCTTCGCTGCCTGACTCCACTGGATGAAGTCAAGGTCCACATCGCGGAATATACCACCTGCCTCTTTGACCCACTTGGCTATTTCCTTGAGGTCAAGAACGTGCGGTTTACCCTCGAGGTGAGAGATTTTGGCTCGTTTTAGCTCAGGCATGTGCGTGGTGATCAGGTCGAGGTTTTTGTTTGTGAAGAGGAAGAGGGGGAATGTAGGGAACACGTCGATTGTGTCGAAGGTTGTCGCGCGCGGACCAGCAGTTCATGGTACTAAAGTGACCTTTCCTGACTTTTGTTTCTTCCTTGCTCCTTCTTCTGTCTCTTCTTCTCTGCCTCTCGTTCTGCTTTGTCTATCTCTCTCTTCCTCTTCATTCCTTTGTCTGAAGAAGTCTAGCGTTTCCGTGGTGAGGAATTCTTTCAGTCTCTCAAAGATCATCTGGTCCTTTCTGATGTTCTCGAGAGATACCGTGTCGATGGTTACAAAGGAGGCTATTTCTGAGGCATCGTCTGCGCAGTTCCCTAGCTGAAATTCAAGACTCTTTTCCCGTTGTTTGCGGTTTTCTTTGTCAATCTTGAAGTTCAGTTTTAATTTTAGGCCAATGTCCATTTTTTAAATAGGGCTGAGATTTCATTGGTTCTATGTGTCTTGTGAGCTCTGTTTTCACGAGATAAGGATGAGTAGGTCTGGAATCCTTTCATTGTGTTGAATTTTCGAAGATGTAGCTTAATATACACGAGGCGATGAGAGACGGGAGTAGAAAAGTTTAAGCGCTTAATGCGCACTAGGCGTCTCTCATTTGCTGGCCTTATCTTATCCTAAGATGAGCGCCTTCGTATGCTCATCGCGGACACTGGTGGCCAAAACTGATGGACCCCCGTATTTGGAAGGTTCATTCCCACGGCCTTTGGACCACTTCGTTCCTGCTTGTCTGCTTCACTGGCAGGCGCAGTGGGCGCGATTCACCGTCTTTCTGTATAATTCCTTTGTAAAACAATCCTATCTACATATAATACATGATTATCACCAAGAAATTCCCAGAAAAGCCGCACAAAACAAGAATTTCCACTATCTGTCAATAACCAATCCACATGAAGTCATTCTTGCGCAGAGCAACCAGGCAGCGAGGGAATGACTGATACAAGTGCCGAGCATACACCTGAAAGTCCTCAGACCCCCATTCAGCCTTGATAGCATCGAAATACTGATCGGAATTGAGAAGATTTGGGTTTTGTAAGCGGACACGGCACTGGACTTCATGCCAAACATTTTCAATGGGTGAGAGGTCAGGAGAGTTGGCGGGCCAAGGAAGAATGGTGGTGAAGTGTTCGCTGAACTATTTCATGGTTTTTTTTGACTTGTGTTTACTATCATTGTCTTGCTGGAAGAAGAAATTATCTGGGTGACGAGGTGGAAGTTTGGCAAGGAAAGGCAGCAAGTTGGCCTCAAGAACTCTGCAATATACTGGTCCGAATTCACCAGTCCTGTCAGCCGTACAATAGGCCCAGTGCCCCAAGGTCTGATACAAGCCCAAACAAGCACACTACCCTTGTCTTTTCCCTTTCCAGCCCCATGTGCAGTCCGTTTCTGAACACGGTGCTCATCTAACCGGCCTTCTCCTCTCTTTCTTCGACAATATCGCCTCCCATCTGAGAAGATGACTGTATTTTGGTTGAAAATCTCAAGTGATTCCCAAGCAACATAATTATTCCACCACAAACGATGACCAGCAACATGCCCTGGCTTCAAAAGGCTTTTTTGGTTGGGCAAAACCCTCATATCCAACCTCGCAAAGGTTTCAGCGGACTGTGCGCTCTGAAATATCAGGAAAGTAGCAACGTTGTGCATGTGCTCCATCGCGCAGTTTCCCACTGTCAAACTGGTCCGTAACTTCTTCTAAAGTAGCTGTATTGATTTTCCGTGGTCTCCCACCAGGTTTCTCCTTCCTGGCAGTCCAATAGCAGTCATTGCCATGTGCTTTTGCCTCATGATAGTGCTTTTTAATGGTGTTTTTTGAAATAGATGTTTTGGCAAATAAAGGCTGGCCGAGAATTTTGCTCCAAGACATCTTATCCTGATCGCGATAGATGAGAATGGCATGGACTTTTGTCGGTGTGCATTTGGTATATTCTCGGGGCACTTTGTGAGGATTCTGTAGGGTTGCAAACATGTGGCTTATTATGGAGGCAGCATCATTTTGTGCTTGCAGGGCGTTTTAGGTTTGTTTGTCAACCTCCAGAGCTTTGTAATTTAGTATATTAATAGATTCCCTATCTACATTACACAAAAGCAGAGGTATGGGTGTTCAATCCGCTGTATAACACAGAAGAACAAGGAGGAGTGATGAGTTCAGGCACTGTGAGAAAGGTTTTTCCAAATACAGGGGGTTCATCAGTTTTGGCTGCCAGTGTATAATCCTGCTTGACAAACAGGTAGACTTTTATCCAAAGGTAGTATTGGGGATGGGTAAACTAACCAACTTGTGGTAGTATGGGTATATGGTCCCTTCAACTATTAGACTGGTTCAGTATTGACTTTGACTGTCAATCTGGGTCTCAATTACAGTCCTCTTGATACAAATCTATGCGTGAAAGTGTCACAATTTACTGCATAAATGTCTGGCCAAAATTTAGGTGTGTCAGCAGTTAGCTGCAATGGGTGGGCGGGCCCATCCAGTTACCACTACTCACTCAGTTTGGACTGGGTTGAAGTTTGAGGGTGTTGATGGCTCAGGTGAGTAGCTGTTTCAAACGGGGGGGTGGGAGTGGAAAGAAAAGAGGTGTTGAAGCACAGAGACGACTCAACACGACGCAGTACCTGAAAGGAGGAAGGTACTGCATCATGTGCCTGTTCAAAGACTATGGTTTGCCTACGGGTGTTGGCAAACCAGCATCAAGGTCTATCTGCCACCAACAATTGAAGCAGTTCCTGGTGTCTTTTGTACACATGTACAAACAAATCACTGATGATGAATAGTACTATGTAAGTAGACCCTGAGAAATAATTCAGAGACTTTTGACTTGAGAAATTCATGATCATTTGCATGTACTTAGTGACTCTTCCAGTCCTGAATAAGATAGCTTTGAGCAAGGAAGGTGAGTGCCTCGGAAAGAGGCCCTTTTCCAGTAAAATATATAACAGACATCTTTTACCTTGAAGTTGCCAGAAATTTTCTGTCAGGTGAGAATTGTAGATTTCATATAAGCGCTCGATGAGCAAGGTAACCTTGCCTTGCATTGGGGTCAAAGACTCAAGTTTAGGCACTAGCGCATTCAATCGAGATTGAACTCGAATAGCATCCAGCTTGAGATTGGCCGATGAGGCACTACTAGTACTAGAGGTCCTTTGACGGTGAGCCTGGTAATTTGCTGATCCATGATAGGACATAGCCCGGTTCATCTTTACTATACGAAATGCGTTTCTCCACAACTCCTTTCCTATGAGGACAACCGGGTCCGTTGTAGATTTATTGAGAAGCCCGCCCATTTCCCGCGGTGTAACTGGCTCGGTAAACTCCATAATCACCAAATCGATGGACGAAGATAATGGGAAGGTCCCAAGGGTTTTGTCCCACTAGCTGTAGGAACATTCGGATGTTTGAATTTGGGGGACCCACTTTCAACGTCGCTTCTAATCTCCGTATCCTTTTCAATTAAACTCTTCGCAACCCTCCGCAGTTGAGTGCCTAAACGTTTGATGTGGGTTACAATCCTGCGTTGCAAGCTTTTCCTCTTGAAAGAAAGATGAAAGAGCTGTCGAACGGTGTTGACGAGCGGCGATGGCTTGAACCTATAGACGCTCGAAACGTGATCAGTAAAAACTCATCGGCCCGGACCAACTTTTCAACGCGTTTACCAGTCCCAGTCTAGTCCCAGTCCAGAGGTAGCGACGGAAAATTGTTTTCTAGCAAACACTCCAGAGAGTATAAACTACACAAATACCGATTGACGAAACCGCCATATGTATGCATGAGGTTTTTCCAATGATTTCGCTCTAGCCTTTTATATCACTGCGTCCCTTTTTCTAAGCCTTGTTCCATCTCTGCGATTATCATTATCATGGAGAATAGCTCATCTAAATAACCACTATGGAAGATGAACCCAACAGCATGATTGAGAACCAACCGGGACCAACGCACGGCTGGGATATCAAGGATACGCACATAGAGAAGATATCGTTCACCGATGTCTCTCCAGTCAACATACAGATGCGCCAGGTATCTGTAGATGTTCCCACTTCTAGGGGTCTCCAAGGAATCTTCAGCAAAGCACAATCTTCACATCCTGATCCAGAGGCTGACAATCCAAAGACGAAGAGAATTCTCGACAGAACGTCTGCAGACTTTCCAAAAGGTAGTCTTTGTGCGATTATGGGGGGATCAGGCTCCGGAAAGGTACGTTGTTATTCGTCCGGATTTACATACGGTCTAACATCGTGCTAGACAACCTTACTCAATATCCTTTCGCGTCGCATGCAAAACGCATCTATGGTCTTGTCCGGTTCTGTCTTATACAACGGCTCTCCCGAACTATCAACCGTGACAAGCGCCTATGTCACTCAAATGGACCTTCTTCTGCCTTCGCTAACTGTCCAGGAAACACTCTTGTATGCTGCAGCCTTGCGTCTGCCCTACCGCACCACAGCCATGGAGTGCCGGAACCTTGTGGAAGAGATCATCCTCGAGCTTGGTTTAAAGGAATGCGCCAATACACAGGTCGGTGATGGAGCCTCACATCGAGGATGCTCTGGCGGAGAGCGCAGACGCCTCAGCATAGGAGTGCAGATGCTCAGTAATCCAAGTGTCCTGTTTTGCGATGAGCCTACCACTGGTCTTGATGCGACTTCGGCCTACCAGTTAATCAAAATGCTCAAATCTTTGGCGTCAAAAGGACGTACCGTCATCTGTACTATCCATCAGCCCCGACACGACATTTTCTTCCTATTTGATCGCATAACCCTCCTCAGCCAAGGCTTTACTGTATATTCAGGTCCCACAGACGAATCTGTGAAATGGTTCGAATCACTTATTCCGGGAAGTCTTTCCGAACATCTCAACCCGGCAGACTACCTCATCGGAGTTGCTGCTGTGGATGACCGTACCCCCGAGGCCGAGTCAAAAACTCGAGCTCAACTTCATCGTCTCGTCGAGGTGTGGAAGAAGGAATCTTCAAACCGATTTTCACTGCCGTCTTCGCCAGATAGTGTTAAGGTCAAGGGGTCACCAAGGCCCGTCCACACGGCTGGCGTATGGCGGCAAATTCAAGTCTTGACGTCCCGTACTATTGTCACCACGATTCGCGATCCAATGGGCCTCACAGCATCCTGGATGGAAGCCGTCGTCATGGGCTTGGTCTGCGGATTAGTATTCTTGAACCTTCCTAAAACCTTAGCGGGCATCCGTTCTCGGGAGGCAGCGCTTTATATTGCGTGTGGCTTACAAGTAAGTTTCTGTCAATCTCAAAGACACTGATCACTAACCTTGCTCAGGGATACCTTGTTCTCCTATATGACATCTACCGTCTCACAGGTCCTTCTCTTGCACTTTTTGACCGAGAACACAGCGAACGCGTTGTAGGCGTTGTGCCATGGGTTATTTCCACCCGTATTGCTCGGCTCTTACTCGAAGACGTCATTGTCCCCTTCCTCTTCTCCGTGATATACTACTTCATGTGTGGGTTCGATCCCGATGCCTCTCAGTTCTTTCGCTTTTACGCTGTGGTGTTATTGAATCAGTACATCGCGGTGTCTTTTGCGATGCTGTGTGCTGCAATCTCAAGGGACTTCGCAATTGCAACGCTTATCGCTAATTTGATGTGAGCTTTGGCTTTCAGAGGTGGCATCGTAGACTGATTCACGTACTGTACTATAGGTTCACGTTCCAGTCTTTCTCTTGTGGATTTTTCATACAGGCTGCGACAATCCCGGTGTACGTTCGATGGATCAAATGGGTTGGATATTGCGTTAGTGTTTTCCTCCCAGTTGAGTTTGCAATGAACTGAGCTTACACCGGATAGTTCTATGGATTTGCAGCCCTAGTCGCCAACGAGTTCTCGGGGAAATTCTACGACTGCCCAGAGAGTGGAGGTCCTTCGAATCCCGCGTGCATTCAATACACAGGCGATTTTATTCTGGAGAATCTCTCTTTCCATCCAAATTGGTATACCGTGCCTGTGTGCGCTCTTCTCGGCTTCGTGGTAGTATTTAACCTGAGCGCAACGTTATTATTGCTATTCTGGACGGTCGATGTGCAGGTAGCTGGTACGCATACTGCAAAAAACGCAGACACAAATGGTCCGGAGAGATATCAAGATGTTTCCGGAATGAAGAAAGAAAAGGAGCGGGCTAAGTCAGTTGATATTGATGTCGATCTTGTTGATCTAGCGTTGACGGTGACCATTGAAAAAACATCTCTGAGGAAAGGGTTTACAAAGGTCCACATTCCCATCTTGCATGCGGTCACAACACGTTTTGAAGCTGGGTCGGTGAATGTAATCATGGGTCCATCTGGGTCGGGAAAGAGTTCTCTGCTCAATCTGATGGCCCTGCGCTTCAAGTCCACCCCACTTACTCGATACAACTCCTCTGGAAATCTTCTACTCAACGGCTTTCAACCGGACGAATCAGAGCTCCGTTCTCTATGTTCGTATGTCACACAGGACGACAACTCTCTGCTCCCGTACCTTACCGTGCGAGAAATGCTACGCTTCGCTGCGGGGTTGAGGTTACCTGGGAGTATGACTATGAAGGAGAAGAATAGCAGGGCAGAAGAAGTGATACGAATGATGGGCTTGAGTAACTGCGCTGACTGTTTGATTGGGAGTGAGTTTGTGAAAGGGATCAGTGGTGGAGAGAAGAGGAGGGTAAGTATTGCGGTGCAGGTGTTGACTGAGCCAAGAATACTTATGTACGTTAACGTTGTTCTCTTCTACATCGTGGGACCCACCGGAATTGACGTTGCCTTCCAAATTAGTGCCGACGAACCGACAAGTGGTATGTTTCGATCTACTTATGATTGAATTTTCCCAGCCCACGACATTCGTCATAGGTCTCGATGCATTCACTGCTTCTTCTATCCTTGATGTATTGAACGGCCTCGCTGCAGAAGGCCGTACCGTAATCATCACGATCCACCAAAGCCGTTCCGAACTTTTCCCCCAATTTGGCAATCTACTCCTTCTGGCTAAAGGTGGTCGGGTTGCATATTCGGGTAAAGCGTCTCTAATGATGCCCTACTTTGGACGCTTGGGTTATCAATGTCCCACAAATTGTAATCCTAGTGACTGGGCTCTGGATCTGGTTTCAGTGGACTTGCGGGACGAGAAGGCGGAGGCAGCCAGTCGCTTAAAGGTCGAAGAGATCCTGGACGCGTATGAGCCAAATCCTTCTGCTGGGATTGAGTTAAATATGTCGGATGAAAGCAAGCAGCGTCAATATCGCCCGCTTCCTCCGAATTTAGTCAGATTGAAGAAGGAGCCAGCGCCTTTCTATGTCGCGTTTCCGATTCTCATTCGACGGGGATTGATCAATTTCCAGCGTCAACCAAGTTTGGGAATTGCTCGTATAGGTCAAGTGTTGGGCCTTGGTTTAGTGCAGGCATTGTTCTTTGCGCCGTTAAAAAGAGATTACATTGCCGCGAGTGTCAATATTGTCGGTGCTGTCCGTAAGTGAAGTTTGATTCATGAAAAGAATTTTTGAGCTGAACCTTCGCGTATAGAGGAGATCTTGCCATGTGAGCCTTGCTTTCCAAACCGCGTTATCTATTCTTTCCAATCTTTTTAAAGTGTATTTCGTGGGCATGCTGCAAAATGTAGCACTTTACCCCATTGAAAGAGATGTCTTTTACAAGGTTAGTAGGTTTTCTATTCATTCGAATGGTTGATATGCCTCACACTTCGAGCAATAAAGGAACACGATGATGGCGCTTACTCTGTAGAAGCATTCTTTGCCGCTTATGTTTGCCTTGAAGTTCCATTCGAAATAATCTCAGCCCTTCTGTATTCTCTGCTCGGCGACATTGCCATCAACCTCAAACGGACGATTCCGATGTACTTTATAATTGCACTTAACTGTTTCTGCATAGTTAGTTGTGGCGAGTCTCTTGGTATCATCTTCAACACCCTGTTCCAAAGTACCGGATTTGCTCTTAATGTCACCAGCGTGCTACTATCTGTTGGAACGTTCATGGGTGTACGTCGTCTATAAATGCCTCACTTCCAAAGTTGACAACTTCAACATGACCTGTTTTATAGGGGCTCATGAGCATCGATATGATAGGTTTCCTCCAAGGAATTAACTATATTTCGCCCCTCAAGTACGCGACGGCGAACATGCTGCCCTATACGTTACAGGGAATGACCTTTACTTGTGACGACGCACAGAGACTGGCGGATGGTCAATGTCCTTTGAACACTGGAGAGCAGGTACTGGATCTGTACAAGTTGAATGTCGATCCTGCGCCAATGCTGGGTGCACTGGTAGGCGCGACGGCCGTTTACAGGCTTGTCGCATACATAATTTTAAGGATTTCGCGGACTGATTTCTCTCATCTTGCTCAGAGTCGATATACCGTAAAGCATGTATCATCTTGAGCCTATATCTATCTATCTATAAGGGTTGATACATGGAGGGTATATGTAGATTACTTTGAAGAATTAATGATGCAAAAAATTTCGATGATGCGCGGAGAAATCCAGGTTATGAAGCAGCCAGGCTTCCATCTGCTCGGGTTCCATCGATTCGTTTGGTCCAATCGTAGTTGGACAATACTTCACCCTCTTTCCAGCTTTCTATTGCCTGTAATGCTGCGAAACCCCAATCGAAGGTCTCATGCTGAACAAGATCTTCTGGACCGTCGACGATTGTGATCAATCTGCTGCTGAAGGATTGGACAAACCCCTCTTCGATCGCAGATTGGATCATCTTGCGTATGGGCTCATAGTAGTTGAGAACGTTGAGAAGTACAACAGCTGTTCAGTCCAATGATATCAGGAGCATTGTAATACAGACCTCGAAGGATTGACATACGTTTATCATGGATTCCAATTTGTGTCCACGTTGTGACTTCAAAAAACTAGAATGCATATATGCTTCGTATGAGAAAGAAACAATAACACATGAGAATTTATTTCACCTCTTCGAACGTACCGAAGCCTCCAGGAAGGGCTACAAATCCACATGCACGTTTTGCCATTTCCACCTTGCGCTCATGCATGGAGTTGACTATGATCTGGCTCCAGGTTATCAGCTTAATTCCATGAAAAGAGTTACTCATCCCATACCGTTTCGATCTGGAAAATGGGAAGAAAATTGGGGTGAAAGTCGACTGATGAACAGAAACGCACTTACATTATTAGAACTACTAGTTGGCAGCGCCACTTGCCTTTTGATGCCGTTGGGTTCTATGGACTTATCTTCCTCTCCACCTGCCGCCACCAGTGCGTACGGTGTGACTCCAGTCACCTTTCCACCAGCTTCAACAACTGCATGTGCCACGGTCCCCATGAGACCGTGCCCAAGAGTTCCCCCTCCGTAAATAAGAGGTCTATTGCTTTTAGCTAGAGCTACTCCAACCGCTGTGTTATTTTCGATAAGTTGTTTGCATGGTTCACTAAGGATATAAGCGGTACGAACAATGAGCTGCTTTTGCGTACGCAGCGCGTTTTCCTATCGAGGAACCGCAATAAACGGCCACGGCACGGATTCGTTCTTCTGAATTCATAGAAGGATTGGGAGTTGGAAATGATGTTGCATATTGGTACTTTTTGCCTTTTATACCGCCGGGCGTATATACTCGTGGTCGTGAAACATCGTCGCATATAATCTTTCTGCGTGATGCAAGGGGTAGCTCGGGTACTCCGGTGCCATCCACACGTCCACGGGCGGAAATCACTTCATAAAAAAATTACATTGACACTCACGCGTAATGCAATGGGCTATACAAGAGCAGGTATTCAAGTAAGATTAAATGATTTGGCCAGAAGACAAGTGTCTTAGAATCCTCTGACGATAATGAGGACTAATGAGGACTTTATTCCATGTCACATAAAGACTGTTGAAAGACTGTATATCCAGTGCATATCTACCTTTTAACTTTGATACCCTTCCGTTCCCTCTCAAATCTACTTTTCTTCCGCTTCTGAGGCACATCTGCATCTGCAACAACAGAATCGGCGCTCCTCTTTTTATTCTCCCGACTTCTTTGCAAAACCCCACTTCTCTTGCTCCGCTGTCGTAATTCATCATACCCATCACCTCCAAGACCACGGCCTGAGCCACGCTCGACGTCCCTTAGAACATCACCAAATTCATCTTCCCACCCACCAGCAGTACGTTGTCTCCGTCCTTTGCCCTCTTCTCCGAGACCACTTAAACCGCCCCCAAGAGCCAAAGCTTCCTCATCTCTGACCCTACGCCTCGCCTCTTTCTTGCCCATCATCACACGACCAAATTGTTCTTCTTCAAATTCAGTCAAGTGTTTGAGATATTTGGCACGAGAAGAGGTATTATTCAGCGATGGTGTGTTTCCAAGACCGGATGTACTTTCGACGTGAGGCATGGAACCATCTGTGTGTAAGACAGACGCAAGAGATGTCGGAATGGGAGCGCGCTGTTGGCGTTTTGTTTTGGCGGAGGTTTGAGGCACATAGGGCATGGGTGCGACACGAGGGGGGCGGTAGATACCATCCGTATTACTATCGCCATTTCGGCTATGAGCGACGCCAGTGTCGTTGCCGTTGTCCTTATCGTCCACATTTGTATCGAGCAGATTTTGAGGATTGGGTCGGAATGCAAGGGGATCTAAATAAAAGTTATAATGAGTGCTCATGGCATATTTGTACCAAGAACCTTACCGTTAATTATATCGTCTGCTTCTACTTTTCCCTTTTGCTGGGCAGCCTTAACGAGTTTTTCAATTTGGTAGCGCATGCGGCCTTCCAGAACTTTGACTTTTTCTAGGACAATTCGACCTTCAATCATCTGGTCTACCAAGTCCCCAGAGCCTGCGCCACGAGCACTGCGCTCGAGACTACTGAATGGCTCTGAAGGAGGGTCGCGAATGGATAACGAATGGCCTAAAGCTCTACGAGTGGACACAAGGAGAAGGGATTGCATGTACGAGAGCAGCACATGGTGTTTTAAAGAAAGAAGAGATATTCCATCCTTAGTCTCGAAGTAAGATGGACCTCTGAAAATGGGATGATTAGAGTAAAGACAATTTCTGAAGAGCCGTAACGCACTTTGTTTTTAGTGACTCTATAGCTTCACGCGCAGAGGCCATACTGGCCGTCATATCGTCTAGTAATTTACATACTTGCTGTGTGTCGACGGTCGCATCTTCTAAGGACATGGTAATTTGCGCGGAAAATTGTCGAGAGGCTTATGTCAGCAATTAAACGCGCTTTAGAACCGACCACCAAGATCGTGAACGTTATCCTGGTACGCGTTCTATCAGAAGAAAATTACACTCAAAACATCTGCATAACATTATGTCGGACTGGACGACAGACTCAAATGAATGCCTCTCTATATCTCTGGGTAAATTCAGAGACGCTTTGGTGGCATAACACTTATACTTCGCGTTATTCAAGTGCGTTCCGCGGAGGACGAGAAAGCTTTAACAGAAGATGAATCCTACGAAGACTTTCACCCTGCTTTTACCTATCCGGTACGTGGCACGCAACTTTACACGGTCAACATCTAACGCGTACCGGGATAGATCTTTGGAGAGGAAGAGAAAATATATGGTTACAAGAACCTCACTATTGACGTGCGCTTGACCTGCTCTCACCCGAACTGGGGCAATATGGTGACCGTTGTAATTAGCTCAAGTTCGCTTCCGGCTCCCTCAAGCAATATCTTTCCGTGAAATGGTCAGACAAACTAAAATCGGCGGATACGGTTGACAATGTGGATGGCACCATACGTGAATTCCTTGCGGAAGGTGCGTCGCAGTGCTGCCGCTATGACTGCGCCTTACGCTCTTGATAGGCATTGAAGCGAATGAAGACGCGTTCCGAGTTCAGGTGGAAGAAGACGCAATCTCGTTTAAACCGTCTGGAGAGATGATCTATTCATATACAAGATCTGCGTCAAAGGGAAAGGGCAAGGGCTCTGCGGTGGAACAACACAATCCAGAAGATGAGGACACTATTGTTTATGAAGTCTACCATGTACGTGACTATACTTTGTTCGTCTTGTTCTGTCTAATCTGCTGCTTCCATAGAATACCTGGAATGTCCCTGGTTTCAAAGAATATCATCGAAAAATGCAGATTTTTATCTTGCTTTACATTGAAGCAGGGTCTTATATCAATGAAGAAGAAGACGGGTGGGAGTTCGTCGTGTTGTACGTTGTTCCCGTTTCGTCTGAGGCCATCATATGAATCCATTGCAGATACGAAAAACGGAAAAGACGAAATGCACCCCATATTACAACATATCACTTTGTCGGTTATTCTTCTTTGTACAATTTCTATTATTTTCCCGAAAAAGTCCGCCTTCGTTTGAGGTTATTTTCTCTTGTCCTGTTTCGAAAATCCTCTCACCATTGTGATATTCTAGTCAATTCGTGATACTCGGGCCCTACCAGCGGAACGGACATGGATGTATGCCTTATTTTGCTAATCTCCTAATCTCAAACATGACCAACCACTCTACAGCCGAACTATACAAAGCCATCTACCAATACGTTCTCTCGCAGCCACGTATAGGCGAATTGACTGTTGAAGACCCTGCGGAAGCTTTTGAAGACCTACGAGATAAGAATGACTTGAAGATGCTTCTCTCGACAAAACAGTTCATGGAGGAAGGATTCGGTCAAAATTCATACTCGCATGGCGGCGGACGTGTGGGTAAAGTGGGGAAAGCTTTGAGTGGCTCGAGTAAGGGTAAGATGGGTCCTCCGGTAGAGAAAGGATGGGCGGAAAAGTGGAGGCTAAAGCTGAAAATTGCTGGAGTAAGTTTGAGATATGGCTGATGTTCAATGAAGCAATGATGACCTTGTAATAGCGTCAATTCCAACGTCTAGTGGAGATGCTCATCCAAATGCATTTGGACCCTATGGATGCCCGTGGACTGAGAGCTTACAGATTACAAGTCAAGGAGCGGCTATATAGATTCAATTTTGTGCGTGTTCTTTTGCCAACAATTTCCAGTTGTCCCTGAAGTTTCGTGCAGGAGGTGCTAGCGCAGTTGGAGAAAGAAGAACGGTTAGAGAAGTTGGAGGAGACGTTTAAAAGTGTCAGAGAAGATTATAATCGGATATTGAAGCTAATTCATTGAGTGCTCTGCTGATGTATTATCGTCAATCTTTTTCGTTTTTTGAGTTGGGCCGCTGCTAATGCGGATGGCAGTTGGACGAGTCTAGACCACGGTAAAGTCAAAACGAGCGATCGAACGATCATAGAAGTCTGAAATGGAAAGCACTGAAGGTCATTCTTCGATTTACCTCCCTTCCCTCTCAACTGTCATGCTGCATCGCTACTAGAGAACATCTTCATCGAACTTGATATCGATTAACTCTGCGCGTTTACGACCCCAAGATATCCCATTACCTATCCATTCCTTAATCACTATCTTATACATTACTAGTTTCCGACGCGCGACGCATTAGACCATGGACCTCTTTCTCATACCGAACAACCCAGAAAACTGTGCACTAGTCTCAATCAACGGCGTTGCGCATTACCAGGTCAGCACGACCAAAACTTCGCATGGCCAACGCGCTTCCAAAATTCAACGCCCCGCTGAGTCAGAGGAGGACAGTATCGTGGCGGAAATCGATTGGGGAAACTGGGACAGGCCGACGGCTGTGAGAAGTTGCCCTCTGGTCAGAGCGAAGAGTGTATCAGTGCTCGCCTCGGACTTTTTGTACAAGAAGCATCGGTTTAGCTCGTGAGTAATGCCATGGATGTACAGAACTCACTAGTAATTAATGGTCCGTTTTTACCCTGCAGCTCTCGATACTTTGTCGGCGACGACACGATCGAGTATAGATGGAAGTTCGTCAAGGGCGTGGGTTGTGTTGTACGCGCGTCCGAACACTCAGTCGCCAATTATCCTTTCTTACCACACTAATCCCGATAGCTGATGCGAGATGACACAAAAGAAGAAGTCGCTTGCTACTCATTCGCAATAAGCAAAGAAGGACTTTATGCCGGTGAAAAGAAATCACGTCTCACCATTCAGCCTTGCTCAGTAGAATTGGATCTCATCGTCGTCTCTTTCTTGATCATGTTGAAGAAGAGAAGAGAAAAGGTCGGTCCAGCAGGAGACTTCGCACTATGTGCTCATGATGAGGATCCACAGGGAGATGGAGGCGGGGATGGAGGAAGTGGTGGTTCTTGACGAACACATTCAGGAGAAACGGCAGGGGATGTTTTTCTTTTTTAGGGTTTCATGGGCTTGTTTTAATCTGGGCTTATACTGTATCAACAACTCAGGTGTAGATATGCGAATGAGGGTCGAGGCCACACGCAAGGCATAAAAGTCTAAGAAAAATTATTATGATGGTAATAACTGACCAGGATATGCATCAAGTCAGGTCTCGCATAACGGTGACTTCTCTATAGTAGAAAGGCAGTTTTAGATGTAGACTGTTGTGATAAGTACACGCCTATTCTATTGATCCAATAGGAACTAACTAGTTAACACCTATCCAAACATGAAAGGACGGGCATGCATTGCGGGGTTGTGGAGAAGCCCCTCCTCATCACTGTACGCTTGCTTTTTTTCCCTTCTTCTTTCTCAATACTGAGCAATCGATAACCCAATGGTTCCCACCACATACGCTGCAATTACCCGCAGGTGGATAGTGTTTTCTCTTGTGGCATTGATGCAAGGGATGTGGTAGCCCACAGCATCTACAAAATCCCTGCCGAAATATGTTGGATGCCATCTGTTGAGCCGATGGATAAGCAAGCGAGGATGGCTGCTTTGATTCAAACCCTCGTCCGGTTTTGATGTACTCGTTCCTAAACATTTCGTCTACCAGCATTGCGAAGCGTACGTCGCGAATGGTAAGGCCGGGCGTTGTCAGCGTGATCGGGAAGGCTGAAATATACAACAGTCAGTGTAGGGATAACGAAAAAAGGACTTTCATCGAATATCCGAAGGATTTGAAAACTACGTACGAGTGTCCTTTGTGGCTGGGAGCTGTGGCCTGAGACTCAAAATCTCCTCGGGAATGTATGCCAGGTGAGTTTTGATCTTCAAAATTACCACGGTCTCGTCTTCTCTACTTTCTTTCATTTTTGGCTGGTCTACGTTTGGGTCGTTAAGCGGAAGCTTGGGAGCAGCGTCCGAATCAGATGTCGTTGATTCAGTTGAATCACGGCGGTCAAGCCTCGAAGCGATATGAAGATCAAAGTCCGTGGATTGGAGCCCCAAATACGGAATCCCTTCGTCATTCAGTACATCCCTCACTCTCGCTGCAAATTGCAAACCAAACTCTCTCGCTCTGAACGCGTATTTGCCATGATATGACCAGCCAGGACCAGCCTTTGTCTTATTTCCTGTAGCCGCGGAAATAGTGTTCGCAGTGGTGAACGTCCAGGGGATATGAGCGCGAAGAGGCTTTAGGTATCCGTCGATTTCAGCAAGAGAAAGCCAAGGTAATGGGCTGGAGGTAGTGGTACGGTGAGGAAGAGGTGGAAGAGGTGGAAGGGAGTTGGGGACAGTGCTCTCTGTTCAATTTGTCATGAATTGGTTGGATGATAGGTGCATGTACGAAAACACTGACCATGTCTGGCTACTTGATAAGGTGAATAGGTCAATGGTGGTATAATTATACGAAAAGGAGCTCACCATACTTGACTAGGTCTTTTCCTACAATTGCTCTATTTGACCGTATCAACAGTCTAGGACGGGTCAGCCATATCATCGAGTTCGTTGTTTAAAACCTTGTTTTCATGAGGCGCCGTTAGCATTGACATTGAACACGTGACATATGTGAAAAAGAGTCCAGACCTTCCAGAAGTTCTTCCCCGCATTCTTTCATGATCAAACAATAGCACCGCCGATCTCACTGTAATCTGTTCCGTTCAATAACAAGTATAGCCTGGAACCAGTCTACTTGGGCCTTCTTCAAGTCTCCACCTGTCTACGCAGGTCTACGCCCTTCTCGAGCTGTACTAATGCGTGCATAGTATTCCGATTTCATCCTTCCAAGCGCCCCGTTTGTCTTTCCAAGAAACATATAAAATGAGGGAACTGCAAACCTAGTAAGATCAGTTCACAAGTCCACAATCCCAAAGCCCAACCGGTCTACTCATCACACTCTCGAAACACACTCGATAGAAAGTTCCACTTTTTATAAATCTCATAAAGATGTACTACACATACCTTGCTCGCAGAAAGGTGCGTTTCTCTTTCAATCCTCATCCACTATCTAACATTCATCCGTTCGTCTAGACTCTCTTCGCTTGGATGACAATCCAAGGAGCACTAGCAACTTTCGTGGCCTCGCAATACATAAAGCCCAAGTATGTTCCTTATTCATCTCACTCCCTCTTTGATTTTGACATTTTCCTAGATCTCAGTTGTCTGCATTGGGCCAGGCATACCGGATGCAGAATGCAACTCACTGAGCATCTGAGCATTCGAGCTCTTCATATCTCTCGATACCATGGACGTTTGTCGGACAGCTCAGTTATACAGCAGCTGTACTGAACCAACGGACCCACCACCCACCACTCCCGCTTGCATAACACCTACACATTGCATGCACGACGTTTTGCTTGTAATATATTCAAGCGTCCGGACCCTAGAACATCGTTAAATAATTTGTATCATTAGTCAATTGCATTTTTTTTTTTTGAGTTCTAACTTGAGGTCTGCTTGCCGTTGTCGTGAACATGAACCAATGCTCTGTGTTGTCCCCAATCGTCGTTCTTGCCTTGAACCAAAGGGAGCCTGACATTATGTACTGCAACTTTACGCATCATAGTCCCGATTCACTCTCGCAAACATCATTTGCGGGTATATCGCCACCGCCAGGGCACGGGTGTAGCGTGATCATTGGGAGAGTGGATAAGACCCCGACCAGGAGCGTTCGAAATCCAAGAAGAGAGCATAATAAATAAATTATGGACTCAGCTACGTGTGCCAATAGAAGTCTACACTAAGATTGATCTCGAAAAAAACCCTTCACGCAATGAGTCGACATTTCAGATTTCCACTGCCCACGATTGCAATGGTGGCGCCCAAACACCATCCCAGCTCCGTGTCCTGAATTTTCTTACCAAGAACCACATCTCTTTCATCGCCGAACTCGTATCCAAGCCTGAGTAAGCTGTGCATGAAGGTGAGATCAAGACACCATTCGGGTCGATCTTGAAGTTCCTCCATAACTTCTTGGTTGGTCCCCCAGCGAGCGGTCCAAGCGTCATATCCAAGGCAGACATCTTTAGCGATAGAGGCAATGGCGGAAACGTTGATTTTGTCGATTGGGTCCGTAGGTGAAGAAGAGGAAAATTCGGTGGAAAGTAGGGGATCTAGACGGTCAAAGAAGTAGGATAATAGAAGAACCTTGCCAGAGGTGAAGGAATCGAGAAGGGAGGGCTGATAAACACCGTTGAAGGAGCAAGGTTTGAGTTCGCATATCCTATGATTACGATATGAAAATTTTGTACACGAGAAAAGAACCGAGAAAAACGTACGAGTCTTTTGCCATGACCAGCTCGATGACCCGGTTACAGGCCTCAAAGCTACCAATCTGTTCACCATCCATGACGACAGTCTTTGTGGTTTTCGTTCGTTCGTCCTCAATGTCGACATTACGCTTTGTACCCCGTGCGAGGCAAGGATTCCCAATAGTAGCCGGCATAGTGTCTACTGCGCCTTGCCCAGGATTTCTGATAGATGCCATGAATTCGACGAGCTGATGGACATGAGCCCGGGCTCGCATGAGACCATAACCCAAATACGAGTGCTGGTAAAGAATATGTGTTCTGCCACCGAATTCAAGTTCGTATTTGTGTTCTCCTTCTTCTAGCGTTCCGCTCTCTTCAGAGAATGTCGGCTCAAAGACAATCTGAGTCGAAGCTCCTCCAAGATCGAGTACAGCGTATGTCGGGGTGTCAGCGGGAGTGTCAGCACGGATGGTGTTGAGTAGATAATTGGCTGTGATCCATGCATAAACACCCTCATCTTTGCCGTCCATGATGACAACGCCATCTGGTTCATGTAGTTGGAAAGGATATTTCTCCTGAATCCTGCGAGCTACCGCGTCCAGTATATCCTTGCTCTGTGATCCAGGTAGCAACCGAAGTCCAGCCGTTGCTTTGACTGCTACAGGAGTACAGGCACGCAAAGATGAAGGAACGACTCGCACGGCCTCGTCAAGGAGAACATCCAAACTTTCCGCGGCGTCGTTAGGTTGGCCGGCGAATTTAGAAAGACCTGGCTGACGTTGTTTGAATACTTCGTACTCGTATGATGGCGAGGAGCCACAGTTGTTGAATTTGTATACATGAATACGAGAACCAGTTGAGCCTGCATCTATCATCAATGCATACTGGACAAGGGGAAGATGCGAAGCGTAAGGGGTTGTGCAATATGTCGTTTGAGTTGGATCCGTATCTTCTTCGAAAGAAGTTGGGTGAGTGTTAGAAGACGAAGGTTTGTTTGATTCGGGTTTGTTTGGAGGTGTTGGCTTGTCTGCGTCGGGAATGGGGGGCACAACAGGGTCAATAGGGTCTACATTAGGATGCGGCGTTGTGTAAACTACTGAGCTAAGATTTAGCACAGCAAGCTAAAGCATTAGCTAGTAGCATACTCACTTTCATCCACAGTATCGTCTGAGGGCCACGACAGCACCTTTGCAGGTTCTCGGGGACCGAAGACCCATACAAGTCCAACGAGCACTACAGCAGCGATAGCGATTTTTTTCCACGCAAACCGCTTCTTGTTGCCCATCCTACTAGGACCCATCCCGCCTTCTAGTCGCTCGTAATTGCTACTTCGCGGGGAGATTGCCATTTGTATATTAGTTCCTTGTCTATCGGTACTTTCACTGGCCAAGTTACCAGGTTTGTTGTGGAGGTGCAGGCTTCGTGAACGAGAGTGACTGGCTATGTTTACTGTGGGGACAACAGCCCCAGTTGATCGACCGGACGATGTAGAAAAAGATGGTGTAGAATTTATGTCGTTCGAGCCACTGCGGTGGTCAACGCTGCCATTCATGCCGACCTTTGAGCGTCTGTTCTATCTTGATCATGGCGCCTATTTGGCACTGATCATGAACTATGGTCATTGGTGTTCTGTTACTTCTGTACATTGAACTCTACACTGGCAGTCGAAATCTTTACATTGTAGCTTTCTCGAGCTCTCAACCCTTGGCATGCCCATTGAAAATACTGAACTGTTCTTTTTTCCCCAAGGTCCCAGTTAAATGGGCCTCCTTCCTCTCAGGATACTGACATTTCCTACAGACGCACCATGACGAGGATTTCTTGCCATGTCCCCCAGCGGTGCTATGGATATGCTCCGGGTCAAGCACATCAGTGAGGTCCGAAAGCAGGTGCTGCAATATCTGCAGTCTGTCTTCGCGATCGACATCTCTGCCTCGAGCAAGAGCTTTGAGCCCGTCCACAATAGGCCGGAACCAGGCCCTGAAAGTTGGATCTGCCCATCTTTCACAGAACGCCGCATATCCCAAGCAGCGCAATTGTCCGACTTGACTGCTATCCTGCATTTCTTTCTCAGTCGTTATCTCCCCAATCGCGGACTGGATGCCAGAAAGAATTCGAAATCTTTTTACGTGGCCTGAACGAAGGATTTCACGAATATGTGCCAGCAACTGTATGACTTCTGCTCCAGCCGAATTCAGCGTTGTATTCGGTCGAAGAAATTCGGTGTCGCGACGTAAAATGTATACCCAAGCAAAGAACTGTGCAAAGACGAAACACGTGTGGGTTATGCCATATGTTTGCAACTCGGGCTCGTTTTCGTTGAGAATAACTGAAGCAAAGTTGTAGTCGATGATATTGATGAGCTTCGCAGAAAGATCATCTGCCGCGAGGTGAAGTGGATCGTGGTATTTGGAAAAAGTGGTTTGTAGATCTATTCGACGTTTTCGTTCTTCTGAATAGATCCCGAAAAAGGCAGAAAGAGCAGCTTGGGCAATAGTTCCCAATAACGCCAGTACCGCCACCACGATCGATATAACATCTACCATCGGGATAGCGCGTCGTAATGGTGAGGGTTCAATTCAAATGAATGCGGGAAACAATGTGATTATCGTTCAATTTGCCGCTTGCACCCTTTGAGAAAGTTCTCATTTTCCATCACTCATTTCATGGATCTCCTTCCCCAGTGTCCAGCACTTTATACTACCGCGTCAGAACACTCAACTATAATCACTCTTCCAGTTTATCCCTCGTCTTCTTCTTTTCAACATATCATGGACTCAGCCATCACAACTTTCATACCACGGTGAGTGTTTTAAACACACAGCTAGACACAGCTCGTTTCCTTGATACTCAGCAACCGCTTAAAGTCGAGAAACGCTAAATACTTCTGGTGAAATCAGTACTCTCTTGGTGCTGAACAATCATCTCTCCAGGGATAAAATCCTAGTTTGCGAAGGATCATGTTTTGTATCGGTTTTTTGTTCGCTCAGCGTCCTTCGAAGAGTGTACATGATAAAGTGGAAATCATGAAGCTTGCGCTACTTTCAAGTCGGCGAGGCTTTCGTCCTGAAACCCAGAACGCGTCGTCCAGCGTAAACAGCGACAGACTCTACCCGGACCCTGGCCGACCACTGTACCTGGCCTTCACGGCTAATGTGTCTCTAACGACCATTATGACAATCACAATTTATCTTGCTCTACAATCATACCGCCACGGAGTTTGTCCTGGGGTCTTCAGGGTCGATGCGGGTCATTCAGACTCAATCTGGGAGTCATTCAGGGCCCTCAAGGCTTCAAAGTTTCAGTCCCCAACCGCTATTATTTGACGAGGATTCATTTTGCCAGTTTGAGAGGTATGCCTAGGGTACGCGAGGGTACGCGTTAGTAAGTATATCACTAGGTATTGAGAATTGCAGAAATAAACCTAAGTGGACATGGCCTTGTGACCGTCCGAATCGGGAGGACAAAGCAAGAAATATCACTCATATATGGTACAATGATCGATCAAAAATAAAATACTTCCGTCACGGCTCGACTACTACATCCTGATAGTAGTATGTATGCGCAATTTCTTTTCTCTACTTCAGCCATACTTACACGCAGGAAAAATCGAGGGATATTCCGAATGCATGACCTGCAGAAGCACTACATATCTAACCACTGCAACTGGCCCCGGGATTCTTGTAGAGTGTTCTAGATCAGTACAGTCAGAATCGGTATGGTTTGGTCATCGAATTGGCTGAAAGTCTCAACAGCCAGCTCACATGAGCAAAACAATTTCAGCATAAGACAGCTCTTTGGCCGCCTTGATCCCTTTCTTACCTTCAGTATTGAACGCCCTACCTCTCACGAGAACTAAACGTGGTTATCTGTGGGTCAATGTTGGTCTCAGGCTTCTGCTATGCCCCCCCGGACAGTGAATGCTTTGACTATGAAACTGGGCTATTCAATATCAGGACTTGCCAGTGTTACCTGATGTCAGTCATGTAGGATCCTCAATTGACTGCATCCTCGCGGCCGTAGTTGAAGCCCCCACAAACGTTCGTCCTTGGCAGACGAGTCAAATGTGCAAGATGCAAAAAGGAGATACACATTCAGGCTCGGTATCAATGCGGTGTACGTTGTGCACGACGTTACATGCTGATTTTATGCTGATTCGTGGCCTATATGTAGCGCATGCGAGTTATGCTAGCCTGGGCCTTTCTCGAGCTCGAGTCTGCCCCGGTATTCCATTGTCAATGCCATTAGTATTTGATGCAAGCCCGTAAGTATTATACTATTTTGGTGGCACCCGCGGAGAACAACTATTTCCAGTGATTGTGTCTTTGCGACACCGTCAGTTATTAGCATTTTATCATTGAATTTGTACACTTCGAGGACGAGTCAAACTTGAAAGGCGTATACGGATGGGAGATGGACATCAACAATTGATATCTCTAACTATAGGAGCAGTCTGTGAGCAGTCACTGGAATACATTAGCGGCCTACCTGGCAGTGGTAAAAATCAAGGCCATCAAGAAAGGTGCTCATAGTACTTACCGTATCTATGTATATCAGCAAGAGAAGACCACCACCACTACCATCAACATTCATGATGAATAATTGACTACGATTGACGAAATATTCTCTTTTTGTATATCTGGATAATTCCGAAACATCACCGATTCGTGTAAATCACCAAAGCCTGTCTAAAACTACCCACATACTGCAATTTTCTCTCCGAGCAGTGCGAATCAAAGGTGAGTGGCGCTAGAACATGAAATGAATGTTATCTGTGGGTCAAGCACTTGGGAACCAAGTTACGATAGCGATAAGGGGTACCTGAAAAGAGGAGCCGTTCGTTCACTCTAAACAATATTAGAAGAAGAACGTCAGACCATGCAATAAGTACACGCAAGCACGTACTGGACTGTACAGGCTTGAGAGTCACGATAGTGGAGCAGGTTAAATACGCCCCTCCCCTTCCCGTCTCCTCGTACAATGTTACATCTTTTCATGTCCTACATAATCAAAGATGATAAAGACCGTGACCTTTATTCATACCATGTGCTTACGGGGTCCTGACTTTGAGCACGGAAAACGAGGATAGCGAGGAAGCCGGTGAGGGCGAGTTCACAGTATGTAACGTGATGATGTGGAATTTTGAAGACACGGTAAAAGGACAGGGAAGAGAATACATGGAGGTGAAATGAGCAGCACACATAAGACGAGCATTGCGAATGAGAACCTGATACTGCCCCAGAATACCACCATGTTCAAGTTCAACCTGAACAAGATATTATTGTTGTTCTTCGGAAATTGGCGAAAGTACAGAGTTATAACTTATAACTTTAAGCAACCGACCTCATCGACATCATTGATCATCCCAACAAGATAACTGATATTAAAAGTTGCACGCGCTGGGTGGTTAATACATAGGTATTATAAACCATCACGGGGAAAAAGAGGGGGACAATACAAATGTGTCTCAGCCTTCGAGTTCCGGGAAATGAAGAGGTTTGGGACTAGAGAGGTGAGCCAGATGCCGCGTCGCGGTCGATCGCAAACGCTAGAACCGATTAGAGCTCTGCAAGCTCACCTACGAAGAGAAATGTAATGAACGAGGTTCAGAATTGCGGACGAAGATCAATGAAAACTTGACGAGCGCGCAAGCAGTTGATTACGGATTTAAGCCTACGGAAATCTTTCGACGGATGTATTTCCTACGGACGCGCGTACACAGGCGTACACGGCAACTTGAACTCATTCATAGTGCCGGGGAAGGAAAACTTGTAAAAGAGCTGGCAATCATACAAAAAGATAATGGTTGTAGCCTAAAACAGGAACCGTACCTTCTACTATAGCTAGACTTCGATGCAGAAAGAAACAAACCCTTAGACATCCGCAATCCATAAAAACGTGCTTTCCTACTTACGTATGAGCTAAATTAGGGAGGGAGGACTCCTGACACCCTCACTATATGCCGTGACGAAATTAGACTTGGCGTTCGCTCATTAAATGCAACAGCCTTTTTTTACCTTTTCTTTTGCTTTCTAGATCGTTTTTAACCTTCTTTCAGCCATCTACCGCCTCGACTCGACTGGAAGCAACTCCAAATACCTTCGCTTATATCAGAAAACTTATTGGAGCTCTCCTTAGCTTTGTCTATATCTCTATATAGCTATATATCTTGGTCGTATTTGATCTCGTACGTGTTCATCGCAGTACAGCTCTTTATCTTGTGCTGACGTTCATACAGAACAACTGGCCATTTATAATGACTACAATACATTCGTCAGCGCTGGCTTCCCGTCGTACTATTCGTTTTGCGCCTATGCCTGACCCTCGTCGTTCTGTACTGGTCACCGACGATGGCACTGAGCTCCCTCTATTGTCCCCAGTCATCCTGGATGGTACAAACATCGACCTTCTTACTTCCAAGCTAGAAATGCCCTCTGTTAATGCATCTGAGCTCGCGAGCATCCCTGCCGCAATATCACTTTCAGCACTCAACTCGCCGGCCCAAACTCCATCACAGACTCCTCAGACTTGGAATGTACCTCTGCCAGAGGTTCTTCCTTCGCCTGCTCCCTCATCGGCACCTTCGCCAGCTCAGTTCAAGAAATCATTGTCTTCAGAATCCGACAGCTCCAATAGCTCTAATAATTCAACTTCTGGCTCGTCCCCACCGACATCGGAGATATCTTCTTCTGCATCTTCGATGTATTCTTTGACACCGACGCAAAGTATCGAGCCTTACCCAAACTCTACCGGATCTTCTACTCCCACCCAGTCCGTGCGCAAGTATAGCTCTTTGAGGAGTAAACTCTCCTCAAAGTACAACATTTCCACGGATCAAATACTCACCCTCGGTACTATTAATCTTTTCCGTCGTGGCTCAAAGGGCAAGGACAGAGAACGAGATTCGGATAATGAATCTATCCAAAGCTCACAAGGATGGGGCGACGCTTTGACTCGATGGACCAGCGCAGGATCTGGAGGCCCAAGGTCTGGTCGCGATGGTGTAGGTGTCCCCATGTACAGGACCCAAAGTACCCAAAGTTATAAGGGCGAGAACGTCAGGGTGAGTCGCTATCGCTTCTCGAGTGACGCTAATGCTCATTTTGTTCGATGTCAGAATGCTAAACGCTCTTCTTCGCCTGCCTCTTTAAATTCGCGGACTAAACCGCGTTCAGGCACTGCATCGTCCAAGCTGAACCCAGCGCATGAGAATGGAATGCTTAGCACCTTGCATTCAGGCCAGTCCAAAAAAGGAACACGGATGTTAAATGGGAGAGTTTATGGAGCCAAACGAGGAAGCGTTAGCGGTAAGTACATCGATTTCCATCCATAGGCCCAATGGCTGCCATCCCGTTATCATTCGAACCGATGGGTCCTCTTTGTTCCTTGTCACCATCAAGATGATCGAAGGGTCAATGTCCCAGTGTTTTCTTACTTTGAACACACAGATGGTGTACTGGCATTGCCCTTGCGGGTAACAAGGCCGGTTGTTCAGCTCAGGTGCTCTAATCAGTGGTTTTCGAAAGAGTACAAGTGCTTCTCTTCGGAGTCTTCGCTCCCTACACGTTGCTTGATCCAAATCACATTCACGCTGCGTGCTAACTCTTCTTCTTCTTAGGATCACAGTCCAACCCCTTTGCAAATGCCAAAGATGATCCAGACCCCGAGTTCGTTGAGTGGGGCTATGGTGGGATGGGCAGTGTCAGAAATGTCCAAGACGGTGTTGCTGGCACAGTGTGGGGTCGAGTACTCAGTAATGGGACAAGCGTGATGGAATCGGGCTGCCCTGAGAAACAAAACAATAATGGAAGAGCCGTGCAACATGGATCAAGAGATGATGATGACGACGGAAGTGGTATGGGCTGGGTACGGAAAAGGAGAGAGGCGAAAGAGCGAGAGGCTAGAGAAAAAGCAGAGAGGGAGGCTAAAGAGCAGGCGGAGAAGGAGAGGCAGGAACGAGAGGCTCAGGACAAGGCAACAGAGATTGACCTGAATGAATCGGATGCCTCAGATTCTCGCTCGTTCTCTTCAATAACTACTACTGGTACCACTGGGACAACGACTGAGACTATAACAACGGGTACATCAAGGAAAGTACCCGCGCCTCTGCCGCTTCCGGAACTCGGAGAAGCAGATGCCCTGAATACGGATACCTCAGCTGTAGGAACGCCTGTAGGGTCACCTACACCGACATTTCTTTCGACTATGGTTACACCCACCGCCGGTGTCGGTACACCTAAGCCTCGTGTTATCGAGAGTGTATTGTCCACTCCAATCAGTCCTGAGCGTAACGTTACGTCTCCCGACCTCCGAGCTGTTTCAATGTCCCGCCAGACCTCTAACACGCCTACAATTTCGAACCTGAACGGAACTTCCTCTCCAGGGAAGGATGAGCAACACCACGTGTTGACCGCAGTCAACGTTCCTGCTCCTCCTCCAATGAGCAAACACCATTCATCTCATCACAGTCGAGGCAAGTCGTTGCAAGACGCCATCCCGAAGGTCGAATCCAATCCAGGCAAGGTCGAACCTGAAGCCAATGAGCCTTCTATCTCCGAAGCAGCCATAGGGGAAAGACCAGCAGAAGATAAACCCAACAATGATCAACAGGGTGTTGAAGAAGAAGAAAATAGCAAAAAGCGGAAGTCTCGCCATGCGTCTGTTTCCTCTACTTCCTCTTCCTCTGCTTCCTCTATATCCTCTCAATCTGAATCTGGATCCGATTCAGAGTCGGAAAAGAATCTTCATGATAGCGACGACGAAGATGAAGAGGAGGATGATGAGGATGAGAGTGAAGAGGAGGAAGCTAGAAAGACTAGCTTAGGCGCCGGCGTGGAGAAAGTCAGCCGTCACAAATAGTTTCCCGCTCTCGGACATCCGTCAGACTCCCGCCCCGATGCCCGAGTAACCTATGTACGCTCGGGAACAGACACCTTATTTCCACCCTACCTCCGATCGCATCTCAAGTCAAAAACAAACACCACCCAACTCCATTCTTCCCCTTGGCATAAATCGCGCTTTCTGCATCTCATATACCATTCAACATTGTTATTTATGTCGCTCTCTCTCTCCTTCCTGCGCAATCGGTTCCATGTTCACATGCTTCCTCAAACTTCCCTTCACGTCACTTTACCCAGGGTGGTGTTCCGTTAGCCCGTATCTTACCTGCTGGACTTATACATCGCCATCGTATCTCATACTCATACAACATTTTAACCTCCTAGTTTATTCAGGACTTAGTAAATATCACTCTTGGGCTTGCTTGGTTTTGTTCGCCGCAATATTTCTAATATTTTTTTCTGTATTATATCTCTTGGGCGTTGGGAGAGGCCTGCTTTTCTTTTACCTATAGTTGTAGCTACACACCATTTATGGAGTATGTATATCAATTACATCTAGTACGCTGCTGGCTTCGAAGGCGTAAGTCAGAATACAGGATTTCCTGTGCCTCGTAGAGTATGAACAAGTTTGTAATCGTAGTGTGGGGTATGGGATACACATTCGGAGTTGTGGGGAAGGATGCCTTGTTACCCCATGTTTCCGACGACACGATGTACTTACACTAGTCCAAGTTTACTGCTCTGCTTACAACAGACAACAGGCTAAGGTCCGTTAAACGTATACGGCGCCTAAGTCTTCCGGTGAATTCCCATGAACGGTCTGTTGAAAGAAGCGCATATACCAATACCACTGTACTATGTATATGACGACTTACATGATTCACAAACTTGCACAAGAGAGAGACCTTGAACACCCTTTCATTTGAGATACAGAAAATGCAAACAGACATATTGTACAGTGCCTGTGCCCAAATTTAGGATCGGATATTGGATCGATCGGTTTGAAATCCATGGAAATGAACGAAGAGGCAGTGACAGGTCTAGAGCAAAAGTAGTGTAGATTCATAAAGCAATCCATGATACAGCAAACTTTAGCAAGGCAGGTGTAAAAGAAACAGACCGTTGGGGCGAGGATTCCGCCGAAATGCCAAGAATAACAATCAGAAGCACTCTTAGCTATCTTTGACTTCTGGTACAACATCCTTCCATTTTACACCAGCAGCAGAAGCAGCCTCGATCGCAATTTGTCGCACAGCTTTAACTTCCTCGAGTGTGGCACCATTTCTGCGTGCACCGTCTAGATGCCAGTTGATCTGGCGGGGAGTGTCGCTGGCAATTAAGGATGCAACGAGGACGTAGGATGTTTCGAGAGGCGAGAGGATGTCTGTGAAACCATAGGTATAACCATAACCGATTGTATTTGAGAAATATCCTGTAGACGGCGCTTCCAGTGAGTAAAAGTGGTCGAAAATAGTAGCAATGAATGAACGTACCCATGTCCGGATAGATAGTGTCCAAGAGTGTTTGAACGGAATCGGCAGTATCACCATATGTTTCTCGAAAGAATGTGCGACCATTTCGTTCGTGGTCTTGAATGGAGGTCGTTTTGTCTCTACATAACAGATTCGAAAGCATTATCATTGAGTACTAGTAGGCATCATAAGCACCATACCTCAACATCGTTGTGTCGCGCAATTCTGGAGGCATCACCTCGTGAAGTGCAGCCAAACTATTAATTGTCTTCAAGAAGATTCAGATACCGTCGACCAGAAGAACGAGTTTCACGTCTTCTCACTTTTGAGTACCCGCTGGTCAATCCGGCCTTGAACAAAGCATCACGGAATTTGCGGGCCAAAAGCAATCGTTCCTCGTGTTCTTGTCCAGCTTCTGCTAATGAATAATTGAAGACTTCTGGCACAGCTTGAGGTTCGTTACTGGCGCTGAACGCAACGGCGGCTACAATGTACCAAGGATTGCTTGCTAGATATGACCGTCAGTAGGCTGAGACAATATTCTCATAATTCATAAACTCACCATTCCCAATCCCGGTAGATGGATATATAGATTTCAGATGGCTCAAGAATGTCGCGTTGGTATTGAATGGCATAATCTAGGCTGAGCACGCGTCTAATTCCCGTCTAATTCCGCCCTTCTATATCAAAACTACTTGACTCGACGCGTTGGATGAAGCTATCCAACTTATGATACATAGATGCTAGTTCAGAATTGACAGCAGCGAAAATTCCGCATCCCCGATCCACTTTCGAGCCTACCCCGCGTCGACTTCAAAAAAATCACCCGTTCCTTCCAGAAATAGGCTCTTGGTTTTTACCATGTCCCTCCTCTTCAAAAACCTCCGGATACATCAAATATTTGGAGCAAATACCAATGTGGGCAAAACCGTAGTGACAACTGCGCTCGTGAGAGCCAGTGCTGCGAGAAGGCAGGGAGGAGATACATATTATTTTAAACCCCTTAGTACAGGTCCTTTGGAAGAGGCTGATGATTTGTGAGTCGCTTGCACGTTCAATCTTCATAATCTCTCTAATTGTCTATCGTCTTCCAGACATGTCCAACAACACACTCGTCGCTGGTCATCCAATGTCCACATAGACTGTTTATACCGATACAATGACCCTGTTAGTCCACATTTAGCTGTGCAAATAGCAAAAGCGTCCCCACCGACGACCGAAACTTTCGTTTCCTCTATTGCTTCCCGCATCCGACAAGGTGCAGAAAGAGCAAACGGTTTTGGACACATGTACGTTGAGACTGCGGGAGGTGAAAAGAAAAAGTCCTGAACAGAAATAGCAGCCTTATCCTGATTCCGTGGCTGTTTCCATTCTCTAGGTATCCACTCCCCCACACCGTGCACGCCGAACTTTCCGACACAAGCAGATGCGTACCGGCCGCTCTTTCTACCTACCATCCTCGTCGGCGACGCTAAACTTGGCGGGATATCTACGACGATAGCAGCTTACGAAGCACTGATTCTCAGAGGATACATCGTCGATGCCCTTGTCGTATTCAACGATCCAGATGAGACATCAAAGTACGGAAATTCGGAATATCTCGACACTTACTTTTCCGAACGCGGTATTGGTGTGGCCGTACTCCGGCATCCTCCGGAAAAGTTGGATAATGAGGAGCAAAATCGTTCAATTACAGAAGAGTACTATGATTCTCTACTCCTCAATCCATCTCTTTCAAAGCTTCTTGCCCGTCTTGATACACTCCACAACTGTCGTATCGCCGATCTCGAGTCAATGGGAGAGAGAACAAAGGAGCACATATGGTGGCCGTTCGTTCAGCATGCAAGCGACGGAGGCGTGAACGTGATAGATAGCGCGTACGGCGACTTTTTCAACGTTCTCGACTCGAAATCTTTACCTTCATCGAACTCTGCTGTACTTCACCCGCAACTCGATTCTTCCGCATCTTGGTGGACTCAGACATTTGGACACACCAACACCCGCCTTACGCTCGCTGCTGCGAGGGCAGCGGGGAGGTACGGCCATGTTATGTGAGTCAACACCTTTTTCTACTGCTGCGTCTCATCAAACTCACCGGAAACTATCAGGTTCCCCCGCGCCACACACGCACCAGCACTCGCGCTATCCGAATACCTGCTCTCTCCAAACGGGCCTGGCCATGAATGGGCTTCCAGGGTATTTTTTTCCGACAATGGAAGTACTGGAATGGAAGTTGCGTTGAAAATGGCGTTGCGAACATTTGTGAGAAGGAGGGAGGCTTGGTTGATGTCCAATGGTTCAACTCCTGAGGGAGGTGAAATAGATCAAAAACGTAGGAGGACGTATGAACGCCGTTTGGGTGTCATAGGTCTCAAAGGTTCATATCACGGGGATACAATTGGAACGATGGATGCTTGTGAAGAATCTGGTTCGTGTCATTCAATATTTTTCTCTTCTACCTTAACTGATACATTGGATCCAGGGGTATATACATGTGAATGGCACGATTGTAAAGGATATTGGTTTGACCCTCCGAGGGTAGTGATTAGACAAGGTCAAGCTAGTGTTGAAGTGCCCTTCGGCATGGCCGAGGAACTACTCACTACGGACTCGGCCACGATCCCCAAGAAAAACACCAAAAATCTCATCACTTTTCTCTCTCCTGCACATGTATACGATGTGTCTTCCCGCTTGAATACACCGCTGTACAAGCTGTACACGACATATATCGCACGGAAGCTGCGATCTCTTCAATTTGGTTTCTTAGCACCGGAATTAGAGAGGGAAGGATTATCAGAGAACAGAAGGGTAGAGCCACCAACAGAATTAGCGGCACTAGTCCTCGAACCACTCCTTCTCGGTGCAGGAGGAATGATTTTCGTCGATCCACTCTTTCAAAGAGCATTAGTTGACGTTGTGCGGAACCCGAACAGATTTCCTGTCTCCAGTCTATCTAGTCAATCTTCTTCCCCCAATTTACAGAGCTCGACTATTGATGCTCAAGCCATCGAGTCAGATCTCCTCGCTGAGCCTCCCTTCCCTCATCCCCTTCCAATCGTCTTCGACGAGGTGTTCACTGGTTTTCACCGTCTCGGACCTCTTACACCACAGGCTCTACTGGGTAATGCCCATCCGGATATAGCTGTTTATGCAAAGATGTTGACAGGAGGACTATTACCAACGGCTGTGACGCTGGCATCGAAAGAGGTCTTCGATGCGTTTTATTATGCACCCGAGTCTGAATCCCCTGGGTCTCAAGTTCTTAGAAAGCTGGGAGGAAAGCAGCATGCACTACTCCACGGACACTCGTACACCGCTCATGCAATCGGCTGCGAAGTTGCGAATGAAACGGTGAAAATGATGCCAGCCATCGTTGGAGGTGCGGAGCATGTAGCTATGAGAGATGTTTGGAGATGTAGCAAGTTTGAGAAGTCAGAACAGAAAGAGGCCCAGGTGAATTGGAAACGTTCTCCATCACTCCTCAGCGTCCCCTTGGATGGCCCTATGGATGATGATGTACATGCCTACTCCCTCTGGCACCCTAATTTCTTATCTGACGTCTCACAACTCGATTCCGTGGAAGACGTAATGGCATTAGGTACAGTGTTGGCAATCAGACTAAAGGAACTGGGTGGGAGTTACACATCTACGTCCGCAGAGACCGTGTTTTCACCTCTCTCTCAAATGTTATCTCCTACTTCCCATTCCACAACCCCCTCGAAATTTGTACCAGGTACACTCTCTGCCCCGGTGTATTCAATCCACTTTCGCACCCTCGGGAATGTAGCCTACTTTATGACTTCCCTCAATACCAGTCTAGATGTGGTTAGAGAAGTGCAGGAACAAATCTGGCAGATCTTATGCACCGGAAAGCTATGATTTAGGAAGGGGAGATAGATTTGATTCATAGTTCCTTCCAATGATGGTGAGGCCCCACCACTAACTGTTTCTACTGCATCAAAAGCAAAGCACCAATACATAGTTGGCATTCATGACACTCAAAAAGCAGCCATCTTGAGTAATCGATATCGAGATGGCAGATGTACAATCTAGTCCAAATTTGTCGTTCCCTCTGTAATCACTACAGTCTACCATCCTCTTGCGGGATGAACTCTCTCTGCAGTAGAGGTACTGAGGTCCAACTGTTCCTTTGTGAGACCCCATCTTTGCCGTGTATCAATCTATCAATCCATCTATCATATGCACTGGCCATTTCTACTATATATTTTCTCTCATCACATTGCCTTCCAATGGGGCAAAGTCTCCATGATCGCAGTCACAGATACGAGACAGGCAGTACTGGTGGCATGAGTCTTGCAATATAGCCAAAGCCCTTTCAGCCACGAGATTCTTGGCAACCACCAGGCTTGTCGAAACAATCGGTCCTGCTACCACAAGGCCATGTATCTCGACTTGCATACCTTCTCGCTCCCCCTTCGAAGCCACACTAAGAGGGTATCAATACAATCTCGACAAGAATATATGACAGAAGAGCTCACATGAATTTGATTTGCGCTTGGCACATAGATGAGCTGATCCATTGCATTAGTGTCGAGATTGGATCCAAGCGAACAGATGGCGAGAGAATACTGAGTATATCCTCCATAATAAATTCCGTCACACAGGCAGTCTTTTCATAATTATATCCAGAATCCACGAGAACGGCGCCGATGACGCTTTCAAACACATCGCTGAGCGCTTTAGGAGGGTCAAATTTCCAGCCATTGTCGATAATCGTTTGTGGAGAGGCTGCCTGTAGATGCGGAACATAGCTATCAATGGCTTGGCTAAGATCAACGTTGTTCAAAAGTATCATATGATGCAGCGCTAATTTTTTCACAGCTAAGAATGCAAGAGCTTGTGCGCACACTGCCTTTGTTCGAGGAAATGCCAGTTGTGCCGAATCTGCCGCAGGATACTTATTATATAGGTGATGGACCACGACGAGGTTCAGAATAGCTACGAAGGATGTGTGAATATATCCTGAATAGCAGGAACACAACAAAAAGCTCACCGTCACCAAGGAATTCTAAACGTTGGTAGGATGGTATTACCTCAGCCGCAGATGAAAACGATGGATGTGTCAAGGCCTCCCGCAAAAGGCGTCCGTTGTTAAAAGTATATCCCAACAGCTCCTGCAACTTCGTGAACATCGGAGACATTGGGGTACTTTCCACTTGGCTGTATCGCAGTGACCAGGGGCTAGGACCCCCAAACATCAGCCCAAGTGTATTTCCAGTCTGCAATGCCATCTGCATACCACCAGTCAAGAATGCAGCTCCAAGGGTGGCTTCCATGCAATCTTGTAGACTCCTCCGAGGGTAGTTCCTGGAAGCACAGCGTGAAGGACTCAATTCGTCGTTATTCTCCTCGAGGATGTGTCTCCATGCCTTGATTCTTGGATTTTCGCTAGTGATGAAACGCTCTAGACCGACATCCAACGCGCGATAGAGCAGGAAGCGGTTAGAAATGGAACGCTGGCGAAGGATGTCGAGCTGTCCTTCGTGGCGGTGAGGAAATTTGTTCAGCAGGTGTACAGTGGTGCAAACTTCCAAAACTGCATCTCCAAGTGTTTCGAGTCTTTGGTTGTTATATCCTGCTAAGGCGCTAGGGATCGTGAGTGCCTGTACCATCAGATCATCTAGGATGGGAGGTAAACGCAGTTCAAGCTTGGCTGCACGGACGCGATAGATGTCAGTGATGCGATGAGCTAGTGCAGGTAGAAGACCAAAAGCACGACTCATCTCGTTGGACATGGTTAACCATGAACAACATCCTTGTGGAATGAGAACTGTACCAGCCAGTTTCGAAGATGAGTCCGTGGCGATATTGCCAGACCCAGCCAAAGGATACTGAGTGTCTTTGGATCGCACTATTTTCGACAATTGGAGCATTGGCCCAGTTTCAGGAACTACAGGGGTCCATTTGTTGCGATTGTTCTTGCGTTTCCATTTATCGACATAGTAATCCCTGTAGGTCTGAACTTGACCTTCTGGTGTAACGTTCATTATTGACATCGGTGTGAGGTCATTGCGAATACTACGTAGAATCCATATACGACCATATTGATTCACGTTGCGAACTAGTAAGCGGTCATAGCATTCGCCACCGATAACCGACCAGTCAGAATTCCCGTTTGGGTTCGAAACAAATTCCTCCATTGCATGAAAATCTATATCCATTGACGACGTGACGGGAACCAGTAGCAAGCTTGGACGACCAACGAATGGAGAGCCGCTGATGCGGAGGTGTATCCCAAGTTTAGTATATTCTTCCATCATCCGTAAGCACTCCACGTCCTTGTCCAAGTGCAGTTCGAGCAGGCGCCCAGGTTTTGTTTCCACAATACCATCACAATAATCAATTTGAGTACGGTCAATACGGGTGCCCGTAACCAACCCTGCCAGAACCTTCCCGTTTATGACAATAGGATGCATCCACAATCTTTTGTAAATCACCCACGGATCTCTGACTTTTACATCCATCATATACGCAACATGATTCATGTCTGGCACTGGCTTTCCTTCGGCATCCTGAAAATCTTTGCCTCGCCTGCTTCCAGCGGGCAAGAGATAATCATCGAAAACATCTAATTCGTGCAGCCGTTTCACAGCCAGAAATGAAACAGCGCGTTTCGCTTCTTTTTTGCTGTCTTTGATCGGACCTTGGTAAATGAGGGCCTCCGGTGGAAGTGGTAATGAGGCAGGAAGGCGTAATATGGATTGAAAGTCGCCTGTGTACACTGGGGCAGGTTGTGTGGTATAGAGATCATGTGGGATGAAGGAGCACAGATGACTGATCAGCGAAATCGCACTATCGTAGGTCACAAATGCTGAAGTAGACGGGACCATATATCGTTCCCGGCTGGCAAGGTCCGCAGCACTTTCCTCCTCCTCCTCCTCGTCATCATCATCGTCAGGATTCAACACATCTTGAAATAGCTGTAGTTGGGCTTGATAAGCTTCTTTGAGTTTCGGTTCAGTATCCATGAGTTTTTGATATCGTTCTTGATACGCATAGTCGTCTTCTTGGATCATGACTATAAAGTTGGAACGTTTGTTGCGTGCGCGGCCTCGAGACTGCACGTAACCAACGACATGGTCTAGCGAATCGAAGCGAATGACGACGTCGCAAGCCTAAATGATGAGCGAGATTAATTTCGAGGACTGTGAACCGCAATTGGAATACATACAGGGAAGTCTAATCCTTCTTCGGCGACTGATGTGGCGACAACTACGAGCAGCAACAATTAGACAGAGAAGGAATGTCGAATGCATCACACTCACGCAAGTTGATTTTCTTTTCCCGAAATGATCTCGCGACCTGTTCTTGGCCACCATCACTTGAAACCCGCTCGGATGTAGCAACACCGCCAACAAACGACCCGCATCTGACTAAACCATTCAACTCCGGGATATGCGGAAGTATCTTAGCCAAGTAGGTAGCGATTTGGCGTTGCTCGACAAAGATGATTCCTTGGAAGGTAGGCGAGTGGTGATTACGAAGCACCTCTGCCAGCGTTCGCACTTTTGGCGTGCACCAATCCAAAGAAACCGAGGACGGTAGCGAAGAAGGATCATCCATCTTCGTAAAATATGCCTGATAATCGACCAAGACGTCCGCGATATCAAACAATTCGGAAGGAATTTCCTTGGGTGATGAGCTACGCGAAACGACGAGCTCATTGATTTCGGAAACGTCTGCAACGCGGTATATGGCGAAAAGGCGCGTGATGAGATAGGACGCTTCCGAGAAAAGGTAAAATGATGCAGCGTAGGGCCCTAAATTGTTTAGGGTCACGAAGTATCGACGTTCGACGTCTGCCCAAGAACCATTATCTAAAGCCACATTTTTGAGGAGAGTGAACACGTTGAGAGCATCCCAGAGTAGGGGTGAGGGGTAGTCATAATCTTGAGGCGGTGGCGGATAAAATTTAATCATCTGGATAATTGAGTTTTCAGCTTGGAAGGGTTCCGACCGACATTGAATACGCACTTCGGTGGGTTTAGGTAAGTTCTCTGCAAGTTCGTCTACGTGTTCACGGACGCCAATCACTTTAGCGTCGAGGGTCGTCTCCAAGGTTCTGATCGATGCAGCGGGATTTTTTGAGTTCCAAACAGGGGAAGCTGTCATTCCGAAAACCTTGGGTCGTTTTTCGGGTGGACATTGCATGTATTCATGCATGATGATGGCGTACGCGTGCTTCTTACGAGCATGGTGACATTCGTCAAAAACCAGCAGGGCAACCTGATTATGAAGATGGATGAGAGTGATGCTGTGATGAGATGATAATCTGGTACGAACATCTTGTATCTTCAGAAGAGAATGCGTCAAAAAGTTGAGAAAAATCTGGGCTGAATCGCGCTGTGAATGAGTCATGGCGTATGGCTGCACGCTACCGAGTACAGCGAACAAATAGTGAAAATATGGAAAGGAATGTCTTTTTCTCTCCGTTTCATAGATCCACTATTTTCCGCTAAACTGAGAGGTCCAACCGTACACCAATCCACTGGCGAGGATAGCAGATACACAGCACGAACCGGTTAATACAAAAACATCGTGCTGTCGAAATTTCAACTTCCACCCATCGCGATCCGAGATATCGATATTTGACGATCCGTGCAATTTTAAGACGCGTAAAGATGAATGTTGGGAGATGAAATCGCCTTGCTGCTCGACTAGTGGCACTTTTGGGACAAAGAACATGATCTTACGACCATCGTTGTTCTTCGCTGCAATCCACTTGATGAGGAGAGTGCTGATGAAGGTTTTGCCACTGCCGGTATCGAGAGCAGCGATGATATTTCCTTGTTGGGCCTGCGTGAAAATTTCTTCCTGGTATTTTCGAGGTAAAAGTTCGGTTACCGATGCATTGGAAGTCATGATGGCGGAAGAGGAAGAGCTACACGGCTCATTCTAATGGAAGCGGCACTATAACTTGAAGTGATTGTGGGTGTAGGTGCCAAGCGTCTAATTTAGCGGCATTCAAAACTTGCCTCCGTACCGCCACATACTGCCACCAAACTCTCATCGCAGCAATCCGCAGTCCAGAAATCTCATTAGAAGGTCAATAAGCCGTTCAACGTACTTCTCTCTGAGTTCTTCTTACAATCGATTACCACGATGGCCGTGAACATTGACGAAGATACAGAATTGTACGTCTTCGAGATTCACCGTGAACTTTTCTTATATTCAAACTTGATACAATCTAGCAATGATGCACTACGAAAGCATGGGATCATTCCAGCTCGAGAGCCTACACCTCCCTCACCGTCACCCCCTCCATCGCCAACTTTCAGTGACCTCCTCAACGATTTCACTCCTTCAGAACTGCGGGAGATTAGCGAAGATGCACCAGATGACGAGACGGAACGAATGATTGCTGCGTATCGAAGGCAAAGGATAGCTGATGAAAAGACCCTAGATAAAAGGTCTCGGTTCGGACGAGTGTATCCTATTGGCCGAGATGATTATACACGGGAAGTCACTGAGGCAAGCAAAATCGATGAAGAAGGCGACGAAAAAGAGGAAGGTACCGCTGTCATATGCTTTTTATATAAAGATGGGTAAGTTATTAGTGGGTTTGTTTTAAGCGTATCTTCGGAAGTAACATTCATTCGTCCAGTATTCCGCGAAGTGATCGCGCTTTTCAACATGTGAAGACCCTTGCTGCTCGCTATCCCCGTTCCAAATTTGTTTCCATAGTGGGCGACAAGTGTATCCCGAATTTACCAGACAGCAGGATACCCATGTTTATCGTCTACAAAAAAGGTGATATTCGAAATCAGGTTGCGGCCTGGGGTGCTGATCGCGAAAGAAGAATTGAAGGTAAAGAGACATTACTACAGCTACCAGATATTTCCAACTAATATCGATGCAGAGTTAGAAGCACTGTTGATTGTAACTGGTGCTCTCCATCCTCCCGAACGGCGTGCACCAGAAGATAGGAAAAAAGAAAGCAGTTCGGATGAGGAAGACTTGGACTCTTCTTCGCACGTACGCTCTACGGCAACGTTGACGAATGGGAGAAAAAATAAGAATGTCAGAGGCAAAGACAATGATTCGGATTCGGAATTTGACTTTGATCTATGAAATGTATCGGTCTGTGCTTTGAATATATGATTGTGTGCTCCACTCAGCTCTATCGCAGGCCACAATGATTTGCTAGCGGCCGATCGCGTTGGCCAATTTCTTCATGTTGTCGCGTGACGTCATTTCGTTGTGAGGGCCGTTGAGGCGTCGTCGTGAGACAAATCTATTGTACTACAAATACGGGAGACTTCGAACTTTTTCAACCTCTTCAACCACAACTTCAACTTCGTTTCCCTTACAACTTCTTAAACCTTTACCCCTCATCTCTCTTTTGAAAATGGGCAAGCGAACTTTCTGTTTAGCGGTCTTCAGAATGTTCATCCTAATCATAATTCATCCGCAGCTGGGACAAAACGTTCTGCAGACGAATCTGGCCCTACCACCCGCTCTGCGAAATCTGCAAAGACAGATGAAACATCAACAGCCTCCAAGGCAAAGAAAGGTAGTAACAAGAAGAGTCCTACTAAAGTATGTTCATTCAATTGGTCAAACTGCCCCAGCTTGCCTCTGATCGTCATACAGGCAGTCCTCCCGGCGTCCCAATTCAAGGCTAAGGCCCTACCTCTCCACGTCAACGTTACACATACTCCACCAAGCGCTGGCGACGACGATACCGTTCCATCTACTTCAGCAGACCCAGGACAATTAGGCTCTCTCACCCTTGTCCCAAGTTCGTTCAATACAGGCAGTTATGGCTGGAAAGGCAGTAAGCGCCTCACAGTGGAGCTCGAAAATGATACAGGGACAAAGGAAAAAGTGCAGGTTATGCTGACGTATGTGGTTTCAAACTCCTATAGGCTCCAAGCTTGCATGATTTTGAGCGATATTTGCGTTTTCAGGATTAACGCTACTGTGTTAAACAGTAAGAATGCTCCTTCAGAACAGGAAAAAGATGAAGCGAAAGATACAAACGGGGAAGCAGCTAAGGAGAAGGAGGAGGGGGAGGATGGAGGCGAGAAGGATGGTGAGTAGAGTGGATAAGAACCTCGTCGACACAATCGTAAAAACAAATCTATGGGCCGGTATCTTGAGTTATCTTGTACAATTAATCGTTTGTCGTGAGTTTGCTAGACATACTGCTTGCATCTCCTCGCGAAACATGACCATCAGTATTTTGACATTTGTCAACGTCAAATTTTCTCCGCAAACCTTGCCTGAGTAGTTCTCTAAGACCTTTTCATAACTTCCTTCACGACAAAACTCTGAGTATCCTGGCCGAAGAGGAATGGGCCACAAGCAGGATATCTATTCACCTTCAACAAACTTTTCAAAGCCACGAAGGACCGCAATCACCCGATTGATCGTATTCGCCGTAATTCTAGTCGCATCTTTTCTCTTCTCGACCCCCATCTCCAGCCTCCAGGGTTTCTACTCCGAACTCAGTCCCATTCAATCTCCAAACCCGGATTCCGAATGGCAGGACAACATTTATCCTTTCCGTCAGCAAAGTCCTTGGGACATCTCTACGGACTTCCCATATCCACGCTTACTCGAATATGATGTCCAAGAGGGCACCTGGCTGCGTCTAGATGTTCACCCAATATCAGGAGATATCGTTTTTGATATGCTGGGTGACATTTACTGCATTCCTGCTTCAGAGGCATACGCGTACGATAAAAATACTGTGGCCCGAGCTAGACCAGTCCTTCTAGGCATCCCGTACGACGCAGATCCAAGGTTCTCTCCAGATGGAAAGCGATTGGCATTCCGCAGCGATGCAGGCATTGGGATAGATAACATTTGGCTCATGCATTGGACAGGCTGTGAGGAAATGGATATCAGGCCATCGACAGCGGTCGATCCTCTGTTAGCTGAGGCATTAGCGGAAAAGGATAAAGAGGATCACCTTCTGTTTATTCAACGCGTATCAGAGATGAAAACACGCCAAAGAAATCGCCTGAGGAGAGAGGGTCGCGTTTTCGGTACTTTTCCATAATCAGCATTTTCAATTCCAGCTCACTGTATATCATGCAGCTCACCGTATCACCAACGAAACTTACCGATATGTCTCTGGTCCCCGTTTCCATCCTTCCGGCAACAAAATCATTACATCTAAATGGTACACTGGCAAAGTTACAATATCTGCTCCAGAAGGATGGGAATATAATCTACCCGACTTGTCCATTGACCAAAAGCCCGGGACCATTACATCTGGTAGCGGCCGGCGTGTCTTAGGAAGGACACTTTCTCGAGGAATGACTATAGATGACTATGCTTCGCAACAGATCGGGCCTGAGCAGTTTATCTGGGCTGGAGATGATGTGATTATCTTCGCAAAAAATGTGGTGGACGAATATACGACCTCTGAAAAAGATGGTACGTTAACTTTTTGTTTGTCGAATGACACTGATTTCTGATAATATCAACAGTTCACAAGGGTGTTTTCGCAATTTTTTCCTATAATATAACCTCTGGCAAGCAGGAAACACTCGTAGACGCCTTTCCGGGTGGTGCCAGTCGTCCGGAGCTGTCTCGAGATGGAAGGTCGCTTGCTTTCGTCCGCCACGTTAGAGATCAAGAAGCGCTTGTCATCCAGTAAGTATATCTGAGTCCTGATCATGCGACTGATGGCCATTCAACTCACGCAGGGATCTACAAACCGGTTCATTGCGTTACATTTGGTACGGGCTTACCTTCGATTGGTCCTCCGGCTCTACATTAGGTGGCTCTTATCCCTCATTTGCGTTCACCCCAAACGACGACGCAGTCATTATCTGGGCTCAAGGACAAATCTACCGGGTGCCCTTGACCACGAATGAGTTTGGAGAGAAAATTGCCTTAGGGGAGCCTAACCCGATCCGTTTCACTGCCCATATCGAGACACGCATTGCGGAAACGCGGAAAAAGCAATTGGATTTGCTTAGACTAGAAACAAAAGATACTCAGAGGGTGCATGCGCTCAAGGAACTGGCACTCGATGACGTTGGTTCAAAGGCTGTATTTCAAGCCGCCGGTGTATCGATAGTGCAAACATTTGGTGAGACGGAAGCCACCAGAGTACCTGTACTTGCCCCGGACGCACCTTACTATTCACCCTCTTTCGTTCCCGGCGTAAATAATCTGGTCGTCCATGCTCGATGGTCTGACGTCAATTTTACGACTTTTGAGTTGGCAGATTTGGATTCTGGGCTTGCTTATGAGCTTTCAGGGGTTCCGTTAGGGAGATATTTTACTCCTGTGATTAGTGCAGGGCCTGGTTATGCCCGGAGGATCGCATTCGTGAAGAGCGCAGGAGACAGTCTTACGGGTGACATTCTTGCTACCGCTAGACCAGGCCTCTATGTCGGAGAAATCAATTTATCTTCACAAAGCCCACCTGGTCCCGCTGTTCAGGATATTCCCATACGAGGTTTACGATTTATTCCTTCAGATGTGGTTGCCTCTGATCTAGCTCTTACCATACGCTTCATCAACTCTTCGAATTTGTTGGTTCAAGAAAGCTCTCGAGTCTTCTCTGTTTTTCTCGATGCAGAATCTGAACTCGTCAGCACTATTTTCACAGGAAAAATGACGAATGAGATAGCTCATGCTTCTAGACTCTTTGCCGACGCGGGCACGGTTGACCACGTAGCCTTCATTGAATATCAGCACGTCTATTTGGCAAGTGGCACTGCCTTGAAATATAAGGAGGAGTTATGGGCCAAACCTGGCAACTCGACAACAGGTTTAATGCGATTGAGCGTAGACGGTGGCCACTCATTAGCTTGGAGTAGAGATGGTAGACGTCTATCGTGGCTGTTAGGTGCGTTGCCCGTCTTCCTCCAGTCTTTCCTTCATCTAACCCATACAAACCTCAACAATCATAGGTCCTATTATTTATTCTCTTGACATATCCAAAGTTCATCTATGTATTGACGCCGCTCGAAATGATCGCGATACATTTGGTATCTCATGCACCAGGGGTTTAGTTGACCAGCAAGAAATTTTTGTTGAACATTCAACCGATATAGCTCGGCTGAAATCAGACGCTTCGGACGCTCGACATGGACGAAATTCTACCACTTCGGTTATCGTCGCCATTCACAACGCAACCATTCTAACTATGGAAACCGGGGATGAAGCTGAGGACCTTATTGAACACGGCGTGTTGCTGGTTCAGGATGGTGTCATAAGTGCTGTGGGAAGAGCAGAACACGTTCAAATACCTGCCGGCGCTGTGACCATCGATGCTTTAGGAGGTCGGTCCTTTTGACTACTGTGTTTTCTCAGCTACTGTAGACTTAACTGATGTCCAAGGTTTCGTCATGCCTGGATTCATTGACGTTCATGCTCATTGGGGTGGATATACCACCCGCTACCCGGCCAAATCATGGGAGATGCAGACGTTTCTTGCGTATGGTGTGACTACGATGCACAAGTAAGTTTCTCATCGAAGCCGTGCTCGTATGATTCTAACCGTTTGCTATCCTCATCAGTCCTAGTTCTAATACCGTTGATACCTTCGTCGAACGCAGTCGCCTTGAAAGTGGGCAATTTATTGGACCTCGGATATTGACCACAGGGACAGTAGTATTCGCCGGAACATGGACTGGTTTGTATGAAGAGATAGTCGATGAAGCACAGGCCCTCTCCGCTCTAAATAGAATCAAAGCTGAAGGTGGCCCCTTCACACTCTCGTACAAGAACTATCAGCTTCCTGCTCGGTATGTCCTTAAGTTTTTTCCCTTTCGTCATTTCTAACTCGGAACAGCGCATCTCGACAGCGACTTTTGACGGCTGCAAAGGAGTTGGATATGCTTTGCTTCCCGGAAGGAGGCGCCAACTATGATTGGAACTTGGCGTATATCATTGATGGTAATTGTAATCGTTCTCACAGTTCCTCTTCGATTTAATCATTTGTATAGGCATGACTACATTAGAACATACGTTTCCATTTGCATCGATATACGAGGATGTGTCCAAGCTCTTTGTTCGAAGTGGCACCAGCTATACACCGGTATACCTCGTAAATTACGCCGGTCCTTGGGGAGAAGAATACGTCTGGACAAATCATGATGTTCCCAATGATCCCAAGTTCGTTGTAGCATACTTCAAATTTCGTGCCCTTCACTTACAGGTACCACTGGTAGACTGAGACGATTTATGCGGCATGATATTTTGGAGAAACTTACCGAATCGGTAGCCCGCCCTCGGAGCTGTGGGTATTGTATCTTATATCATTTTCATACTTAGACAACCCTTTGCAGCCTACGTCATGTTCAACGCTTCGGTTTACGCTGCCAAAATGGTAAATGACGGGCTAAAAATTCATATTGGCGCGCATGGCGAGCAACCAATGGGCCATAACTACCACGCGGAGATGTTTTTCACAAAGAGTGGTGGGCTAACCAATTACGAGGTATCTTCAGAGTTCATCATTATGAGACGAAGGATGAATGTATCTTTCACAGGTTCTTCAGGCTGCAACTTCGAATGCTGCGTCCACGCTAGGAATTCTTCAGTCAGTAGGGACATTGAGTGCCGGCAAGTTAGCAGACTTTCTGGTTTACATACCTGGAGTAGATATTCTCCGCGGTCCCATTGAAGATACCACAAGACTCAGATACATTGTTCGGGGAGGAAGGATTTGGGCCGCTGATACAATGTCTGAAATCTGGCCTGTCGCCGGGCGGAAACAGACAATGCCATCCTTCAACCCTGGGTCCTGACCTTGAAAGTATTTTTTTCTCGCAAAGACATAAATCGACAACACAAGTATATATTGGAAGTTAGTTAACGCCCATGTCATCCTTGGAACATCAGGATAGGCCAGAATCCGGTTGGGCCTGTTGAGTCTGGTTCCACATTTGTCCGGTGCGCATAGCTGTTAGACTCTTAAGTTCGATAATGAACCTTGTACCAATTCATTGTAACAAGACGCGTCTAACAGTCTTCGATTTCTTGAAATGCTTTAAGGACCTTCGGGGTGCGATGAGATATCTGACAAACAGAGGAATAGCCGCGGGTCGCGTTCCAGTCGCAGCCTAGGAGTCAAATACGTGGAAGCCTTTGCACCGGGAGACCCGCCGTGAGGGGACTCGTCGGTGATGGGCATGACGGGAAGCGGTCGACAGCAACTCGCAGGAGTCGGAGGCGCAGAGGTCTTGCGAGATTTTAGATTTTCAGTTTGCTGAACTCAGACGACAGTCGCAGACCTGCTATTACATTTGCCAAATAGAGGTGACAACGAGTGGTGATGAAATGCTACTTACCTTTATAAGGCCATTCTAGGGGCTCACCACGTTCATCGATATCACTGCAGTCTGCGCCGTTGGTTGGAGTTGATACCGAATGACAATTGATGAAGTTTGTTGCATCAAGTAAGTATATGTACACTACACTATTGACTCTTGTAGTCTACTAATCAAGATCATAGATACTACTGCAGGTCTGCAAATATTTATTAGTTTAAGGCGTATGATGAAGATAAAACTATGCGATGCGTATGCTGGGAAGGGAATATAAGGAATGAGAAATAAAATCTTCTAGCGACCAACCGGGGAAGCCGAAAAAGAGTAAATGCGCGGATAAAGAAAGAAACATGCACGAGAAGGGAAGAATGTGACGTAAAGAAATACAATGGATTGGATTTCAAATTTCGAAAAAAACGGAGTGATTACAACGATGACCCCAGATAGAACAACAATTTCGCGAACAGGTTGAGTTGAGGCGGAAGTAGAATGATGGTTCTGAGTATGGAAAGCGTTCGCTTGACAACAAAGATCAAAACAAATATGGTACAAAAGATGACTTCGGAGGCTAAGAGTTGAAAACATCGGGGGAACCCGAGCGCGAAGCTTCGGCAATGGTTGCAGTCGGCTGAAGCTGCAGTGACCCATTCCGGTAATGTGTAGGTTGACCGGCTGCAGTCATTGTATAAACAGGTTGATTGTGAGGGTAATAGCTTTGCCTTTGAGAACGGTCGTAGTCATAAATAGTGAAACTGAGAAGGAGAGCGTTAAAATCAAGCACATGCCCAGATCGAGTGTAGGAAACTCACTGGTCCTCCAGCTGTCGTAGTTCAGGTTTGAGTTTTTCAAGGTCAGCGTTCGCCTTCCGTTTCGTGTGCGTCAGTGGCTTTTCGACCATAAGGAACTCATCCAATTCGTATGATACATCAAAGTTTGCTTGTTTCAGCTGTGTATAGTACCAGTCAGCAAGTGTTGGACAACGGGAGATAGGGGAATCACATCTGGAATGAAGGGTGCAATCAACTCTTTGGTTTCTAGTCTGTCCCATTCTAAGGAGCCAAACCACGGATGGTCGCGGAAGTCGTCCAGTTGGTCGATTGTGCGGCATCCTATTCGTTTCGTGGTATCTCTTTCGATGAGCTGTTCTAAGTTTAGCGACAGCATTCAAGATGGATGGTCGTGGACTTACTTGTTTCAGCATGTTGATGCCGTGGTTGCTGAGAGGGATTATATCGGTAGGAAACTCGAGCGGCTGATTCGAGATGGAGTATCTCATACGTTCGACGTTCTTGCCGTCAAATGGACGTTTATTGAACAGTAGCTCGTATATTGTAATGCCCAGGCTCCACCAGTCAATCTGCCATGAGTATCCTTTGTTTGTAAGGATCTCTGGAGCCATGTAAGCTATACTTCCTGCTACACTAGTATGCGGCCGGCGATCAGAGTAGTGAATGGCGACGTTGAAGTCAGTGATGTGTGCGTTTCCCTGAGAGTCAAGAAGGATATTGTCTGGTTTCAAATCGCTGTACATGACGGTTAATGGATGAACCACAGGATTTACTGCTTGCCGCTCACCGATGAATGATACGCTGTTTGTGCAGGTAGGTTAATGCTGAAGCCAGCTGCGCCAACCAGAATGCAACGACGCTTTCTGGTAGAGGGCCTTTGCGTTCAAGGTGAACTATGAAGGATGTCAGGAGACCGTGACCGGTACAGCAACCCTCTGAATCACATACATCGTAGATCTCCACCAAGCATCAAGTCAAGGACAAAGAAGCAATTTTCGTCGTCCTGAAACGCATAACGCATGTTGACGACGAAAGCATGGTCAATCTGTTCAATTCATCAATAAAGCCTTCGTTCATGTTCAATAAACGCGTACCTCTTCCAGCAACCTCCTCTCTTGAATGATATTGGCTACAGCTTTCTGTTTGATACACCGCGCTTTCTCGACATATTTGAGAGCATATAGCTTTTTGGTCCTCTTATGCTCGACGACCCTGACCTGATAAGATGTTATCGTCGGAAATTTGTCGACGACACGAATAGGACCACGTTACCTTTCCGAAAGCTCCTTTGCCGACTGCGCGATGAAGGTCGAAGTGATAAAGGTTTACTTCGCCGTCAAAATCGATTGGCTCTGAAAAACAACAGCAGACGGCACCCATGTTGCATAACAGAAAGAGAAACACACAAGGACTTTGTGACTATATGAGGTGAAATACAAGGGGCCCTCCTTATAGGAGGCTTTGTACTTGTCCTTGCTTCTTTGATCCGTTGTGTATAACCGTTCCCGGCCATTTCAAATTTCATTTACAGGCAAAGGGCTCGAAAGGGCCCGGGTTCAATACGTAGCACAAGGCAGCACACCGCTGGACAACATTCAAAAATTCCTTGAGTTTTGTGGAACTGAGATATCAGGGTATGTAGTAGAATACTGCAGAGCATTCACAACTGCGTCAAAGACGGACGGACGCGATAAGTCTAAAATAGTAGCTACAAATCTATAACAGTCCATCTAAGAAGCTGCGAGGGGCATTGGATACAGGAGGAACGACGACCATCCGTTTCCCTGCAGATGTTGATGGAGGCAGGTAATCGGCTATGATTGAATCGAAATCTGGCACTATAGGAGCTGGAGAGAACGTCAATAATTGGGCAACCGTTTTTGTATAAAAATAAAGTACTCTGAACAGCCTTAGCCTTGACCGAGTTCTGCAGCATGGTAGATACAATGAGTTTTCTGATAGCAGCGCCATCCATAGGAGTAGCCTTCATCAATTTTAGAAGATAATACTGTCAATTTCAACATTGACACTTGCCTTGGAAGCCTCTTGTTTCTGCAGACCCTTGACGGCCTCTTCTATGGGAGTGAGGGATTGCTTGAATGTACCAAGCGGACCAGAGGCTTTGCCCAAGAATGCCAAAACATCTCCCTTGGTGACCATTCCTCTTACACCTGTCCCAGCTATTTGACTCGCGTCTCGAATGTTGTTTTCGGCAAGTAGCCGGTACACTGAAGGAAATATAGGCCCGGAATGTGATATATACTCTGACGGTTGTGATTTCTGGGGTGCGGAAGGCTCCGGGAAGGATTTGGGTGGTGAAGAGGACGAGATGGAAGTGGAAGATGAAGATGATGCCTCCTGCTTCGGTGCATCGGACGCGTCTTCCTTTGGAGGCTGGAGGTTGGATATATCGTCGCCTTCCTCAGCTAATAAAGCTATTATTTTCCCAATTTTGACATTTTTTGTGCCGTCTGGGACCTAATTGAAGATTAGACCAGGTTCTGTTCCACATGCATCATGGGCACACGTACTAGAATTTTACCCAGAATACCGTCGTCCTGGGCTTCAACATCAATAGTCGCTTTATCCGTTTCCTGGTAAGAAGACGAGTGAGCAACGTCGCGTGTCACTATGCGGTTTAGCACACTATTTCAAGCAAAACATCCCCAGCGACAAAGCTTTCCCCTTCCTCCTTCTTCCAGGAAGCAATACCGCCTTCCGTCATGGTAGGAGACATGGCTGGCATTTGCATATTGGTCACTGCGTGTCGAGCTGCGCTTTGGGACAATACTAAAAGGAAAGTCAGCAAAGAAAATATTTGAACCAACGCAAAGACCTACACCTGTTTCTCGAAGAGCATGCCGAACGCCTTACAGAAGAAGAAAGGTGGACTAACATCCTGGAAGAACTAGGTAAAGGAAGAGACCGAAAATCGGATCAAGCCCGGATTCTCTTCTCCGAGAACTTCTTGCTTCATCATTCATTATACTTGCTTATATGACTGTGGCTTAGCTTTCTCCTTCCTCCATCTCCTCTCTCTATTTCTACCGCCATTCAGGCTCTGCCATCTTCCAGGCGGGAGATTTCCGCATTGCTATGCTACAGCTTTTTCCCCTGTTACTACAACTTGTACGAACATATGGCCAACGTTTCTTCCTCAAGTTCGGACTGTAAGTTTCTATCACCTTCCCATGGTTTCTTCTAAGTCTTTGCTCTCCAGACATTGCGCAACTCATCAAATTCGCATAATCCTTGTCTCTTGTGTTGTCATCACCTCTCTTTTCTATCCAGCACTCGCTCTATACTCCTCCCAAACGAAATCAATCTCCATCTTTGACGCTCTTATATCACCAAATATCAGCGTTCATGCCCAGCAGGATCTTTCAGATCTTTGGTCTGGTCACGACTCTCTACGTTCACTGGAGGACGCAGTGTCTCGCGCACGATGTGGTGTAGGCCGTACAGTCAGAGTTGAACGGTTGTTAGTTCAGAGCTCATTTTCCGGAGACAACAGCGCTCTTAATCAAGGAATCCTTCTCTCCACTCTCAATTTCGAGCACAAGCTCGAAGAGCTCTTACAATCATCGCGTCAATTGAATTGCTTGCAGAAGGCTGACGGCAAATGCTTTGCTCTATCTCCCTTGGAGTTCTGGGCACACGACAGAGATATGTTACTGACAGACTCCAACATTTTGGACAAGCTTGGTCCCTCCAAGAGCGTTGTCATTGATGGAATAACTGTTACTCCGGACATGGTCCTCGCAGGTCGATCCGACGAACCCACATTCGATTTTGCTAACTACCTTGCATTGACTTATTTCTTCCCCCAATCCGGATGTTTCAGTACCTCTGAACACTCAGCATGGCTGCAGGCAGTCAAAGCTGCTGCGGGTCAAGAAGCAGAATCGGTGACTTTAGCCCAAGAGCCATCTATAATTGCACTCGAGGTGCGTTCATCATTTCATACATGTCTCTGTGCATGCTTCTCTGATACTGATTCTCACAGCTCGGTACATACAACGGCAGATCCGCCATTTCAGTGTTCCTGTATCTGTCGTACGCTAGCTTCTTTGCATATGTCTTCTGGTCCATGCGACAGATGAACAGTGTACATTCGCGGGTCGGTATCGTATTCACCGCGATGGTGGAGATTGCCGTGAGTACAATCACCAGTCTCAGTGTTTGCGCTCTTGTAGGCTTTAAGGTTACAATGGTGCCATGGTATGGTGCTCAGTTTAATTTGGGCTTTGCTGATGTATTTGTTTAGGGAACTTTTACCCATCGTTATTGTCTTTGTTGGCGCAGAAAACATGTTCAATCTAGTAGATGTTGTCGGTCGAACTTCTGTCACTCTCACCGTCAAGCAACGTATCGCCGAGGGTCTGAGTCGTGCGGGCACTTCAAATACCCTTAAAGTAGTATCTTACAACGCGATCCTCGGAGTCATTGCGGTATTCTCGATAGGATCTATTCGCCAGTTCTGCGTGTTCGCTATCGTGGTACTGGTCGCACATTGGTTTCTGGCTCACACGTTCTTTTTGGCGGTTCTATCTATAGATATGCAACGCCTTGAGGTAATACTCTCGTGACGTACTTTATCGTTTTTCCGTTGAACTGTTAGTCTTTCTAGCTCGAGGAACTACTTCGCCAAGATTCTGGATCAGTTCCTCTCGCTTCGTCTGCACCAGAGAATGTACCACCAGTCAAATCGAAATCGACTTGGCGGTATCTAAGTATAACCGCTCGCAAGTTACTGAGCGGGCGTGCTACAAAGAACCTTAGCCTCGTGCTTGTGAGTCCTCTCTGCATAGGCCCTTATCTAGCTCTGAAGTTCATGCCTTCCTTAGCTTCTGGCAATAACTGCTACGCTTTACTATGCCACTATGCCGCCAAGCTCCGCCTCAGATGCGTTGATAAACTCTCCAGCAGCGCCTCGTGGCGCATTGTTCAGAAATTCGGACAAAACTTCGCACATTGAGGATCTGAGCTCAGATGTACGAATCTGGAAACTGCTGAATCCCAATGATGCAGCGTTGCATCTTCGAATCGAGCCGCCCACTTTCGTCACTTTCCGTCCCAACACTGGCAACCACCACTCGAATAGTGCTGGTGAGCACAAAAGTCCTCGATCTCTGGCTCGCACTCTTCGTTCCATATTCTGGCTTTTGAAGATCATGGTCCTCCCAATTGCGGCTACTACATTTCTACTCTGGCTACTATGTTTGTACCTTCTCAAAGATGCAGAGCTATTGGACGCACAGCAAAACCGTGCAGAGGCACAACCGTCTCCGTCGAATGAAGATTCTACCACATTGGAACAGCATGTGTCCTTTTCAACACTTCCTCGCGCGTTTTCTAGCGACGTAGAATTTATCGCATCCAGCTCAGATGGTCGTGTCGCGGTTTCTGTTGGATTACATAACGAAGTGGTCATTTGGCGAACAGATTCGTCGCGGTACTTTTCTATCGACACTTCCGACATTATTCTGCAATCACCCGCTTCGTCCTCTTTCCAGTCCACGTTGACGACCGTCGCTATGAATGATAACGGAGACTACTGTGCTGTAGGTACAGGAGCCGGAGTTATTGCCGTGTGGGACATTCGAAATGACGCCATACGTCCGTTGTCTCATCTATCCCTTCCTGATTCTTTCGCTGGGGTAGTTGAGATGTGGTTTGTACCCAATACAGCAAGACTTGGAAGAAATTCGCCTACTTCGAATCCGACTTCCCCGGTTCTTGCCCCATCACTGCCATTACAATCAATCCAACTTGTGGCAACTTTCGAGAACGGCGCAGTTGCGAAATATGCTGTTCAGGATCTATCCGGATTGACATATTTTCAACCTTCCCACTCGGATTCTGTGGTTCGTTCAAAACTGGTCCGTGTTAAGCCTGAAAATAAACTAATAGTCGCATTTTGCTTGCATGACGGATCTCTCGAGCTATTTGACATTGGTGATGCCGATCCTCTTGTTCAGGATGATTTCTGCATTCAAGCTGGTAATCCCCTTGATACTGTCTCGACTGTCGATATTTGTTGTGCCCTCATGGCTGGTGAAAAACGCGTTATTGTAGCGGCTGCTACGGAAGCCGGTGTCATTTCTTTGTGGGACGGACAAACGGGAGACTGCATTCGTGTGCTAGAAGAGGCGTACGGGCACATCTCCCAGCTACGCGTTTCGCCCGTGCTAGGCGGAACTTGTCGCACTTGCGGACAACTACCATTAGACACTTTCCTGCTCAGCTTTTCTGTGGATCACGTCGTGAGGTTTTACAAGCAGTCTGTCACGGACAGCACGCGCAAATGTACATGTGCTTCTGCTACACTCCGCAGAAAGATTTCATTAGATAAACAGCTCAGGCAGCGCTCCCGCAGCAGTAGCATTTCCTCTTCTGTTTCCACTTCCCCGATGGTATCCGCAATCAGGCAGACCTCAAACTCTGAGGTGTCCCCTTTCCCAGTTTCTGGACACGGTGTTCATTCAAGACGGGCTTCCGAGAAGGAATCTGCGCGACGTAATTCTGAGTTATATTCTTTTCAACTTGATAACGAAGACGGGGAATCACAGAAAACAACAGGTCCGTCTGAGGTCTCCCGCTTTCCTTCTCTCTTGTGGCAGGACGCGTATACTGTCTACGTTGGCGATACAACATGTGATAGAGGGGGTTGGGATGTTCACAATGGGAAAATAGTGGGCATTCGGCGTAAGCCAAGGGGAGCATTTCCAAGCAAAATCACACATACCTCCAATGCTATCAAAATTTTTGCTGCTCAGGGATTGTCAATCACAACCTTAGACCGTTGGGAAATGTGGTTTTTTGATCCATGTGCGACTCTCCTCCAAAGTCGTTCGCTCTCGTCTATACTACTAAACAACAACATGGAGGTACTGGATATGTCACATTCGCTTCCAGAATTACCTTCTCGTTGTTCTATCCCTCGTTTACCATTTACTCGGGTAACACCCTTCGTCGTTACTCACTCTCGTACCCTCGCTGGGTTCGGAAACACACTTGGGGTTTTTGAATTTTTGAAGCTATGATATATGTAACTCGAATTTTGTCTGCTTTCGGATTCTTGTACGAACTCTTATAATGTATATCTAGCAACCGTAGTTCTAAATATTCTTAAATGTCAAGGTGTAGGTCATATAGACGTCTTGGCAACAGTGTATCATAGCTCAAAATTCCAGCCAAATTGACTACCTCCCCGGAACCAATGCCATTTCGGACAAGCTTTACTTATAAGTACAGACTTCCTTAAAAGTAGACGAACTTCTTCATCCTTCGAGGCTTCTAGTCGCGAACCTCACATTTCGCGATAAAAAACTACTTCTTACAGCTAAATGAGATATTTTCGAAGTAGGGACCTGGAGATCATATCAGTATAGAAATCTTGACTAAGTTCCTTCAAGAATTCGGTAACACCTACCTCGATGATTGAGTATCGCATCATGGAACACCGAATTTCCGGCAGAGCAGTGCTTGTTTTCTTGTCCGGGACATTTGACCACCTTCGTTGCTTGCCCTGCTGTATTAACATCCTCGATATGTATTTCCCCGGAAGGATGGTAATAGTCCAGCAGATGAGGCGGTAGATCGACCACTGGGTCCTTACGATCTGTGACTCGATAAAATCCAGGACCGATCTTTGACAAGAATGTGTGTAATGGTTAAAAATCAAGGACATCGGGACTCAAGTACTGACCGTCGAGTCGACATAATTAGCCCAGTGTTCGTTCCCCATGCGCGGTAATCCAAACACAACGACCGTTTTTTTGACCGAAGAGTCAAGCTGCTCATGCAGCATGACAGCATCAAGAGTTGCAATGGTCGCACCTATGACCACGACAATAAAAGGAAGCGCCAAAACAAATGAAGAATCGTCGTACCTAGTGAATGCCCGGCAATTAGAAGTGATTGGGATTTGTATTCCGCCAACGCTTCCTTGACCTCAGCAAGAATATCACTAGATGTGTGTTTGAAGGTATTTTGGAAGCCATAATGTATTCTGATCTTTTCTAATAGAGAATGACCAGAGTTCGAAAGACTGGTCCCCGGAGACGACAATCGAAAATTACTTACCTTGTTGCTTGAATATGGACTTGTCCAAGTCGACATGCTTGATCTCCACATCATCCAATATTGATAGAAGACTTTTCGTGTTGGTTCCCCTATGGGCAACGACGATAGTGTTTGTTGAATTGTCGTGTGCAATGATATCTGACCGGGAAGTTATGAACGGAAAATTATGTCGAAAATTTGCCCGGGAACTCACAGTTCGGAACTGCATTATTGTCTATGTAGTATATGATTATTTCATTAATTCTGTACAACAGGCTTTGTGCACACTCACCTCCTCCCCACTTGATTACATGGATGTCCGACCCAAGAGCTTTACAAGGTTCGCACACCCATTTTGTCACTTGATCTTCACCACAATATATCGCACGGGTGAATAGCGCCGGTCTCAAGAGATTCGCAGAAACAAAATCCGAATTTACTTCAGTTGTTGGGTCGGTAGACAAGGGATGAGAATGATGTACAAGCGGGAACGCAGCTGTAAAACGTGCAAGAAAAATGGAAACGAAGACCAGCTTCAAGATCGGAGTATAGTCACGGAAAGACATTCTTTCTGGACCAGCTAGAAAGAATGTGAGAACAAAAACCAGGACCAGCCTGCAGAAAGTAGGAAACCAAAACAGGACCCAGGTTTACACTGGTTCATATAGTCAGCTGAATAAAGTGGTATAAATCTACAGGGCGCCCGCTCACTGCATTGTCCGGGATTGTGGGAACAAACAACTTTATACTCCCCGCTTATTCCCACCTACAGTCTAGAAACGGAGCAATCTTGATCCTTGGGAAGTATGTAGTGAAACGTACGGTTCGTACATTTCCCTAGCATTTTGTTGACATTCATGATGTCTCCTTTCACTTGAGGCAATAATGCTAAAGTAGTCAAGACTAAAGAAGCACTGAAAGAGGAAATTTAGCAATACGTGGCATGCTATTTGCTACATGTTGCTACCCACACCATGAACAACTGACTCCCTTCTTCTGAAGTTCTGGAAAATTTAGAGTTGACCGTTCCGATGTCAAAAATATCCCCCGACAATGGACACGTACGATGGATGACCACTGCGAGATATCAGGTAGGAGTGCAAGAACGTCGACAACAAGCGACGTAAAGCAAAAATTCACACAAGAATGGACCTCCAACGGCAACTAAGCCGTCCAACAACTTTCATTTATTTTGAAGAATTACGATGGAACAAGTGCATAGTATATAGCGTTCTATACTAATGATGAAACAATACTGCGAAAGGAAAGGAAGAAAACAATCATCGGTCAGAAAGAGGAGCAACATACACCAAAAGAAATAACGTACCAACTCCAAGACTTTTCTAGAACGTTTTAATCCAAGTCAACACCGTACGGGAACGGAGTGGAACGGCGAGCGCGCGTGAGAGAACGACGCGCAGCGGAGGCAGGGGTGCCAGGTGCACCAGAAGAAGTGCCGGAGCTACTGCCCGACGCGGATCCAGTAGTAGTCGAGCCAGGAGTAGTCGAGCCAGGAGTAGTCGAGCCAGGAGTAGTAGCACCCGTGGCATCTGTAGCAGGAGGGGGCGAGGTGGATTTGACACCAGGTGTACCGTCAGCACTAGCCCCTTGCCCACCCTCCTTCTTGTCTTCCTCCTTGTTCTTCTGACTGCCTTGACCAGCTTGGTGCTGGTGCTGGTGTTGGTGGTCATGCTGGTGATTGTGATGGTGGTTGTGACTATGGTCATGATCGTGGTGTCCCTCATGCTTCTCTTCCCCTTTGGGCTTTTCACCACCCTCCTTGCCACCCTCCTTGGAACCTTCCTTGCCACCCTCCTTGCCACCTTCCTTGGAACCCTCCTTAGTAGGAGCCGGAGTCCCCGCTGTTGTATTATCGTCGTCTCCACGGCGTCCCATGCGAACGGAGGGACGCTCACCTGGAGGACCTTCGACTTCCACAGTGATTTCAAATTCGCCCTGTGAACAAGACAACAGCGTTAGGTAACTTGTTGAACCACTTCAATAGAAGTGACTGACCTTAGATTTACGTGCCTTGCCTATGGGTTCGAACATCTACGCGAGAAATTGATTGCGTTAGTATTGTTAGTAGTGATCCTGACGAGCACAACAAACCTTGTGTTCCTTATGTTCGGGGCCAGGAATGTGGACCGGAACAGCAACGATCTCGACCTTGTTCTCCTCCTTGCGGTGCTTGTGACACAGGAATGATTAGCCAATTGCTTATGGCTCAAAGATGTGGTTAAGACAACTTACACCGTGGTGGTGGTGGTGGCGATGGGGAAGCTCTTCAATTTCAATCTGAATTTCTTCCTCACCATGACGGTGGCCAGGACGCTGCTCAACTTTCAATTCAAACTCGTCCTCCTTGCTGTGGTGTTTGTGGTGGGAGTGCCTGTGCTTGTGAGCGGCCTCTTTAATCTCCACCTCGAACTCCTCCTCACCGTGGTGGTGATGGTGGGTGTGGTGGCGGTGACGGCCTTTCTCAATCTCCACTTCAAATTCCTCCTCACCGTGGTGGTGGTGGTGGTGGTGGCGATGGCCACCCTCCTTAATCTCCACCTCGATCTCCTGTTCACCATGGCGGTGAGGAGAGCCGTGGTGGGGATGACGACGACCGCCTTCTTTGATCTCCACTTCGATCTCCTCTTCACCATGTCGGTGACGAGAGCCGTGGTGGTGACGGCGACCGCCTTCCTTGATCTCCACTTCGAATCCCTCCTCGCCATGGTGGTGGTGGTGACGACGACCACCTTCCTTCACTTCCACTTCGAATTCCTCCTTACCGTGGGGGTGGTGGTGGTGGTGATGGTGACGGTGACCACGGTGCTCCTTCACCTCAATTTCGACCTCCTCTTCACCGTGATGATGATGATGATGATGGTGGTGGTGGTAGTGATGTTCTTCACCGAAATGCTCACCGTGGTGGTGATGCTGTGAGACGGATGAGGTGTTGTTTAGAAAAATAGGAGAAAAAGCTATAGGAACGTAAATTGGACTAACCTTGTGAGGTTTCTCATCCTCTTCAAAGATGATATTAAATTCACGCGCATTGAGGGCCTTTGCCTGAGGACTAGGTCCTCCGAGAGCTGGAGCCGGAGGGAGAGAAGACCCCGCAGCGGTTTGGGGGGTCGGAGGAATGCCGGTTACTGGAGGCACAGCATCTGAGCCAACAGCGGTAGCCTGCGGGAGCCCGGTAGCAGAGGCAGCCGGAGCACCTCCGGGAGTAGCAGAAGCAGAAGGCAAAGGAACAGCAAGGGCAGAAGACGCAGCTCCGACTGCGATGACAGCTTTGAGAACGGAACGAGAGTGAACCATGGTTTATTAAGTTGGGTGAAAAGTCTGTTTAGTTGATTTCGATTGAAAAAATGAAGAGTGTTGGAATAAAGCGACCGGCGGCTTTGTCGTTGATTGAGTGTGTGCGATTTGTGAAGAGACCAGCTCTGTGGGGAAACAGAGGACAGGGATCCATTCATCTTTTATACCTTTTTTTCGCCCCAGTCCCACTGCCGAGTCCAGTCCGAGTTGAAGTCTCTGCACTGATTTGAATGCTTACCGTTACTGAAATGGTGAAACTTCGCTGGAGGTCAGAAATCTCATGATTCGGGCACCGAGTCTTTGACAAAATGTGTTCACGGGTAGATGTCCCTGCAACATTGTGATACAAACTTGTATAAAAATGCTTTCTAAATTTATAGCAGGAGAAGAAGCTGTAATCTTGTTTTTTTGAAAGGGTTTGTAGGTGTAAGGAGCTTGACCTCTTCCATGAAAATATCGCAGCCAAAAACATTGGTAGATCGACGATCAAGCAAAGAAAATCAAAATCAAATACATGAGTGATGTTAATCGTAGATGGAATCAATTGAATCTATTTATACCCTTTATGATCAGTAAATGCCGCCAGATGCCCTAGGACCTGATGCCCTCAGATGCCCTGCCCTGCCCCGCTCTCGCCCGGGGCTCGTAGCCCGTCCTCGGGGACCGGAAGACTCCTTCTCCGGACCACAGGCTACAGCAGCCTGCAGGACTACGACGACGATATGTCTATGTTAGCAATGGAGGCTGGGGGAGCGTGTGTATGGAGTACATACTGTCTATTGTTACAGGTCGCGCTGAGTGTCCAAAATTACATATCACAGAATATCCCATGCCGCAGTTGTTGCATTGCTTTTTACTCCACATACACACGGAGTTACTTTAATCTCGAGGCATCAATGCATCAATTGGCAAAGTCTGGCATCAGCGAGGCATCCTGGGACATAGAGGAAAGTAAGGCAAAGGTATTTGAAACAGGCAAGCATACATAATGATATTGCGCCTAGATCAAGCAAGCCCGAAAGACAGAAATCCGGAATTGCTCCCCGAATCTCCAAGTCCAACGTTCAGCGCTTCAGCGCTCGGTACAGTACTCAGTATTCAGTCTCAGAATTGTGTAGCAGATTTCTTTCCTGACCAAAACCATTTGTAGAAAATGAGGCGTTGATGATTTGGAGGAGGTGAATGTCCAATGCAATTTGAAAGCCTACTGTTCTCACGCTCAAATTGACTTCCGGTCGACCTCCATCATGCGAATCCTCAACTTGACTGACGATAATATCCTGTGTTGCCAACGGTATTCTGGGTCCTGTGGACATAATTCCACTGTTTTATCACCTGGCTCTATACATTTACTTGACATATCCCCTTGCTGCGCCTTCCTGTCTCTTCAAAACTCCCACAAATCAGAGTCCACGAAATCCGAAGGCCTTGAAATATCACTGTCGTTGTCACTTGGGGCTTCATGGCAAGCCGTTCGAGCTCCTCTGGATTGTCGTTGGAGGATCTATGCTACTCGGGTATTTTAATTGAAGTGTGTCCCAACCTTCGGTTGATGCTGAATATTGATTGAACAGTCGTCTACTAGGAACCGGTCCTTTGAGTTCATCATCTTTCCAAAGAGAAATCTGGCTTCGTACTTATCTGAAATGCCCGATGCAGTACCACTGCACTCGCTATTGCTTCCTGGAACACACGATACGTGCGTAAACACCTCCTCACTATGCAATGTCTACATATAACTGAAGTAGGCTTGTATTAATTCTACATAGGATGGCATTCTACGGTTGGATCATCTCGCAGTGCCAATCTCTCGAAACACCACTGCATGTTCAACTGCAGAATGGGATCCGAGTTCTAGACATCCGTCTCGCCAAAATCGAAGGAAAGCTCATCGCGTATCACGGTGTATATCCAGAAAAAACCCCATTTCAAACAATTCTTTCAGCAGTCCACGAGTTTCTTACATCACCCATATCGTGTAGAGAGACTATCGTGATGTCTATAAAGCAGGAAGATTCCACATCCACGCCACCACCCGTCTTCTCTCGTCTCGTACGCGACGAATTCGCCTCGGGTCCAGGAGGCTTGGGCATTTTGTTTCTGGAGAATCGGATACCCACACTCGGGGAAGTACGAGGCAAGGTGGTTTTCCTTAGCAGATTCGGTGGAGACGGCGCTGAGTGGGAAAACGGATTAGAGGGCATGGGGATACATCCTACGATTTGGCCTGATAGCGAAAAGGATGGGTTTACATGGGAATGCAAAGACGTTCTTGTACGGACACATGATTGGTATGTATTTATATCTCTGTCATTTCATTGCCTTCTCCTTCCTCCTGTCCCTGCTAGTCTATATCAATGTACTTAACCCACTTTACACAGGTATGCAATCCCCTCTTTCCTATACATACCTGAAAAAGTATCTTTGGCGACTAAGTTTCTCCTCCCACCTCCAAGCAATGGGAACGACAACAACGACGATGGCAAACCCGATAAACGCGACACCACCTCAACCCGCCCTATTCTATCCCTCATATACACCTCAGCCGCCTCTTTCCCGTTCGCAGCACCTAGACCCGTCGCACAAGGCTTCGGGTGGCCAAACTGGGGATTCGGCGTCGAGGGAGTGAATAGTCGTCTGGGGAAATGGGTTTTGGACGCGCTTCGTAGTAGTCTAGGTCGGACTCAGAGTGGGTCAAACTTATTCTATGGATCAGATGCAGATATGGAAATAGGAAAAGGAATCGACCATGAAAAGATCGGGGTTGAGAGTTTGGTAGGGAATGGGTGGACGACGGGACCACGGTTACGCGGCTGGGTATTGGTGGATTTCTATAATCAGCCTGAACATTCGCTAGTGGATTTGCTTGTAGAATGTAATTTTAGAGGTCGACGGCCAGGTGAGGAAGGTTGGTGATTGCGATTAGGATGGTTCCTGTGATGGCTGAGGTGTTCGAATCCTCAAGAAGGGGAAGGGTGGTGATGATGTATCCCATGTCATTTGTGCGGGGAATGGGACTGAGCTTGGTTAGTCTGAAATATGGCAATATGGCACTCCACCGACCTGTATCTCCACTTAGCCTAATCCTATTGTAATTCATTGCACGCAACAGAATACAATGTGTTAATACTACCTTTCCAATGAGCTCCGATCTATCCTAATGTGAAATCTTTAATTTACCTCTGACGAGCAGAGCATTAACATTCAGTACATCGGAATGGCGAAGAAAGTTTCGAGGAAGCTTCCAGACGCATAATGGAGCTCCGTTGCTGTACTCAAATTGCAACGGGCTCGCAAGACCAAAAACTTTGATTCGTCAAAATTGAACTTTGAAGACGGAATGAGAGACGGAAGTGGCGTCATACCGACACGTGATTGAATTCCCTCTCGCTTACGGATAACGCGTCCCTCCGTGAAAAACTGCTTACATCTTGGCTTACATAGACAGTTTTTCCGTACCGCAGATCTCCTGGCATATATCTTCGGAGGCATTCCTGTCAAATCTGGCGTTTCGTTCTTTCCTTCCACGAGCTGCAAGGCTGTCTCAGTCTACACAAATTTCTCCAAGTGCAAGATTACTTCAGGTAATGGATGGCGGTTGCTTCTTTATTGAAGGATAAATTCCTCAATTCTCGTTGTAGATTGCTCGAGCTTTTACTACTTCATTTCCAGTAGCGATGCCTCCGATCTTTGATAAACCTACTACGGACAAGTATGATCTTGTAATTATTGGAGGAGGAAGCGGTGGAAGTGGTTGTTCGGTGGGTTAGCTCGTCTCAGTGAAGGCGTACTCTCAATCTCATAATATATCTCAGCGCAGGGCAGCTTCATACGGCAAAAAGGTTGCAGTAGTTGAGATGACAGCACATTTAGGAGGAACCTGTGTCAATGTCGGATGTGTGCCCAAGAAGGTGAGTATCATTTCATGCTTGAACTCCGCTTTCGAGTCTCATTCGGATCGTATATATCAGATCATGTGGCACGCAGCCGACCTGCGAGAGAAACTCATGTATCATGCCTCGGGATACAAAATGCAAGGCCTCCCGGAAGTACCCAAATTCGACTGGGCGTCTTTCAAACCTCAGCGTGATGCATATATTCGTAAACTTAATGGAATCTATCACAACAATTTCGACAAAGAAGGCGTCGAATATCATCAAGGTTACGGTCGTCTGAAGACTCCCAAGTCGGTCGAAGTGACGCTTGCGGATGGTCAGAAATACACCCTCGAAGCCGACAATATATGTATTGCTACGGGTGGTTATCCGACTATCCCTAGCGAGAAAGAGATTCCCGGCGCGAGCTTAGGTATCACTTCGGATGGGTTCTTCGACCTAGAGGAGCAGCCCAAACGTGTTGCGGTAGTCGGAGCAGGATATATCGCGGTAGAGCTCGCAGGCGTGTTCAACGCCCTTGGTTCAGAAACTCACTTGATCATTCGAGGAGAAACCGTATTGCGTACCTTCGATCCTACGCTGCAACAGGTGCTTACGCCTTGGATGGAACACACCGGTGTGAAGATTCAAAAGTCGAGCAAAGTGGTCAAAGTCGAGGGCGAGAAGGGTAAGACTCTTACTGTCACTTTGGATAGCGGGAAGAATATCGAGGTCGATTGTGTGCTTTGGGCTATCGGTCGTCATGCGGCAACCCAGGACATGGGTTTGGAGAAGCACGGCGTAAAGCTGGATGAGAAGGGTAACGTGGTCGTGGACGAGTATCAAAACTCATCTGTGAAAGGGATAACAGCCATTGGCGACGTCCAAGGCAAAGCTCTGCTTACCCCTGTCGCTATCGCCGCAGGAAGACGACTAGCAAACAGACTTTTCGGTCCCGAGAAATTCAAGGATGACAAACTTAACTATGAGAACATCCCAACCGTCGTTTTCTCGTACGTTTTTATCCCATCGTATCCTCAATCTCATCTTTTTTCTGATATTGCCTTCCTACAGGCATCCTACCATCGGAACTGTAGGTTTGACCGAGCCTCAAGCTCGTAAGAAATATGGCGATGACCAAGTCAAAATTTGTGAGGATCTCTTTTATCATTTGCTGTTCTGTGTGCGGTAATGGAATGACGTTTGTTTATCAACAGACAAATCATCTTTCCGTGCGCTGTACTTTGCGATGGTCGAGGAAGAACACAAGGAGCCTTCGACTTACAAAGTAATTTGTGTCGGGCCAGAGGAGAAAGTTGTTGGGATACACATCATTGGAATGGGCAGCGATGAGGCCATGCAAGGGTTTGGTGTCGCTGTCAAAATGGGAGGTGAGTACAGGCCTTGGACTCGGAAAGTCATGTTCGTACGGTCTAATCTTCCTGATCCGCAGCGCGCAAGCAAGATTTGGATGATACTGTCGCAATCCACCCTACCTCGGCTGAAGGTCTGTTCTCTCTTCCCTTCACTCTGCGTGTGTATGTCGACTGATGTCCTTCATTCGAAGAACTTGTCACCCTGCGATAAGCTTAAGTCGTCAGTATCCCGCCGTTCTTTTGGCATGGTTTATCACCTTTCGAAATCACACGTGTACAATTTTAGAGCATTCACGGAAATATTAATTTATGGAATCCATGTGTGAAAACAGTTGAAAGACTCGGCTTTCCTTCATTATCATCCCTCGCAATCAATACGCTAATGAGATACTGAACGAATTGTAGTACTGATCAGTGCACTGATCACGAGCTGCAGGCGTGTAGAATTCTGGTCACACGCCACTAACGCGTCTCGTCTATATTTCTTGAACTCAAACCACCATCGATATTTATGTCCCAAGCAGACAATATACCCGTGAGTGTAGACAAACCCTTGTTCAATTGTTTCGAAATGATTCGGGAACAGGTTTTGAAAGCGTCTGTACACGACGTCAGATACCTCAGTGCTCTTCTGCGCGGTGTAAATTTCGCCAATGTTAGCGTGATTCGCTAGTTTCGACTATTCAAACTTCTTATGATTCCTTGTATATGGCTGTAAGAGGGCTACTGTGACGGTGACTGAGAAAGGTCTGGTCATCGTGGTTGAAGAATCTCGGACACTTCTTGGTGAGTGGGCATCTCCTAGTCTTGAACAAGCTCTAAAGATAGTTTTACAGGCACAGCATATATCTTCTCAGATGTGTTCGATGAATTTATTTACCATGCAGAAGCAGAAGCTCCTGAAGCTCAAGGGTCACAACGCCAACAACAAACCGTCAACGAAGAATTGCTCTCCGCCTTTGAAATCCCACTCAATATCTTCCTCGAGCTTATGAACATTTTTGGTACAGCAGGCGGATCTGCAACTAGTAAACCTGGGAGATTTAAGGCCTGGAGAAAGCCTGGAGATGAATCCGAAGAACATGAGAGTGATGGTGGGGAGGGAGATGGAACCCAGGAAGAAGGTAGTTCAAACAAAAAAGCAAAGACAGGCCAATTCTTCGGTGGCGGCTCTGAAAGGAAAACGGGCATGCGTTTGACATATATAGGCCCGGGGTACCCCTTGACTTTAATTGTGTGAGCCAATATTTATATCTTGATCACTGTTGTATCCTGAATTCCACACAGTGCGGAAGATGCCTCTGGTCTAACCACAACCTGCGAGATAGCTACTTTTGACGCAGAACCTCATCTCGAACTACCATTTGACTCGGACCAAATGTAGGTCTCGTTTTTGTTTGGCGAACTCTACTAATTCCAATGCGAAGGATGCTGAAGATAATTTTGAAGGTTGGTACGTCCTGTTCTCAACAAGGGGACAAGTATCCATTAATTATCCTCAAACAGTCATCTTGGCTTCGAGATGCTTTATCAGAACTTGATCCTTCGTGCGACAAACTCACGTTTATCGGAAATCCTTCCGATGTTCCAGATGCTGGTGCTCACACCGCAAGACAGCGGCAAAGAGCACGTCTGCAAGCTCAACCCAATTTCCGTATTGAGGCTACAGGAACATTTGGCAATACTGAAGTTGGTGTCTAGTTTGGGTCCTGTTCGTGATATCTTGACCTATACTCACTTTAGATGGATTATCCTAATGATCGAGACGTGCTAGAATCTTTTGAATGCGAGGCTTCTGTGAGATTCAGGTCCGTTCACGAACGAGGTTATCATATTCCAGTTATGCTAATTGTTTCTTTCTAACAGTTATCGTTTCTCTCATATCGCTCGCACTATGCGCGCTTTGCAGACATCGGTTAAAACCTCTTTACGGATTGATAATGAGGGTTTATTAAGTTTACAGTTTCTCATGCCTTCCTCAGCACCACGCATGAATCCGGTTGGAGTAACTTCAAATTTTATTGAATTTCGTGTGCGTTTGCTTTTTGACTCCTTGTACACAACAAACGCCGAACCTTTTCAACAGTGTTTGGCGTTAGAAGAAGATCCGTGAAAACCAATGATGATAATCTAACACTACCCACTAGCTACTTAACACTACTACTACTACGGGCCGCATGTACAGTAACAAGTAATTGATGGACCACGTGTATGCGAGTTGCTTATTTTGGGTGGCGTTCGACGTCGAATTACCATTTTTGAAATGGCCTTCCTCTCTCCTGTGACTGGCATTTTCAGTTATGCACTTGAACCCATAGCTCCCTTCACTTGGATTGGCCTTCGTATAAGCACACTCGATGTTGCTGCAGCTTTTCGTCTTTGTCTTGTCCTACGTCAAATCCGGGAAGATTTATACAGAAAACATGTTAAGGTCCATGGCCACACATCAGTAGAGGCAAGGTCTTTTGTCAGAAGCGCGTCTACGGCTTTGACGGTTGTATTCGGAGGAGAAGGCTTGACTTGTAAGTATTACTCTGTTACATTCACAGGAATTTCGTTTGGTAAAAGTACTCATCAGGCCCGTATCTTATGGTACCACCCTCGTTTATGGTCTCTGGCATCGTGCCAATATTCTACACTGTGATACAAGGAATTGTGGACATGGCTCCTTCCGTCCCGGAAATGTTTTTCGCCATGGAACTTCCACTATCAGTACTCGATGGATTTTCCCGTGCATTTCTACTTTGCGATCTCATACCACCCATGGTGACGCAAAATGCGTCTTCTGCCATTTCCGCTTCACCTTGGACACTTCTGGTAACGTCCTTGGTACGGCTATGATTCCTTATCGAGTAGATTCCTGAATCACTCACTGCACAAATCAGGTTGCTGCGAACGGTGGTTTCTTCCTCACGAATCTGTTTTCATTCATGAACCCTACACCTCTTGCACTCCAGACACCACCAGAATTGCAAGCCTATGGGTGGACGACTGCCGATCTCTGGTGTGCGCCGCTCGTCACCGGGATTTACGCTCTCCTTACGCACGCGCAGCCTTTTTGGGCTGAATCCCATACTTTGGTGACTGAGTTGCTCGGTATGAGTGTCCAAGGAAAGCCTGTGGAACCTGTTGATCCCGAGACAGCCAGAGCATTTTGTGCTCTTATACTCGCTTGTTTGTTTTCTGGACGAACAGTGAAAAATTTTACCAACTACTTCAATCGTCCTGTAGGGGTGATAAGGAAGAAATTGCAGAAAGGTAATGGGAGTTTGTCTCGATGTTTACCGCTGTATCGCTCAACAGTCTCTTCCATAGAACCAAAAATGAAGACGCAATGATTATGGCGATTATTTCAGACTTTAAACAAACTAGAGATTTCATTGAGTACAGTTTGTTATTCTGATGATGTCACAGTATTAGAGTATATGTAGATGAGTTTTTTCCTGTGTATTGGATTGTCGCAGAACTTGGAAAGTCGTTACCTTGTATTTACAAATACGAATGTCATCGGTAGTCCGTGTACCCAATATTACCATGATATTATTAATGACTGACCCCAAATTCGAACGACCCGTATCAGTGCAAAATATGTCTCAAATTTTTGCAGCGTTTCTACTGCTTGCTCGGTAGACTTCAATGCCGGGAAGACTAATATGAAATATCACGACGCAACCAGAATTCTTAATAAAATACTTGAAACTTTGAGCATGAACACAGGCCCAAGATTGCCGACGCCAGAGGGAAAAATCTTTCTACCTATCTTTTAACTCTGTTGAACACTGAACGGTGTGAAGGGGGATGTAGCGGTTGGTTTCAACGTAATGCTTTATCCAGAGAGCTGATAAGAGTGCAGACCTTGTATACGTGATGATGTTGGGTTTACGATAATGGTACATATGGTATATGTATACTATAGAAGAGAAAGTTCTGGTGCCTGGAAGAATGAAGTCAGTGGGATACGTCTCCTTTGAAAGTACAACTACACACCGGACCCCGAGTTTCGAATGCAAGCCAATCGCCAGTTCCGGTTGGCAGTAAGCCCATGGAACGACATTTCCACAACCCGACGCCTAATGTGAGCAAATTGCAAGCAAAGTACGCCAGCTTTTGAAGAGCCATAGTAGAAAACGATTTAGGATTCTTGGAAGCAGATGGAGCGAAGGAAGCAAAAGCTGATATATGTAGACATTAATGTCAGGGAAATTCGAGTAGTGAATAATAACCGCACCTTCATTCATGCCAGCAATATTCTTGAATGGGGAAGAAAGTAGCATGAATATGATGCCCATGCTAAATATTTGGACCCCACTTCCTGACATGTAAAGCATAAAGAACTGCATAGGTAATGATTTGGCAGGCGATATGGCTAAGTCCCAGGCGCGCTTGTCTTTGAGCTGGTCATAGGCTTCAGGAGTTGTACTTGAGATAGCAACGGCCTTGGATATTCCCTTCGACTACATTACAGAGGTCGATATTAGGCAATACGATATTGGGTGTACGTAGGCTGTCACAACGTACAGATGAAGTCGTTTTTGAGAAACCGGGGGGAGGGGGCAGATTCCTCCATCTTTGCGAGCTCGCGTCAATTTCCTTGAAAAGAAGGGCAAGTTACTCACTTCGATGTAGATTCTAAGGAAGAATATTCCAGGTTCAGGCCTGATGACATGGTGGTCGCGATTCAGGGATTGTCACGTGAAATTACATCGCGACCTCCTTCCAAATTTTCAAAGTCCAGGGGGTTCTTCGGTTCTATGTATATCTTCAGGATTCCGTTAATGTTCTCCGGCCTCATCAAGATAGAGGGGTTCATTTACTCTTCATCATGCTCCACCACAAATACCAGATACTACGACATATGTGTACGCAGACACTGCGCAGACTCCGGCCGCGGAGTGCGATAAATACCTTCTACTGAATGTAATACCTCTCGAACTTCGTGAATCAGCCTCTATGCAGCAGATTTTTCATGTGGCACAAACGTCAAAACGTTGCTAATGGTCTCCTGGCCAGTGAGCACGATTCGCATTTCTGTTGACTAGTATGTCACTGAGTCTACTGTATAATAGCCTCTTTAAAATAGTTCTACCCGAAAGAGCAGAATCCAATGGTAGGGAGGTTAGGACACCCTCGAATTTCTTCAATTAACCTTCATTTGTCGCTCACTCATGCGGGTTCGACTGACGAATGACCTACATCCATATGCATAGTCGAGACTGAGGTACAGTGTACCTGACCGTTACGAAGCAGCGAAGCAGGATACTTGTTGAGTTTACTACATTCCAGCGTATTCCTGTGCCTGTACATATGAATCAAGAATAGTTCGCTGAGAGTGGTGGCGCGGATTTGAGAAATGATGATCGCATCTGAGAGAATTCGAATCGTGCAACGTTTCTCCAAGCGACCCACTATAACCCACTCTAAGACCCACTAATGAACACCCAGACAGCGAGGCTTCGTAGTTTTCAATTCATCCACGACCGAGTCTCGAGTCGGTCTGGAGAGACCCTCTGCTGTATGATAGCATTCGTTAGCAGAAGGAACAATCAGAAACAATCAAAACTCTTCATTGAACAATGAATCCATTTTGAGAAGGCCATTAAACTTATGAGAGCGAGAGGATGACTGGATCGTCGGGTGGCGGAATGTACTAAAAGCTCCAAGGTGATGAAAACATAGGCGATGACGCATTCTGTACATACATTGAAGGGGGTAATGACTGAGCATTCGACGCAACTGGAATGATTGAAGATCGGCAACAAAATCATACAAAAAAAGCAAGTCATCCCACCAATGTCACCCGCAGAGGTTGAAGGACGGTCGTAGCAGAACAGAACGAGGTAAGCGTAGGAAATCCAAAACTTCCCAAGTAAGAAATGAATACCTCAGGGTGATACGAGGCAACCAAATGAAGGCGGTGATAGATATTATGCAATTCGATACTAAAACTGGGGTTGTGGTGGGGGAGGTACAGGTATCTGCCCAGGATATTGTTGTACGGCGAAGCCAGGCGGCGGCGGCGGCGGAGCGAACGCTCCGTACATAGGCATACCTTGAGGCGGACCCATAGGAGCCATGCCAGGCATCTGCATCTGCATACCCGGCGGTGCCATAGGCATTTGCATTTGCATCGGAGGCATGATAGTTTGTTGTGGAGTAAAGCCAGGAGGCGGAGGCGGCTGGGCTAGTGCGCCGGCAAATTGACCTTGGTAAGGACCTTGGTAACCAGCCATAGGTGGAGCACCAAACGGCATTGCTGCGGGTGGTGGACGGGCGCTGACAGGTAAAGCGTTATTTTTACGCGCCTGGGCAGCAAGTAGACGTTCAGCCTGGGTTCCATGACGTTCACCTTTCCCGTCTTTTTTAAAGGCATATTGAACGGTGATTGCTTTGTTCATTAAGAATTGGCCATTCATGGATTCAACAGCTGCATCTGATGCTTCAAAATCGGTGTAGGAAACAAATCCATATCCTTTGGATGTCCCTGTACCAGGATCTCGCGCAATCTAATCTCTTATGAGCGAAGGTCGGAAGAAAGATGGAGTATTACACACCTTGGCTGTCGTCGCCAGCATACCAAAAGCACTGAATGTATCATATAGTAATCGTTCGTCGACGTTTTCGTCCAGATTGCCTATAAATAGATTTGCACCAACGTCTAACTGTTTTTTGTCGGATGAAGCCTACAAAGGTAATGGTCAAAACAGATTGGGCTTTACAGTGAGGAATTAGGGTCAGAGCGGTGGCTCTTACGCTATCAAAGCAACCCTATCAATCTACTCATACCTTATTAACCCTAATGGGCTTTCCCCATAGCTTGATTTGGTTCATTATCTTACAAGCGTATTCAGCGTCCTCTTCAGTCAAAAATTCGCAGAATCCGTATCCTTGATGGGCCATAGAGATACGATCCTTGGGTAAATGCACATTTACTATGACAAAATCAAAGGGTTGAGCAAACCAAAAGAAAAGAAATACGGAAAAGACGCACCAACTGGACCTGCTTGTAACATTAGTTCCCAAACCAATGCATCCGTGCATCTCTCGTCAAGATTGCCCTACAAAAAAGTCAGCAGACCCCAGGCATCGTAGGATTGGGTTGAAGACCAACCAGGTAAACGGTGGCCTCTTGATTGCGGTCATCCTGGGGACGCGACATAGAGAAGGGACTAAGTAACAGTCACGGAGTGACCTTGAGGCGCTGACGCCATGACAGGCGCCCAAACTTCCTCAACCGAATTCGGCATTAGCTCAGAAACCCTCAAATCTAGCTCAATTCCATGTAATCTCAAATCCTCATATTACCGCCCTCCAGCCCAACCCGGGATGATCGCTCAACCAACTCTTACGCCATGTCCTTATCTTACGAAAACGCTGACAGATACAACAAGATACAGCAATTGAAGTATCCTCAATTTGCGGAAGGACTCAGGAGGTTTACACCAATGCAATTGACAGACCTCTCGAAATTGAACTCCGAAGGTATAGTTGATCCTCGCTCTCTCCACTCTGATTGCGATTGTATGCATGTTACGATGAAATGTATTTCACTAGACATGGGATTCAATTGTGCCTAGCAATGGTATACCCTCCTCGAGGTGGTATCGAGATGTGTTTGGCTAACGTACAAAGCACCACCTCGAAGAAAATCATATTCTATTGTTATCCGGCTGTTTACAAACTGCGATAATCTAACGATGGATTCCGAAAGCTACTGCCACTGGGGATATGAAACTTGACGGCTATGTTTGACGCGCGGGTTTGCTGATTCTATAAAGTCATCTCGAGGTTCTGCTTCTTATCCCTCATCGGCTTTCACCCGCTTCCTATCAGGTGTATCTCTGTCGACGTCCCTCATCTAGCAAATTGAACAATGTTTAAACAAGTCACTTTACTCTTGTTCACTGTGCTACTCCTCGGCCTCTTGACCTCTGCCGCTCCGACTCCCGTAGAGAGGAAGTCTCTTAAGCAGTTGAAGTTGAAGCGCGGTGACCCGGAACCTTTCATGAGGCGGGATGAAGCACCCAAACCCTCTGGCTATGTGTGAGTACTCTCGGTCGAGTGGATGCCCTTGTATTTACATCCACCCCAGATCCAAGCGCGACGAAGCTTCCAGGTTTGCACAATTTTATTTGACTGTCGATTTCCTGAATCACCTTTCGAAACTTATACAGGGTTTTCAAGAGGGATGAGCCCAGCGCTCCCAAACCGTCCAAGTCAGACCGATTTTCTCCAATTTTATTTGACGAACTGAATACCTCTTGCAGATGGTACAAGAAATGAAGAGCTTTAGGCAATCATTGCCGATAAGGACATATGCATAACTCGGTAAGTATCGGTTCGTGCTGGTGGTGGTATCTACGACTTTGACCTTAGCAATTGGCAGCGTGGATGGCTTTCTTTACTTTCTTGATCGAACAATTTCGAGCGGCTGACTTAGGTACAGATTTTACTGCTCGCGAAATCTTGAAAGTTGTACTTCGAAATAGATTCGACCGAACGTTGTATTACAATCGGGGGGGTCACAGTGCGTAAGCGAAAAATATCAACTATAACCAGGGGGGTGTTTTCTTGGAACGCGGACCGGTGAAGATGCCGTTCAGCGGCATCAGAGTAAAGCAATCATCTTTATCCTGTCTTTATCATTGATTTCTTATCGATTCCTCGTAAATTTCAGTTTGCTCACTCATACCGTGCTTTACCTCAAATTATCTCAAATTCTCTGCTCGAGACTACTGCATAGCCATTGCATATTTCTCATGTACCTGGGCTTGGCTTTCCTCTGCCTTTTGTGTACTGTTTCGATGGCTAATTATGCTCATTCTGCATGTTTGAATATCATCGAAAATGGTCAAATTTCTACTTTTCGAGACTACGAGATCCATCTGCAGCAGAACCAAGAAGCTTTGAGTGGAAGGAAGAGGGCTTTGACTGGAGCTAGTACTGGAGCTCGGAACCCTCATCGGCCATATAAAAGGCCATTGTTATCTTGAAATTATCTATCATGCACTTCAAATACCTGTACCAAATAAGTATATTATGTTGCTGAACCTCATTGCAAAGTTATGGTACTGGTTATTTTGAAGCAAGGTTCTGGAGTGTATGTAAAGATAGCTAATCAAGCAAGAAGAGAGATAACGAGCCTACAACTTGTTCAAATCTGTTGACCACCTCTGGTACTATGGAGAACAATCGGCAATTCGGCAGTGATTACTAAGGGGGTGAACTTTGATTTCGGGTAATGTTGGGTCTGATCGGACATTGGCATAGTTGATATTTCGGATTTCTCGGTCAGGAGCCCCCTGATTACAATATGTAAAAGAATGGCACATCATGCCGAAACAGACCGAAACTCGATATTGAACTGAACTCCTCGGTTTCTCAATGAATGTCGGATAGGATCATCTCACCCATTACCTATTCCCCACCACATGTAACACAAAAGCAACAGAAATAAACTAAGATAAACTGCTGGGCACATGAGCCTCCCATCCTTCAAGAAATTGGGTAACTTAGTATAGTGGATGAGGATGTGTCGTTGAAGATAGGAATACTGGCTGAAAAGGGAAGAAAAATAATACGATTTGGAAGGATATATAGGAAGATCATGGCGTACTAAGAAATGTCATAAGGTGAACGTGGGAAGTGAGAAGAGCTCCAGCCATCGAGAGTAGGAAATCTATTAAACGACGACACATTTGGTTTTTCTGTGCTTAACGACTGGAGGTTCAAGGGCAGCGACGATAGCCTATGGTACATGGAAACATGAGCCAACGTGTATGAGAAGTAAAGAAGTGAGAAATACCTCATCGAACACGTTCTTTAAGCCCTTCTGCGTCAGCGCTGAACATTCAACATACTTCACGGCTCCAAGCTCCCGGGCGAGCCGTTCGCCTTGCTCGCCCATCACTGGTTTCTGTTTTTGCCTTGCAAGTTTGTCTATAACCTGACCGTCGTCCCGAAGATCGATTTGTGTTCCAACGATGAGACAGGGAACACCTGGACAGTGATGGTGCACTTCAGGGAACCATTTCTCTTTGACGTTTTCAAAGGAAGCCGGCGATGTTACACTGAAACAAACAAGGAATACGTCGGTTTGTGGATATGATAGAGGGCGAAGTCGGTCATAATCCTCCTGACCTGTGCTCGATATGAGTTCAAACTTGTAGATATATAAACAGAGAAAACGCACCAGCTGTATCGAATAAGCCCAATGTATATGGATCATCACCTATCATAACCGTCACAGCATAATTGTCGAACACCTGAAGGAAGAAAAAATGGTACATAGCCCGCTTGATAAACAGAATCGTATGCAGGACGTACGGTCGGCACATATTCACTAGGAAACTTGTTGGTTGTGTATGAAATTAACAAGCAAGTCTGCAAGATAAAAGTATCAGCCACTGAGAAGAGACAAAAGGTGATTATAATAGCGCGCCTTGCCCACAGCACCATCTCCAACAACTACGCATTTGATCGTCTGCATGTCTCCAGGTGGTATCTGGTTCAGGAAGGAAAAATTCAATGATAAACAAAATAAGAGCGATTTAACAGCGCAAAAATTAACCCGCATGGGCGTGGCAACCGACAAGCCTCGTGGTCATGGCTTCTCCAGGTCGATGGCGAAGCTCTGGGCCCCACAAAAATGGCGAGAAAGCACTCACTGGTCAGAATACAGAGAATATGCACCAGAGAGTAAAAGGGAGCCTGATATCCTGAGCGGCGGGAAGTCGAAATAGGAATTGATCGTCTTCGAGACAAGGGGCGCTAAATCTAGAGGCTTGAGCTTCAAATTGAAGAAAGCCTGACCTCAACGCTCAGCTGAAAGTCGGAAGGAGAAGGGTACTGAGTTGGTAGACAATAAACGTACAAGGTAAAACGAGAAGCTAGATCAACGCTGGTGAATTCGTTGAGGAGAAAAGGAACTGTTGCAAACTTCAATTGCAAATGTGTGACCAGATGTGACACATATGTCACGTCATCGCATATCCGCGTTTCAGGCTATCTTATCAAGGAATCTTATTAGTTCGATCGGTCTTCACTGCTTTGTCTCTCTCAAAATGTATGTAGTCCAAGATAATTAAAATAACAAGCAAAATCTGGCACCCTCTCACGATAGTTTAGCCTTTTTATTGGAGTCTGCGAGAAGCAGGATGTGTGAGTGTCGGCAAACAAGAAACAGCTACAACAGCAGTCTGACCTGAATTTGCGTATGCAGGTTGCGACCACCAACTTAATAATCCACTATTCGTCCCTGTCACTATACATCCTCCATTGGGAGCTTCCAGACTCTGAATAAATACATCAGCGAACGGCACGCAGATTAAGCAGAAGCTAACAAACCACAGCAGCAGTCACCACTTCGCCTGAAATAGAATTAGGATTCATCAATCTCGAGGCTGACCAACGACCCATACCTTCTTCGCGTTCTTCTCTCAGACCGTGATCCAATCCATATACTAGCGAACCCTTCCTAGTGTCCCAAATGAGAGCGCACCCTTTGATATCCCCGAACAGCACGCCTTGTCCTCGCGCAATAAAGCATGCCCCAAAAGATCGCAGCTGGTGTGGATTCGATTCCGTATCCTTATTAGTGTAAGACTGCTCCAGTTTGCCTCTCTGTTCAGCCTGCAGACCTATCAAACGAGATACACCGTGGCAAGCTATCATTTCGTCTTTCAAAAATCTGCTCGTGTCGAACAAAGCTTTCACCCACTTATCAAAGCGTTGGTTTTGGAAGGATTGACGTCAATCGAGTAGCTATTCGGAGTATTGAGAATCTGTCGGCGAGAAGCTTCTCAAAGAAGGACATACATCTTCGTCTTCAGAAAAGCACACGCGCGTATTATACCATTTGGGACTTCACAGGCCCATCTACGTACATGGAGTGGATATCACGTGAAAAAACAAATTTAGAACTCACAATACACCATCAACTGTGCCTCCAAGAAGAGTCGATCCATCCTCGATGAATGTTAAAGCCGTGACATTAGGTCGAAGGATAGGTCGTTGTGCTTGCCAAGAACCTACGTAGCAACCTTATTCAACGCTTCAATTTCCGCGGGTGTGTTAGTACCCACCTGCACCCTTAGACCAAAACCACACCTTAACACCTACCGAGGGCAGGGACACGGCCACTTTGTCTTTGTAATAAGCTAGACGCATCCCGCTATCTATTTCCTGATAATTTGGCTTGACCCCAATATCTACCATCTTGGCCCAAGTCCAATGATTGAAACTCTGTTGTAATCAGCAAAAGCCTGTAATTTTAGTAAAATAAGGAGCCGTACCGTTCGGCTCCAGCGACTTATCATACCATCTTCCCCCAGTGAGATGATACCGCTATCATCCTCTAGCCAGAGTACACTGGCTACTCGTGCGTTATGACTGAGACGAGCCATCTCTGTACGTGTGCTGTTGTTCCAAATTCGAATAGTTTTATCTGCACCTAAAAAAAGGATGAACAGTTCAGTTAAGTAAGCATTTGGAAAATTGCACTACTGACAGATCAATGCCAAAAGTGTACCGTCAAAAGTACCGGTGATACCTAGAATTGCGAGGTCACCTTCGCCTCTCAGGAGTATCGAGTGGTTAGACTCGAGCGTCGGCCATCGGAAAACTCGCTTCTGGGACCGCATGCTGTCCACGGGCCCATTGACATTCGGTGAAGACGCACGCTCTCGTTTGACACCCCTAGGCAGAGTTGCTGCTACAGGCTTTGGGGGTAGTGGATGGAAAGTCTGAGGAACGGAGGCTGTGTCTACGGGAAATGTCCCCGACAAGGCTGGAAGTTTCACAGGATTTATAAGAGTTGCGGCGTTCCAAGGGGTGGACGACGATGTGGAGGTTAGTTTGGAATTGGTAGCAAAAGTATTAGTGGGGGTAGAAGTGGTACTGGGTCGTCGTTCTTGGGAAGGTACACTGGAACGAGTATCTTGAGGCGTCTGGGTAGGTAGCTTAGGCGAAGATGGCCGAGGTGTAGGAGGCACAGGAGTAGTTGTAAATTTAGGAATAATAGGCGACCGTTTCGATTCTAACGATGTATTGAATGAACGATCATTCGATTGGTTCTTCCCCAAAGCAGGGGAAGTCGGTGATTTGTTTGGCGAATTCAATCGCGAGAATAGAGAAGGCGCACTCTCTTCAGATAGGGGCAGATTAGGTGCTCTAGTGTTCGATGGAGATATTCGCTCAAGAAGAGAACCTATATTATTCAGAAAATGCAACTGACTGTAGAAGGAATTTTACCTTTACTACTGACACTAGGAGAGGTAGTATCTATGGAAGGCAGACGCTTCCATTTAATCTGTACCGGTGGGGGAGGCGGAGGTTTCGGAGAGTCGACCGGGGGCGCAGAATCAGGAGGGACAGGAATTGCAGGAGGAGGAGAAGGAGAAGAATAGGCCACCAGATTGGGCATTTTCGGTACAAGCTGGGGACGGAAAGCAGCGGGGTGATTTGAATAGATTTCCGACGTTGCCTTGGACATTGGCGTTCCGATCCCGATTAATACCCGTTTCTTGGTTTGAACGCCAGCAAGGGTTTTGGGCCCGGAGGGGGCCGATGAAGCTGGTACTAGCGTAGAGGGCTTGATACTAAGAGGGTTGGTGTATGGACCTGATGAAAGGATTGCCAAGGAGTTTGCAGTCGGAGCAGGTTCGTCAGCTTTATTTCGCAGACTACGAGGAGCTCTTGGTGCATTGGGTATAGATTTAGCATGTTCCAGCATAACCTTACTGCTGGATGCCACGGCGTTTCGAGGCCCAGTCGGGATGGTTTTATGTTGAACAAAAAGTGGCGCAGCTTCGGATTTTATGAACTGCATGGACAATATTGGAAGAGAAATTCCGGAAAAAGTTGTCGAATAACGCACCTTCGTTTCCTTCTCGTTGACTTCTCTCGAGCCGCAATGAGCTTCCATAACGATTGAGTCATTTTCGTTACCTTCTTCTTTGACTTTGACGACTGACGAGGCTGTATTCGTACTCGCCTTAAATACACTGAACCTTTGAAATGATACAAGCAATACTTAAAAACAGACCTGAGGTTCTACCGAGAGATCCAGGGCATTTTTTGATTCTAGAATGAGACTGGGCTGTGAAAATGAGGATTTAGAACAGAAATTTCGGCGAATGCTTGGCGTACCTCAACTGAAGTTTCCGCAGCTGACTTGCCCTCAAATGCAGACTGTCGAAAAAGAGATATCACGATCAAGAATGTTGAGCATTGAATTCGCATACCTGTTCCATGACAAGATCACAGGCATCCGCATGCTATGAGGATTATCACATAAAACAGGCCAAAGCTTTGTTCAAAATGCCAGTAGCATACCTTCGCAGAATCAGGAAGATTCGACAGAGCTTCCTTGATATGCTCTAGTTGGGTCGTCGCGAGGGTTTCGCCAGTGAATTCAGTTACAAAACCTGCTGATACGAATGGATTATATATAGGGGATGTTCTAGATACTTCTTTCAAATCTCTCGACCTAACATCGCTATAGTTTGGAAGAATTGACTTAAATGGTGAGGATGGGATAGAAGATGGGGGTTGAGCTTGTAACGAGTCATCAATCGATTGGACGGCTTTGGCGGCAGTCAGAGGTTGAGACGAGGTGGTGCGCGGAGATATTCGTATACCATCCTCATCATTGACCATCGAATCAGGGCTATCGTCAGGCATCAACGGGGACGGCAGAGGACAACCTGGAAGCAGAGATGTGAATGGTTCGAATTCAGGAATCCCCGCTGATGATGGTTGCGAATCAGAGTCAGGAGAGTCCAAGTCCATCGGAGAAAGGCTACGTTCTTTGACCCGTGCCTGCTATTATCAACATCGAGTTCATGCTGGAAAAACGAAAACGAAAACCCACATGTTGTTGCATAGTAGAGGTATCTATTGAGAGGTACGGAGATGTTTCAGCTTGAACAAAAACGGAGCGTGTCGAGTTCAAAGTTTGAACAGAAACAGATGTTGAAGATGGATGTGATTGAACCGAAACTGTTCTATGAGGTGGTTTTGCTTGGACTTGAACTGAACAGCTAGTTGGGGTTGCTTGAATGCCAACGGATGTCCGCGTAGTTACAGGCCCATCTACAGGACATGAGTGGAATTAGATGGGGAGAAATTTAAACATACCACTTACCGTCTGTTTTTTTTACCCAAGCGCGTCTCATTTTTGGGGGAAGGGCATTCTTTGGCAAAGGTGGTATGTCTCCATCCTTCGCAGCTTTAACCCTTTCCTGCATTTCGAGCTCGTCTGAGGTGAACGGAGCCCCGCAAAGCAATACAGAATGATCCTTGAATCTGGCATCGTCAACAGTTAGAAGAATCTCTTTGCCGGGAGTGATGGTGAATCGTTTTTGGGCAAATATTTTGAAATGAACAAGAGAAGATGACTCTCCCCCTTCATCACTAGAATCATCAGAGGCTTCTACACGTCGTAGCACCGCGTGAGGTTTCTGAGTTAATCTACGTGGGCGAAAGCATAGTGAAGTTTTTACACCGAGGATCTGGGATATAAGGAGTCCTTCACTGGGTATCGAGAAGGAATCATCCATAAAAAGTGTGCTGAGTACTCTCCTGAGGTTTGTATATGTGGTGCTCTGGATACTCCAATTAAAGAGAAGAATAAGGCTTTCGCAGGGGATTTGGAGGGCTGTTGGAGGGTGAAGCGAAACTTCGCAACGAGATGAGAAGTTGCACGTGGCTGTAGCGCCCACATGGTGATTAAGCGCTAGTGGAAGCTTATTTTCGCTTACGAGCTGTAGCTGACGAGCGATGATGCAGTGACGCATGACCGGCATAACTCTTGCAACGCTACTATGGTTCACAGGGTACTTCCGATTTCTTGAATATTGCGAATAACGTCTTAAATTTTTGAGTAAATAAAAATCTGAGTAGACAGTCTTATTTAGAATCATGTTAAGCTTGTCTTTTGTCTTACATGTTAAAGCAGATAAGGCATAAACAGAGCGTCGGACCATGACCGAGGAAAAACAGGGTACTTCCGCATCTTGGGTCACACTGAGTCACATCAATGCCGCTGCTCGGCACTCTGGCACACTTGGCCATTTGATGCTGGGTTGAGGCAGAACTTGTGTTGATCACGCTTTTGGAGAGTGTCAGAGGTTTGCCGAGGCTACGGCATGAAGCTGGAATCAAATATTGTCACGTCGCATACCCTCTTCACTTTATCTGCTTGTCGAATCTCTACAACATATTGGATTGCTTTTAAATTTGCTATGCTAGCTAATGAGAACCTCTACTTAATGCCCATGTCATTTTTACAGTTATCTACCAGCTCTTCGTACGGTTCCTGAGGCTTCAATCTAAAGTCACGCTTGTATATTACAGTATTTTGGTCTTGTACATATGCATCCCCTAAATACAATCTATTTCATATAGTACAGTATGTTTATAGAGAACCTAGAAAGTACTACATAAAAAGTCTGAGAGCATTTATCGACCTAAAACGTTCAAAATATGAGATTTTCGAAAATGCGGAAGTACCCTGTTTACGGAAGTACCCTGTGAACCATAGTACGGCACACTCCGATAACAAGGTCTTCCTCCAACCACCACAACCAACTTGGACCACGACACATAACATTCGCCGCTAATACACCCAAGACTTGCTTTTGCGATGCAGGCTGCATCGCATGGGACCCGGCAAGTTCCTCGCCATGTCTCCAATGTGATTCTTGGAACTGGACCCGGGAACAGAGCTAGATCTATACACACACCGGCGTTTGCTAGATTCACCTACTCCGCCCCTGTAGGAGCTACAAAACGAATTGCATCTCAAGCTCGTACTATCTTATCTCGTTTTGTGGGCTATCTTACTGCTCCGGGCCTCTCGGCCCATTCACGCACTTTCCAACAAGCAGTTCGAGGCTCGGCTCCGGGACGTATGAGCAGCATCCAGGACCGGCTGTCATTTTCCGCAAGATATGCTCTTTCACGTCCTGCTCAGCCGCTCTTCTTCCCACGTGGTCCCACATTTGTGACCCGTTCAGTCAGTCAGGTAGGACTGGGCACCACCAGAAATTTTACTTCCGGACGTTCTGTATTCCAAAATCTAGTTGAGAATGTCCCGATCACAGGCCGTGCTCTCTGGGAGGCGGATTGGGAGGTTCGTATGCAACAAGAAAGAGCCGCGATGAAAAAGATTTCGAAAGGTAAAGTCGCTCAGGTACAGCACAAGGAAATGTTGAAAAGGAGAAGTGTCTTCGCACCCCTTCCCGTCCCGGAGCTAGTCCCAGAGTCAGTTTCGGAGATGGATCACTACTTTGCTTCTCCGATTACTCCTCAAGTCTCCACTATATTGTTCATACCCCTTGCGCCCACACCTAACCAACGTGTGCCTCTTCCTTATGATTTTCCTGATCATGTGACATTGCTTCCTTTTCCTACCCTTGCATCCATTCATAACTCACATGAGCTGCACTCGTTACGTGTATCTGCACTCTTTTCCCGACTCGATGTCGCGAAAGTATGGGAGAAAGGTGTATTGTCCTCCGCTTATTCTAAGCACGGTGGGGAAGAAGGTGTATGTACCATTCTGAAAATCGAATTTGTCGGTTGGACAATGGCCGAAGTACGTAGTGTCATCGGCGAAAGTGGTACTGGTTGGTGTGCGCTTGAGGAGGTTGTCACGGAAATGCAGCCAGAGGAGGAGGAAGATTCGTTCTCGGATGCTTCGTCTGTTCTGTCTGCGATCTCAGGAGGAGAAAGCATGAGTTTGTCTTCTACCCACGAGCCAGCTAAATCTCTCGTTTTACCAACGTTAGACTTCTCCTCGTCCTCTGTTCACCTTCCCATGTCGCGTACCTATGCCAACCACGATATGTTCTTGGAAACACAATCGGATCCTTGGGCAGATTCGTCTTCGGACGACAGCTGGGTAGATCACAGTCATCTAGAATTTAGCTCCGACTTCGTCAGTAGGCTTCATATGGACCAGTGATGTTCGTCCCCAAGTGATCATCCTGTTTAAACAAATCGTCTTCGCTCCACCAAAAAGAACAAAAAAATGATCATCTTCCTGTACTCTCATTAATTGGTACCTTTGTGTATTGCTCCTGCTCTTCCTTTTCTTTCCTTCGTGTATATCACATATATGTCTTTCTCTAATTGTAATTGAAAACACGTCTTCATTATCTGCCCGACCTCTTCCAAAGCACAACTTAATGTCGAATAGGTTCACAATTCAACGTGTTCGCCGCGTACATAGCCTCCACTGCAAGACAAGTAATCAGGAGGCGAAATTATTCGCGTTGTTCCTCTGGTGGGTCAGAAACGTCATTGTACCTAGCTTACATCGTTAGACTTTAGCTCTCATAGAGGCGAGCGTGTAGACTTCGGCGATTACCTGATGCTGGGCTTTCCCATCCTTTCTCAAATCCTGATAATATTTCAACATGATCTCTTACCGCAAACCGGTTACTTCGTTGCTTTCAGTATTTATAGTAGAGAGTTTCCACAACCCGTACTTAACTACCGCCTGTCGAGCCTTGAAATTTGGGAAGGAAGTATATAAGTCAGGTATGGGCTCAGCAAGTAAGATCTCTCGCCTGGAAACTAACATCATGAATTATAAACAGTGACTGTTTTTGTATACACCAGATCGTAGCTCCCTTCCCATCATAGTCATGGTTTAGTAGCGCTACGCTTCGTTAATTTTCCACGAGGTGACCTCCTCTGGAATTGCTGCGTAAGTAGGTTCGGTGTAAACGAAGGCAGGAAAAACCTTTACCCAAGCAACAACCGGTGGAGAGATACTTGCAATTGTTCCACAGTAGCTGGATTGAAAGGATTCCTCTGAGAGAGGTGGCGCACATTTGGAAGTATCGGGATCGACATATCCTGTTCGATGTCTTTGATCCAGTCAAGTTCATGCGTGGCACGATGTACTTTACTGCATTCGCCTCGTCGGGGGCTCAGGCTAGAGGTGTTGGAAATCCACACTATTTAGTGGAGATGGGCGACATAAAATATTTTCATACAACGAAAACAATTTGATTGCTTCTCTAAATGTAACCTTTCCTCTGCAGCTTTCCTCCGATCTCCAAACGGTTGAAGGGTAGAGGAGCTGTGTTCTCCACAGCAATATCTAAACGACTTAGATTTGATACAACTCGCGACTTCTGACTCCAGTCTTGACCCTTTGGGAAGTGTTATAGACAACGGACAGATTGATACAACTCTTCGAAGTTTTGGTAGCTAATGTGGCGCACAGATCACTTTTCAAAAATATCTACAACTCCCGTGGCGGACCCTAGATCTTGGTTTGCCCGTACGGTTCTTATTTGGCAAGGACCGCGAAAATATACGAATGCTATGTGTACTTCCGTCTTCTTATCGCACCCTTACCTATTGTGTTTGTGTTAGACATATTTCCTCGTCCATCCTCAACTTGAACACGGACCATAAGGGAGAAAGGAAAACGTAACGATAAACGTTAGATGACACGACATTCCATGATGAAAGTTGGTCATACTGCACATATTGAAAGAGTAACTAGTAGCATACTACTTAACACACCTCAAGATTCTTTCATTTTGTGGCGCCGTTGGCTTTACGTCTGATTTCAGGTTCTATGGGAAATCGCTGCTCGTCTGGAGGGACAGAATACAGTCGTTGCCAAATGGGCTGCAACGGTTTAGGCGTCGGCCACGCTAGTTTATCGTTCCGTAGCCATAGACGGATGAGATGGCGACTGAACGCGCGTCAATTCAATCGAGCGAGTACGGGGAATGGGCTAAAAATGACTTACACATTTTCAGGATCATCTCGGAAAGCATCTCTAGCGTGAAGGAGCCCCAAGCTGTTGATATACTGGATATCTCCCTTCTGGAAGTTTAATCCCAGCGAATACTTTTCTGCAAGGAAATGGACAGCGTCCAAGGCCTCGGCCTGGGCTTCCGTTATGGGAGGGATATCAGAGCTTCGATGCTGGTTGCCGTATCCAGTAAAATGTCGACGAGAATATTGGATGATGATATGCCCATCTTCATGATAGAGCAAAGGACGTGTGGTGTAGCCTGTTTGGCCGCCGAAGCTATATTCGAGGGATATAATTTGACCTTCCACTAATTTTATTTCACAACGGTGAACTTACGTGTCCAAAATCCAAGGTTCTGAGAGAATTTTGATCAAGTCGGGCCTGGTCGCTGCGAGCTCGTTGTAGACACGTCCACTGCTGCTAATTCTAGATACACCGCCTTCCGCCGCTGTAGCGAGTGCAATCAGTGCAATGAGATCCCCGACATCGGTGTGGAACACCTGCTTATCAGTCGTATATCTATAATTAAAACACGAATGAGTGTCAGGTCATCTTTTTGTGAACTCCACATACGCAGCATTGCCGATTCCACCTTTTTCATGAGCATGACTAAGAGTTAGATCTTTGATATGAGCTAGGACTGCTCCAGTGCCATCTTGTTTTCCTCGAGCTGAACCCACATGCGAGGATATTCCTATTGCGAAGTTCTCTTATTTGATGCGGCGAAATGGGTCAATGATAATTTTACCTGCGTAAATAATGGCCAGGTCGCTCCTCGTGTACTTATCAACTGGTATGGTTCTCAGAACGAAAAAGCCTCGGCCCGAGTAGAGTTCGTTTGCCAACGAAACCAGAATCTTACTCAAGGTTGGAAGGGGAAATGTATCATTTGAGATGTACCCCATAGCTCTGTTGAGCGCTGATTACGGGTCACTGAGCCTCGGTCTCATCGAAACACGTTAAAGAGGCAACTGACCTTTAAAGTGTGCAAGAGCGTCATCGATCTCTTGTAGGTGCGCAGGGCTCAGATGGAAAACCCACTGATCCTCAGATATCCAATCTTTGCCTTCCCAGACAATAGGCCCTTCGACCCTGGAGGGGAAGCCAGAGGGCAGCTGGGATTTCGGGAGGTTTGGATTTTCTGACAACCTACGCGCAGTGCGTTGTTTGTACTTGACTTCATCTGGATGGTAGGAGATGTCAGGCTGGACCACAGGGGTAATACTCTCCGTCAAAGTGTAAGTCATTGCGGAGGGAGGAGTGATGTGAACAATATTTACTGACCGGTTAAATATGCATCAGAAAGGACCTGTCATTGATTATAATCAATGAGGAAAGACCTAGACAAATCCCAAGAAGTCATTGGTTGTATCATACATATACCTAGATGGTACCCCAATTGTACTATATGAACAGCCAATAGACACAGAAGAAGGGGATACTGAAACTCCGGTACCGCACAAACCTAGGAAAAGACCGAATATCGTAGTCAGAACAACGACGATACGGGTCGATACTTCCACCAAGCGATGTACCTCCGAAAATTAATGCGAACTTAATATTTCAACCAGTCATTGAAGTTGGATTATGATTATAGTCGAGCCTTACTCGATAGGTAGTGTTTGAAAGACCATTCAATGCAATGTGAAAAAACTCACATGGGGAACTGTAATCGATCAATGACCTTGAATACAAGCTCACGAATCTATGCGAATTCTACGTAGAGACTGTCTATTCGTGATTTGAGCTTAAAATACAAGATATGCTTCGAAGAAACAGAGAAGTTGGAATAGACTGGAAGGTATAGTAGAACCACTGACACATATTGGTTAGGTCTTGTACAAATCAATCGATCATTCAGCGGCTGAGTGCTGGTTAAGTTCAACGTTGAACGATGTGCCTGAAGAGTATATTAGAAGGAACGCAAACACTCCCAAGAACACCATACCTCGCGACTGTTCAAACCATTTCCGCATCCACTTGCTCGGGTTCGCCATACACTATGAGCTCAGGCCCTTTCTCACCAGCTCCTTCTCGTGCCTTGCCCTGCCGTCGTCGTTTTAAATTACGAGTGGGACCAGCAGAAAATTCACCGTCCCCAATTTTGAGAGTGACCTTGAGCGTGGACTTTCCTCTAGTTTGATATGTGATATCTTCCTCCTCGTCTTCCGGAAGGATCTCATCCTGTACCTCAACAGTCCCAGTGAGGATTTCTGTGTGAATTTCATCTGATGAGAAGGGAAGGATTGGTGGAAGTGCTAGCGAAAGTTGAAGGAGGAGTGGGATTGCGGCTCCCATCGCGCTGAAATGCAATGTTTTGTAGCTAGTGGGAGGTAATGAGTATATACAAGCAAGTCAATAAGTGGACCTTACCCATCCTTGATAATTATATTCTTGCATCTTCGCATGTACGTGCTCAACGAAGTCTTACGCGTGATGCATATGAGATTTTTACCCTCTGCGTGAGCTGAGCGCGGACCGGAGGCAGAGACAGAGGTCGGAACCGAGGGGAATGGTCGAGCAGGAGTGAGTTTATTGATACGTTGTTTTGGTTTGACTTTCACTGTCGATTCAGGTAAACGCGACAGTACTTCATGATGAACATTGTTTGCTAAAGTTTCGGAAGTTGACGTGACATTTACAGATATGGGACCATCTGCAGAGCTGAGCTTTAGCTTCTTGCGGATTCCAGCGGCCGGAGACGAGTTACGGGGCCGTTTCCTTGTGTTTTTGGCTGTGCTCATCGCTGTTCGTGACACTGACAATATCGGACTCATGAATCAACGCAAATCAATGCACGTGACTTTATTACAGCGAACTTTTTAAATTTTTCCATTCTTACACCCACTGCCAGGTTTTCCAACTTCATCTTCTGCATAATCTAAGGAAGATTCGTCGTTGCCCAGAATGAGTCAGGACGCTGCGGAGCAGAACATCCAGATGTGGAAGGTCAAGAAGCTCATCAAGAGCCTTGATTCTGCCAGAGGGTACGTAGAGCAAGATTGTTTTTTGACATTGTACTCATTTTTTGTACACCAGAGCCGGAACGTCTATGATCAGTCTTATCATCCCTCCAAAGGTAAATCGATACGCTTGATGTACCACAAAATCTGAAGGATCGTACCAGGATCAAATTTCTAGAGCATCAGCAATGTTGACGCAGGAATATGGCACAGCTTCCAACATCAAATCCCGAGTCAACCGTCTTTCGGTGCTTGCTGCTATCACCAGTACTCAACAGCGTCTCAAGCTCTATAACCGAGTGCCGCCCAATGGTCTTGTGCTCTTTGTCGGGACGATTTTGACCGATGAAGGAAAAGAAAAGAAGGTATCTTTCGATTTTGAGCCTCACAAACCTATCAACACGTACGTCTCAGGAATCACAATTGAACTTGACTCTCATTCATCTTCAGATCACTGTACTTATGCGACAACAAATTCCACACTGAAGCCCTTTCTGAACTGCTGGAATCAGATTCACGTTTCGGATTCATCGTTATGGACGGTAACGGAACGCTCTTCGGTATCTTAGCAGGAAACACCCGTGAAGTCATACACAAGTTCACTGTGGATTTGCCGAAGAAACACGGACGTGGTGGTCAGTCGGCCTTGCGTTTCTCTCGTCTTCGAGACGAAAAACGTCACAACTATGTCCGAAAAGTCGCTGAACTGGCGGTTCAACATTTCATCACCAATGACAAAGTGAACGTGACTGGTTTGGTATTAGCTGGTAGTGCCGACTTCAAAACAGAGCTCAGTCAAAGCGACATGTTCGATCCGCGGCTGGGCGCAAAAGTGATCAAGGTTGTAGATGTCAGTTATGGAGGCGAAAATGGTTTTAACCAAGTATGTCATCGTTTCATCTACAATTTTCCTGCGGCTCACCGTTTCAAACATAGGCGATCGAACTTGCGGCAGAGTCTCTTGCCAATGTCAAATTTGTGCAAGAAAAACGACTCATTCAGAAATACTTCGATGAAATTAGTCAAGATACCGGTAAATACTGCTTTGGCATTGAAGACACCCTGAAGGCTTTAGAACTCGGTGCCGTAGAGACATTGGTAGTTTGGGAAAACCTTGACATCACACGCTACACCCTTCGGAATGCAGCTGGAGGTTCGTTTCCTCATCTGATTTTCCGGTCCCGCGACTGAAAACTCTGATATCAAGAGGAAATCGTTGTTTACGCCAACAAGGAACAAGAGAAAGACCGAGAAAAATTCTTTGACAGGTCTACTGGCATGGAGATGGAGCAAGCCGACGAACCACAATCTCTTCTTGAGTGGTTTGCCGAAAAATACAAAGATTTTGGTGCCAATCTCGAGTTCGTTACGAACCGTTCCCAAGAAGGTGCCCAGTTCGTCAAAGGCTTTGGTGGGATTGGCGGCCTACTCCGATACAAGGTCGATTTCTCTAACCTCACTTCGATCGACGAAGAAGAAGAAGACGAATTCTATTCGGACGATGAAGACATCTGACGGTATTGCTGGCTCTTAGGAGCCCCGTCCAACCAGGTTACGCCGTGCGGGGCTGTGGGTAGGGGAGATCAGGAAGAGGTACTAGTGCACAACGATTGTGCTTATGGGTATGTGGTAAAAACATTGAGGATTAAACTTGATTATGCTCGGTATTCATGGCTTGGGCCTGTACTGGACATATTGGGACTGGGAAGGTTCTGCAGTCGGGGGCGGGTTTCTCAGTATCCATTACAAATGCATATTTTTCGTCTTCAGGTATGGTATTGCAGTTGTCTTCTCCGAAATAGAAAGCTGATGATTGTCCAGATAGACCCCGCTTTTGTAGGATACTGACTGTTGTTGGATCGTGGTATCTACATGTGTCTGTTCTAACTTTTATTTACTGTAAAGTAATGTAGGACGAGTTTGTAGCTTGTTTCTATGCGCTTTGGTGGGTACCAATGAGCAAATCAGTTTCTTACACACAACGGCCATATGCAAGCCGTGATCTTTTTGTCCACTATATTACTGTCTGTTGAATCTTGTATAAGGCGCTTCTATGACCCAGCTCAGCTCACACACTTCGGCCAACCATCATCTTTGCATAAGATGAAGGGCAAAGTCGATATCGATACTTATCATTCCGTGTATGATACCAGAAAGAAACGCAGAACTTTCAACATTCTCACCTCACTGGTCTTGGTCATTGTAGCTGCTACGTTCTCCTCGCTTTTGCCTTCATCCCTACACTATTGGCATCTACTATCTGGTCATCAAATAATAATAGACGAATGGAAAGACGACATTTGGCCCATTCGCGAACAAACTCCTTGGGATATCACAACTGACTTTCCTCATCCCCGCGTCTTGGAATACAAAGTCAACGAAGGAACATGGCTGCGTTTGGATGTACATCCCACGACTGGAGATATTGTTTTCGACATGATTGGAGACTTGTATTGTATCGAAGGCCACAATGCTTTACACGGAACGATCAACATTGCACACCCAATCACTTTAGGTGTTCCCTACGACTCTGACCCTCATTTTTCCCCATCAGGCGATAAGTTGGTCTTTAGGAGTGATGCTGGGTTGGGAGTGGATAATATTTGGATCATGAATTGGCTGGGATGCAGCCAAATGAACCTGCGTCCCTCGGACATCGTATCTCCGACACTCCAAGTAGCTCTTCTATCCAAGACGAAAGACGAAACCTTGCTACGTAGAAGGGTCCCCGAGACTGCTGACAGGAGGCAAAATCGTCTTCTCAGAGAGGGGCGCGCTGGAGGTGCGTAATTGGACTTTCTCTTTGTACTGATTCTAATTATGTTCAGCTTCTATGGTTACGAACGAGACCTACAGATACGTTACCGATGCACGATTTCATCCTTCTGGTGAAAAGATTATTGCCACCAAGTGGTACACCTCAGAGCGCTCACTAGGAGCCGGCGAAGGATGGGAGTATACTGTTCCTTCTACATATACTAACACTGTCAAAGCTGGTAGCGGAAAGCGTGTTGTTGGTCGCACTCTGCCCCGCGGTTGGACTGTATCCCAATACGGTGACCAGCAAGTTGGACCAGAACAGTTCATCTGGAATGGCGAGGACAGTATAATATACTCAATGAACGTTCGCGATGAATCCGAATTCTTATACAGCAAAGGTAAGAATTATCACTCGTACTACAGCGGGGTTTTTTTCATACCGTAACTTCTAGACGTGCATCAGGGCATTTATGCTCTATTTTCATTCAACTTGACTACTGGGAAAACAGAGACTTTAGTGGGCGCGTCGCCGGGAGGTGCTTCGCGTCCAGAGCTATCGCACGACCGCCGTACTTTAGCTTTTGTACGACGCGTCCGTGACCATGAAGTTCTTGTTCTAAAGTAAGTTACCTAGAGAGTGCCCACATTTTTACTTATCGTCATCCCAATCAGGGACCTCGAAACAGGATCTATCAGCTATGCGTGGGATGGCCTGACTTTCGACCTCACGACTATTTCTGTTCCGATGGGTACTTATCCTTCGTTTTCCTTCACTCCACACTCTGAGGGAATAATCATTTGGGCTGCGGGTAAAATACATCACGTACCACTCACTGTCAACAAGCAAGGTGAAAGAATACGCTCTGGTTCGGTCAGCAGAATTGAATTTACCGCCCACATCGAAAAACATGTCGCCGAAACGCTCCGGTTAAAGAATGCGGTGGACCTTGTGGGTATCGAGACACACGATACTCAACGAGTTCATGCTTTTCGCGATTTACGAGTTGATGAGGCTGGAAGTAAGGTTGTGTTCAGGGCCGGCAACATCCCAATCGTTCAAATTGTGGGGGAGAGCGATTACATTAAAGTACCGACACTTTATTACGATAATGGACGGACTCCGTATTATTCGCCTTCTTTCATCCCAAGCACCGACGGAAATCTCATCATCATGTCGAGGTGGTCTGACCTCCATTTTACCTCGTTTGAAGTATCAGATCTCTCCAAAGGAATATCATACGAAATCGAAGGGCTGCCTATGGGGAGATATCGGAGTGCTGTTATCTGCAGGTGCAACGGCTGGAAAAGGACGATTGCGTTCCTCAAAACTGGTGGCGATTATCTGACCGGGGATGTGATTGCTACCGCTGGTGCAGGTCTTTACCTAGGAGACATCAACCTTGAACCCTCCCCTTCGCAAAAGCTTGTCATCAATAGCATAAGGATGGTGCCTTCAGACATCGATCCAAAAAATGCCAAACTGGAGTTCGTAGAGAAGAATAAGAAACTTTTGGTACAACAGCCCGACCGGGTATTTATCGTTGATCTTGTGGGTGGGCCGGTAGATATCGAGGGCAAACCTTCACATTTTACTATCGCGACAGGAAAAATGTCTACAGAGATCGCTCTAGCCCCTCGTCCACGTTCTGCTGTCGACAGATTTCTTCACGGAGAAGAAAGTCAATACGACACCGATCATGTCGCATTCGTGGACTTTTTCCACGTTTACGTCGCACCTAGGAAGAGTATCAAGCAAGGAGAGGACGTCTGGTCGAAACCTGGGAGCGCTACAGCAGGAATTGCTAGGCTTAGCTTGGACGGAGGCCATGATATTGCTTGGAGCTCTGATGGGAAAAAACTATTCTGGTTCCTTGGTGAGATATCGAACCTTTGACGTCGTTTTCCAGTGAATTTTCCCATCTAATCACGAACAGGGCCATATCTACACTCCCTGGAAATTAGTAAACTTGGAAAATGTTCCTCCGCAATAAAGAATGATTCCAGGACATTTGGAATCTCTTGCGTCAAAAACCTTCTCCAATACCAAGAAATTGTAGTTGAACACTCAACCGACATAGCGCGCTTAAAGAAGGAGGCTCAAGCATTGTCTTCGAGTGTAAACTCCGACATCTTGATTGTATATAATGCCACTTTGTTGACGATGGAGAATGGCAATATAAATGAGGATTTGCTATATGACGCAGTACTCGTTATCCGTGCTGGTGTCATTGAAGCCGTTTTTTCAGCCACCCAGAACGACTTTGTAGCCCCGGAAGGTGCTACCTTGATCAATGCTCACAGAGGTAGATCTAGCTTTGTGCCATCTCTTGTTACTTTTCGTTGAAGTGATTTACAGGATATGTTATCCCTGGATTTATCGATGCGCATGCCCATTGGAATGGCTTCAGTAACCCCCATCCATCAAAATCTTGGGAGATGCAAACTTTCCTTGCATATGGGATCACTACTATGCATAAGTAAGTCTTCGGACACTCGAGTTAGAATCAAAGTTCAAGCTGCTTCTATCGATCAGCCCTAGTTCAGACAATGTGGACGGTTTTGTTGAGCGCAGCCGTTTGGAAAGTGGACAATTTGTAGGCCCACGAATTTTCCACACGGGCGACGTTATCTACGGCGCTGGTGCACCTGGAATTCATGCTGATGTTGTCGACATGAACGACGCGCGTTCTACCTTGATCAGAATCAAAGCTGAAGGAGGGCCCATCAGTACCTCCTACAAGAATTATAATCTGCCCATTCGGTGAGTTACGGGACCCGCGAACTCCACTCGAGTCGAAGTTACAAGAATAAAACAGGGCCACGAGACAAAGACTCTTGCTTGCTGCACGCAACTTGAGTATGCTTTGTGTTCCGGAAGGAGGAATGAACTATGATTGGGACCTTGCGTACATCATGGATGGTTAGTCCACTATGTATACTGTCGCTGTACTCTTGCCACTAAACGTCGAAATTCTTCAGGTATGACCACTCTCGAACACTCTCTTCCCGTTCCTGCACAGTATGACGATGTCTTGACGTTATTTGCATTGAGCGGCACCGCCAACACACCTACCCATCTTGTCAACTACGGCGGAACGTTCGGGGAGCAATATATATGGGCGGCAGAAGATGTCCCTAACAACTCGAAGCTTCGTCACTTCTCTCGACACGATATTCTGGAAGGCCTCACAGAGTCGACTGCACGACCAAAGCTATGTATGTTTCCTAGTCTTCAGTCTTCAATAATATTCAAACATACATCTCATCTTCATTACTCAGCTTATCAATTATTCAATACATCTGCTTCCAATGCGAAGATGGTGCCGCTAGGCTTGAAGACGCTTATCGGCGCCCACGGAGAACCACCCTTAGGCCTCAACTATCACTACGAGATATTCTTCACCCAACAGGGTGGTCTGAGCAATTACGAGGTTCGTGTAAATGTTGTATTCTCAGTGATAAGTATTTACTCCCATCATCTTAGGCTCTGCAAGCGGCGACATCCTGGGCCGCACAAGTGTTTGGCATTTTTGACTCGCTCGGCTCTTTGATGCCAGGCAAACTGGCAGACTTCCTAATATATCCTCCCGGAGTTGACCTGCTGAATGGGTCAATAAAGGAAACCTTGAAATTGGAGTTTGTAGCAAGGGGTGGACGAGTCTGGGCTGCAGAAACTCTCAAAGAAATCTTTCCTGGAAAAGAGGCTCAGCAAACACCCCCGTTCAATCCTTGAAAGGTATACCCTTTAGGCACGTACTAACATCCATATGTATAACATTCAACTCAGAATTTATACAATGATATTATAGCGACGGTTAGGCTACACTCAACTTGAACGATACATACTTTACATATCCTCCAGCTCCAATATTTCAGTTAAGGTGACCACCGGGAGCTCCTGTTCTTCGCTGACCATTGTAGCCCGGGTTGAGGGAAAGTTTCTCTGGAATATCAAGAAGAGAACACGAGTGCAAAGTACGGAATGTACAACGCGTTGGGGTCTATACGGAGTGATGATGATTTTGGAAGTTGATCTCATAAACTTGAACTTACGCTTGGAGCCACGGCCCTAATGCCTGAACGGTAGGTGTACGCATGGTCGTGAGGAATATTGATAGAACAAGCATTGAACTGGTGTATCGCTCACCGGCGCTAACAGACATGAGACGATATTCGCGCATGATAGTACTACATAGACGTAAGTTATGAGTTCTAAGCAAGGAGACTTCACTACGATTCTGTCCCTCGATGGCACGCACCGAGAAGATAGACATAAAACATGATCCCTGAGTAGAACAGTTGAAGTACAGCACACTGTATGTATAGCCTATGTGTCTCTCACCATCTTTGTAGAGCTTGGTGACCCAAGGGGATCGCGTTTGCCTTACTGGTCGTTATATTCTTCCAATCAATGCTATAAATCGACATATAGAGATTTCTACACTCACAGTGTTTGCACGCTTGGATAGCGATGAGTATTGCGAGTACTGTTCTCGACATCTCATGTTGATTCGTACTAAACATAAAAATGCGGAACATACTTGATTCATATATTGTCAGGAGACAGAAGGCAAGGAAGATGATGTTGCTCGCGGAAGTCATGCGACATCCTCCGTGGGATATGACTGTAGACTGCTCAGTCAGTGAAACAGAAAACAAAGTGAGACCTTACATCGCAGTGAGCTTACTGCTAGCTCAGTGAATACGATTGCCGGAACAAGGAAAACCTATGGCGTATGTAAAAATCGATGGATGTAAGACAGGGTAGTGTTGTAACTTACCACTGTCAAAATTATCAGAGTGATTAGGATTGACCTCTTACGTTCCCATACAGCGTAAGTGCGCAGCGTCAGAATCACTATCGTCAGAAGAGCGTGAGCCTCAAACAGTTGAAGTTCGTCCAAATTTTTGACAATGACTCACGTTCAGAGATAACGATTCCCTGGGGGAACCATGTGGATTAGGAACAGGCTCAAAAAATCCGGAGCTAAGCGTACGATAAACATGAGCCCTTATTATACCAGTTCAGATTAGAGTGTGTAACAGATGCTCGAGGGGCGGCATACAAGAGATTGCTTGAGCTTGAAATAAGCACTGCTAGAGTTAAGTCCAGGATTAGATGAAAGTATGGATTGAACATAACTGAGTGCAGAGTACTTCGGCAGAAATGCTAGCGTTGAAATTAACTAATTCGTAGTTACGATCATCAACAATATCAAGGCGTTGTATGAAAAACGCACAGTTAACGCTGACGATCCTGTCGAAAAAAGGAAGGTAACGATTGACGAAAAACATCATTGAAGCCAAGCTAAAAGGACTTCTCCATACAAGCTCGATCTAAGGTTTGAGTCAGTCCCTGGATAATAATACAATGGGTGTCAGGGAGTTCATGCCTCTTGGTAGAGTGTACAGAAGTAGTCATAGACCTGAGTATGTAAAAGATTGATGAGTGGGCCTGAATGAAGAAGACGTCGACTCTGATATCACTTACCAAAAGAGTTATGCTCCCCAGAGCACCAGCACGAACAAGAACTCGGCCAAGATCTGAGAGGGGCACCGTACTTGTGGAGAGTAGCTTCGACATTGGTCAAAATTCGAGCGATGACAACCATAGATATACTTTGGTGAACGGCAAATAGAGACTGCCTCAGGCACTCGAGCATTCAATGTTTTATTTCTGTACTCTTGAGGTCGCACTTATTCAATTAAAAACTAACGCTTGGTTGGTGAGCAGTTCAAAGTAACGAGGGAATTTTTGAGGAACGAGCAAGAAACTAGTATCAAAGGGAAAGATCCAATATATCGATATCGACCTTTAGCGCGTCTTTAGGTTCCGACTGAGCTCTACTTTGTTGGAACCATGAGAGACGAGTTGAGGGGTAGAGTGACCCGGTAAAGTCTGCTTGAGGAGGACCGGAAGCTTGGAAGGCCTTGTGAAGCGCAGGACCCTCGATAATGGTCAGACTTTAACGGATTTCAAGGCTTTTTTTCTCACCAATTGATCTCACGTGCTGTGACGAGACGCGAAATTTCCACACTAACGGGCATCGTGTTTCCGAATCGCAAAATCTATTCAGAAAACTTCTTTTCTTTCCCCTGCGGAGTACAAGCCGAACGTGGTGAGAATAGTTCTCAGCACACCATGGGTCAGGACGGAATGAGGCTTACAATCACAACAACGGGAGACTGGTGTGAGTATGTAACATACAACATCATAGCAACCATGACAGCTGAGTAGTGGACTATTGCTACATGTCTACCATGTCTATTAATTCGGTCAAGGTAGCTATTGGAAGCCCCCTTCCTTCGGTTGTGGTCTCTGCATCTCTTGGATGTACTCCGGGAATTGTAGTAGAATTTCCTTGAAATATCAAGAAAAGAACACGGTTGCAAAGTGCAGAATGTACGACGCGTTGAGGTCTAAAAGTAAATTTAAACGCGATTTACAGGTTTTGAAGTCAAGACTCACCCTTCGAGCCACGGTCCTAATTCCTTAACGGTATAATACGGTACGATGAAAAAGACTCTCCCATGAGCTAATCTATCACTCACTGGAGCTATCAAGGCGGAAATGATGTTCGCGCATGATAGTACTAGACGAGCGATGATAGGACCCCCCAAAATCCCGAGGAACCTGGATACCAAATTTTTCGAAGTTTTTGAAAATTTGTCCGTACACAGACCTGAAATCGTGTCCGGATTTACCTCCGGGTGTAGTGAAAATTTTTTGTTTTTGTCCGAACATTTGGTATCAAGGTCCATATATTAATAATTGATTTTTTTCGTTTTCCTCAGCGGAATACAATGCTTTATGACAGTACCACTCTTCTACATCATTCTCCTTTGAATCCTTCTTCGACCGCTTCTCATACAATGCAATTGCCGTGAAAATATTGTCTCTACTCCCCTATAGGATCCATGGGAAAGAATGGGGAGAATGCATCAGGCGGGACCATAAGAAGCTTGGCACGAGCCATAAAAAGGCTGGGTAGGGGATCTGCGGGCCAGGTTTTGCCACAGTTAATCCATTCAGTAGGTCTGAAATTGTCTTCATCAAGGTATATAACTGAGCTATCCCAGCTGTCCATTGAGAAGAAACAGTTGATTTGAGAATAGATGTATGTACAAGAGATGGTAATTCTGTATAAAGCCTCAAATGCTCCTTTGCCCCCCGCCCGCTGCATACACATTTATACGTTGCAAAACCGCCGCGCGGTATACAGCCCTTTGCATAATTCCGTGAAAACAGAGTTTTTTTTTTTAACGGTCCGAAATTAAGCGAGTGATTTCACCCCATAAGGAATGTGTGATGTGACCTTCCTCACCTTTGCCTCTATGGCTGCGCTATCTGTCGATCTCAAGCAGCGTATCTATCGCTGGCGTACTGAAGACAACCTGACAATCGAAAAATGTGCTCATCAAGCCGGATGCTCTGTCGGGCTAGTTGCGAAGGTGCTGAAGAACATGGAACTGTTTGGAACTGTGAACAATCCCTTCAGTAAACGGACTGGTCGTCCTCGGGAGCTTGATACCACTGATATAGCCTACATCATGGAGCTACTCAGAGCACGCCCTACCATTTATCTTGATGAAATACAACATAAACTTTGCACTACTCGAGATATCTCATTATCGATCCCTACAATCTGTCGAACCATGCAGCGCCTAGGGATTAGCAACAAGCGTGTTCAGAAAACAGCCGCAGAGCGCAGCACAGAGCTTAGGGCAATCTGGGAAGGAATGATGGGACAAGAAGAGTACCGCAATCCTGATCTTTTTCTTTTTCTTGATGAAAGTGCCGTTGATAATCATACATTTCAACGTCCCATGGGGTGGTCTGAAATTAATGCTCCGTGTGTCGAGAGAGGTACCTTTTTGCGTGGTACACGTTACTCTATCCTCCCGGCCTTGGCTGTTGAAGGGATTGTTGCACTGGATATTTTCGAAGGTTCTGTTACCAAGGACATCTTTCTGGACTTTATCCATCAGCACATTGTACGATGCATCTTCATTTATATGTATATGCACATTTATAACAGCTCCTAGGCACCTTTACTGAATCCCTTCCCTGGCCCTCGAAGTGTTGTTATTCTGGACAACTGCTCAATTCATCATTCACCTGAGCTCAGAGAGATTATCGAGATAGGATGTGGTGAGCCATTAAGCTATATAGTTGCCACATACTAATACTCAGATGATTTTATAGGTGCTCGTCTTATTTTCCTGCCACCATACTCCCCTGATTTCAACCCAATTGAGGAAGCCTTTTCTGCTATTAAAGCTGCACTTCGTCGCCACGAAAATTCTTTTCGAGGACCTCAATCAATCCCTTGGTTGGTGCGAGAAGTTGTAAGAGATATCACTGCTGATGATGCAGCTGGTTGGTTTATGGATTGTGGATACATATAGAGCATATAAATCATATTCCATTCAATCAACTAACTATGAGCATACTACACTATAAGCTACCTAAAAGTAAGAGCCTAACAAGAAATATACAGGAAGTTAACTAAACAGAGATGTGTAATGTAAAGGAGTGAGGTTAAGAAAGGATAGGCAATGAGCTCTACAGTTTCTTGTGTCGAGCACGTTTGCCCTCAAGGACGGTATGATAATCCTCAGCAAATCTCTTCAATCCACTAGCAGGTCCTTGTTTGAGTCCAGTTAATCGAGAGAGATCAGATGTTGCTCCTGCAGCCAACAGTTGTACATCAAACTGTTCTTCTTTCAGGGCCACTTTTACAGTGTGAACAATGTCGGATGGAAGCTTGTGAGTTAAACCATTGGAAAAGCGGTCGATGCAGACATCAAGCTCATCCTCGGGTGCTGGAGGAGAGGATGATCTAACGTGATCAACAGGGGAAAGACTACGAGATGATACAGAGTGATGTGTAGAAGCAGATACACGAAATGAAGCAGGGGCTTGGGCTTGGAGGGCTGACATTTGCATCATAGCCCCAGTGGCAAAGCCAAAGCCTTCCATAATTGCTGCCTTCAAATCACTTGCATCGGATCGAGGGCCTTTGACGCCACGGCTCGGACGTGATGAAGATGACAATGAGGATGGTTCAGTTGTCAGAATACCCCATCCTTGCAAGAGATGATTAGGGATCGGATCAGATGCTTTGCGAGTATCCTCGCTTGCCAACTATGTTGTGTCTCATTAGCGTAGAAAATTGAGATGTTGATAGTAAACTCACAATCCAATCTACAAGATCATTCTTACGCGGACGGCTGAGAGTAACATGCTGAGAATTGGGAGCGATATAGCAACAACCATGAAGGGTGCAGGGATGGGCTTCTTCAATAGCAAGTATAATGGTACCTCGTTTTTGCTCTCGAGCTGTAAATTGGTCTACTGCGGGCACCTATTTAATGTATTCTCAATAACGGTCACAAGAATATCAATAGCAGGAGATACCTGAGTAGCAAAAACTGGTGCTGTATTAGTGAATGGTGCTTGACCTAATGGTGCAGAAGAGTGAAGATACGGGGTGAGCAATGACTCGGTAATGTTGAAGTGAAGGGTAACTGCTGTAACTCGAGGACTGCCGCGGAGCATGTTCTGCACACGGCTCCATTCTTGGTCAGTTTGGACAACAAGAGCACCTGATTTTCCACCACTGTATTGAATTAGACGGCACACTGTCAGCATGTACCAAGTACAATAAGGAATTCACAAACGTCAAGCCTTTCCACTGCACCGAGAAACGTGGTCCAGAGAGTGGGCTTGCGGCATAAGTCTGGTTGCCATTGACAGTACTTAAAATAACATCATTGATCACATCGCAGCGTGAAAGATCCAACAATGGGACAGAAGGTCCGGGAACAGTTGAACGCTCTGTAGAAGATCCAGCCCTTGCATTTGAACGACGATTGCTAGGCAGCGCAGTGATGACTATTTTTTCAGTGGCGATAGAGATATCAAAGACGCGCGCTACAAAAAAAATACATTGAGCTGCCGCAATGAGATTAAAGATGCATGCACACACCAGGTGGTTCCTCGATCTCATCACTATCAGATATATGGTCATCATTCTCGTCAACGTTGCATACAGATTGGATAGCAGGTGCATTCGCAGTGCTAGTCTGTGAAGATGAGAATACGCCTATAGCACCATCTTGCTCTTGCTGGGGGCGGGGCTGAGGGAACGGGATGAATGCTGCAGTAGGGTCGAGGTACTCTTGGCGTGCAAGACCAGGAGCAAGAGTAGGAAGTACAATGAGCTCATTGAAAATACTACCAGGGCGCAAATCGCGCTCAGTATTACTCCAACGAGCACCAGTGCCAATTTGACGAGACATAAGAATGGAGAGCAGAAATCGAGGATAAATATGAGAAGAAAGAAGAAAGGGAACTGAGTCGACAGAATAGCTATGCAAGATTTATATTTTGACGTGTGATGCAGTACTAAGACTTTCTTGGAAAGGTATGGTCTGCAGCATGAGGCTTCCTCACGATCTCAAAAGAAGAGTTTTCAAGTGTTCATCGATGGATGAAGACAGATGATGAAGCTAGACAGACGAACGACAAATGGATCCATCGATAATCACTGTCACATCACGCCCTTCGGCTATCTCGGCTCACTGATACTCGAGCGGACCGGGCGTGAAAAAAAAATCTCTGTTTTCACGGAATTATGCAAGACCCTGTAAACAAATCAGGACATACAAGCTCTCTCGGGCCGGTATAAAAGCGGTGTCCGAACAGGATCAACCTCGAAATATTTATTCGATTTGTCCGCACCAGGTATGAAAGTCAAATGAAAAAATCTGAGAAAATGTCCGTATTTGATGAGGGTTTGACTCGATAATTTTCAAAAATTTGTCCGGATTGGTATCCAGGTTCCTCGGGATTTTGGGGGGTCTTGCGATGATTAAGGGAAAAGTAGACCCTTTTCATTTGTACGCACCAAGAAGAGAAAAATAAAAAATGATGCCTGAGTGAGAATGGTTGAAGTAGAGTAACACAGTATATGTATGTATGTGTCCCTTACCATCTTTGTATAGTTTGGTGACCCAGGGAGATCGCGTTTGGCGTACTGAATGTCAAATTAGTGCGAATAAAATCGACGTTACATGGTCTCTTGACTCACAGTGTTTGTAAGCCTGAATAGTGATGAGTGCTGCCAGTACTGTTCTCGACGTCGTATGCAGTTTTTTCCGAAAATTACAATTACTAGCAGGAAATAACGAACTTGATTCATACGCCGTCAGCAGACAGTAGGCAAGATAGATTATATCGTTCGCGGCAGTTAAGTGACAGCCTTGGAAAAAACAGCGACTGAAGAGAATTATAACATTGGATAGTCGGCGAGAGACTGAATTAGAATAATCTCACATTGCAGCGAGTTTACTGCTAGCTCGGTGAACACAATTGTTGGAACAATGAAGACCTGTAGCAATTAGATTCAATGTAGATGCTCATGAAGACAACATCAGGAAGAAATTTACTACCACCGTCAGAACAATCAGGAAAAGGAGCATTGATCTCTTCCGTCCCCATACAGCGTAAGTTCGCAGCATGACAATTACTATTGTCAAAACGAATTCTGAACAATTGAGCTGAGTGAATGCAGAATTTGACTTGCGTTCAGAAAGTGCAATTCCCTGACCAGAGATGCGTTAGAGAATCTTAGCGATAAACCGGAGACTTACAATAAACATGAGCCCTATGTAATTGTGAAAATTGGAATTAGAATCCTTGAAACAGTGTTTGACGTTGCGATAAAGCCTACAAGCAGCCGCTCGAGCTTGGACTAAGCATTCCTGACTCATCAGGAAAACCACCTCCGGAAAATCGGGCACTAATTTTCCTCTCATGGTCGAAATCTTCCTAATCCTATCAATTAGCCGAAATTCACCAAATTAAAGAGATCAAAATCACGGCTTCTAAATTTGACATATATTTTGCCAAATTGGAAAGATTAAAATGATGGCTTTTAAATTTGACAAAAGTTTTGCCAAATTACAGAAGTTTGTGATACTACAAGCTACCATAATATCGTGAATTTGAGCCCTCTGCGAGTGCATGGAAAGTCTTTTATGGTAGCATAGTATGCGAATAATTTGTATGCCCAGAGCAATACTCAGTTGATGTGACTTAGTGTGTAATATACCACCAGTGAGCATAGAGCAAGCCTGGAGTGAGCAACTTGAAGCAAAAGAATCTTAAAGGCCTAAGTAGTAGAAAAATTCGAGCAAGTCCAATTCATATAGACGGTGACTTGAGTGTTGAATTGTATATTACCTCGGTTGCAGGTCGCCGTCTCAGTCAATAGTCGGAGTTTAAATTTACTCGATCCCTGCAAATCCCCCGTTATCGCTCGTTCTCTTGTGCTTTCTTCCCCCCATCATCATTGCTTCAGTCAGTCTTTCTCTAATTTTCTCCAGTCACTAAACTTTTCCTGCTAGGCATTCAGCTTCCAACACATCTTATGGAGATACAGGCTGGTGTCGAGCAAGTAAGAAACAATGGGTGGCTAAGGGTTAATAGGTGAGCTATGTATTTTTGCTTTGCTTGGTAGAGTTAAACAAAGTCTCGACTCTTCAGTGTGACTCTTCAATACCCACAAAAATATTTCAAAGGTGTGTTGTCATATATTTCTGTTTGCTCATCTCTCATACTGAGTTCCTCACACTAGATTCTCAACAAGTGCCGTGTTCCAATTTTTTTGCTGTGACGTTTGCAGATTGGTACTGTTGGTGATTACTGTGCTGAGGAGTTTCGAGTAGTCTAGTTTTAAATACTATATCTATGTTGTATTTATTGTACACATACCAAATGCATTCACTATTTGCTTCATATGTGGTTATTGAATCATAAAGGGAAATTTGAACAAATTCACGCTCGAAATCTGCTCGCAACTAGGCATTAATTTGAAGAAATCCGACTGTTTAGTGCTGATTTCACCTAAAATATATGGGGGGCTAAATAATCTGGCTAATTTCAAGAAATAACTAATCCATCAAATTTCAGCAATTTTACCAAATTTATGCCCTATTTCCCATGGGTGGGTTTCCTGATAGGCTAGAACGACAGTGGGATTAGATGAATGTATATCGAACAGAAGGGCGGAATACTTCAGCCGAAAGGGTAGCATTGAAGTTGACTGATAATATGCACAACGTCAACAGCCGTACTAGTAGCGGTCTACATGAGAAGCTTACTATTGACACTAAGAACTGAGTCGACAAAAGGAAGGTAACGATTCGCGATGAAAATCATCGAAGCCAGACCAAAAGGGCTTGACCATATGAGCTCAACCTGAATGAAGCTGAAAGTCAATCTTTGGGTGGCAATATGACAGGGTATAGGAGATCCATGCCTCTTGGTCGAGGGTACAGAGGTAATCATACACCTATGTCAGAAGTTCAATGAGAGCTGAGCAAGAAGCAATGTATCCACGCACCAAGAGACTTGCGGCCCCCATAGCGCCAGCGCGAACAAGTACTAGGCCAACATCTGACAGGATCCCAGTACGTGGAGAGAGCGACGTTGACATTGCTTAGGTCTTGAGTAATGACATTCAAAGTGAATTTGAGAAAGAGGCTGGACGGCAAATACAACATGTATTTATTTAAGACTTTGATTTCTATAGGGTACGCGCTATATCGCACGCATCAACATCTTGAATTGATTGTGGGTCACATCAGAAGGACAGCACTTACCTAGAACGATTCGTATTGAGGACATGAAGCCAATTCACAAAGATACAGCAACCGGATTTACATAGAGCAGTAGGTGGAAATGCCAAAACTGGCCGGTCACAGACAAAATGAAATTTCGTTAGAGCGTGTTAGAACTCAAAATGCAAACGGGGCGTACAATCTTGTACAATACGCACCTAATTTCCTTTGTGGACACTACCAATCACCCCCAGGGACCTCCAAAGGCACACATAGAGTCAGAGACTATAGAGACAAACAGACCTGCAGACACGTCCTTCGGAGTGCCGGAGAGTGTCGGTAAACACACGCGATAAGCTTCCGTTTCCGTCGCTTCGTTCCCCACACTTTCATCACGGCATCATTTTTTTCGTTCCTTTTTCTCCTTGGACGGTCATGATATTCGCTATGAGAAGCCCTTGGTAATGACAGAACAGCGATACTTGCTTGAACCTCTGGCTGCTCTGGCTGCTGTCTTACATAGTGGGAATTTATTGGTATCAATGAACACAGCCGGACACGGATCCAACGCCAAGATTGATATTTGTATCAATTCGCTATCAGCTTGGCTAAATATCAAGCGAACAGGGTATATAAGGAGTCTGTAAGGAGTCAAGTTTTAGCAGTTGCCGATCATATCATCCTTGCTGGTCAAGTATGAGCGCTACACCCACTGTTCTTGTTCAACGAGTGAACTCCTTGTCGCGGGCCGCAAGGGGTAGCTCGGTAGGTTCTAGTCGAGTCAGACAGCAATGTTAGTGTGCTTCACTGATAAAAATTCAAGCTTTGAGCTGACCTCTGGATTTTAGCATTTCATGATTCTCGAGCAACTCAGGCAATTATGATGCCAGCTTTGTCACCGTTCATGACGGAAGGGACGATAACGAGATGGCTGAAGAAAGAAGGGGAAGCCTTCTCTGCTGGCGACGTCCTATTACAAATAGTAAGCCAGACAGAACCTCTTGACATTTTTTCTGAATGTCTAACAACAAATTAGGAGTCGGACAACTATGCTACTTTGGACGTGCAAGCAGAAATGCCAGGCGTACTGGGAAAGATACTGGTATGTGATTGTAATTGTTTCAACAAGATACTCGTCTGACTAACTATCCTTAGATCCCAGATGGCACCTCTAACGTGCCAGTGGAAAAGGTTCTTGCGGTTGTAACCCGTGGTGCCCAAGAGCTTGCGCGTTTGAGACCACCTCCTCCCCGCTTGCGGCCAATTCCTCCTCCTCTTCCACGTCTTGATGTCCCACCAACACCTGTTCGGACGTCACGTAGCCCATATCCAGAGATCCCAACGCCAATCTCTGCTACGTCCTTTTATCAACTTCCTTCTCCAGCCCTGCCTGAGAGTCCAACCAGTGCTCCGGCTTTGCGTCGGCCTTCGCTACACCATCATCACCCTCTTTCCAACGCATCTCGATTGGAATTATCCCAAAGCAATGCTACGCTTTTGCATTCTGCTACTCACAGGTCACCGTCAGGATATGATTCTCCTTCTGTATCAGTGGACCTCTTAATGCATCCTAACACGCTCCAAGGCGGTGCTGCGTCTGTGCGGGGGATGATCATGGATCATCACCACACTTCTTGTCCAAGTGCAGGATTGTGTGAATCCGAGTCTACTGTTGGATGTGAAGCATCTCACTCGCGGGTAGTCGATACGCAGGTAGAAGTTGCTGGGCTAGATTTGAGAAGGAAGATCTTAGCGAGCTTTTCGAAAGGACCAGGTGAAAGTAACGGTGCTCTAGAGTACTTGAATGGTATTCTCTAGATCAATGGAAGATAGCTAGACTGTATTGTAGAGTAGAACTTGATTCAAGCATAAGCTGTACTTTTATCGACATCGGAGCCGCAGTTCGGCCACCAATGCTATTTTAAGGAATCGTTCAGCAAGCTAATTTTAGTGTGAAGTCCTGGACTGCGCAAATCTCAACATATAAAATAACGGAAAAGCTAGTTTGTTTGATTTTTCGCCCCCTGCCTTTCTCCTTCCTTCAATTTCATCTTCCCGTTGCACAACTCCACACAATAACTTGAATACCTTTGAGTACCCGCATGCAATGAAGCGTTGTGCGATGTGTCCCGGAATACTTTATGATGCAAAGCTCCAATTTCTGATGCAGTCTCCAACCGTATCCAACAGCAGTCAAAACCTCCAGAAGGCAACCTTCAAGAGTGCTTGAAATCTTGAACCTATCTGTCTCTCCAGGAAGATGGAAGTATCACTATCAACCACTTTCTTGCCGAACAGGTTATGAAAACTCGGAAATAATAACGTTGAATTCAAGACGGCGAGTTCCACTGGGTACTTACAGGCTAATATCGTATGCTTGGCGAAGTGTGACAATTGAATGACAGGGGTCTTGGCAGTCATAGAAATTCAGTTTTCGCGAAATTTGAACTTTCTCTTATACCACCACGACCTCCTTTGCTCTCCAGCAATACCGACACTCTTTTACTTCGTTGACTTTGAACAATGTTGAACCTCGCTTATTCCTCCTTCGTGGCTGCTGCTGCAGTCTCATACGTTTCTGCCCAATCTTTCGTTTCTGACCCTCTCGTCGACAAGACTGTGCCCTATACTGCTATTGTTCGTTTTTGTTTCTTGATTTCTCGAACTTTTCGTCACACGCCTTTCTCTCCAGCCTTACCAGGTCGACATACACACCGATGGTCGTGGTCCTCAGTCGGGTTACAATATCTGTAATTCGACCACGGAAACCCAGGATTCTATGTGTCAGACTGGTTTCATCAACCACATCGATGGTTAGTCAAAATCATGGTATTCTCGTCAATACCAATCGTCATACCTGTTACTTTCCAGACTTTTGTCTTTTTGCCCCGCCTGAAGCCAACACTACCATTGGTGACAGTGAGGGTGTCGAAGTAGCCTGGTGCACCAAGAAGGGCCATGGTGCTCGCCTTATTCCCGAGGGCACACTCCAGGGTGTCCAGCTCGTCCAGAGCCCTGGATATGTTCAAATTGTCGGTTTCATTGACCAGACAAAGCTGAACATCGCGACCGGCGACTACGGAGGTGAACTCGACTCTGGAGGGCAGGACGGCGTGAGTGTTAATATCCTGATTTCTGTCATTGTTCTGACATCTATTAGCGTGGTAACCCTATTGGCGGTCTGTTGTACACAAACGCTTTCCCTTCCAACAACGGTGACAACTCCACTTACCAGCAGGGCAAGCACTGGACCTAGTTCGTTTTTCCTCTTTGCTGTCCTTATATCTTGACTCATCTTCTTTAGTTTCATGGGTGGCAACATGTTCTGTGCTAAGATCTGTGACGACACCCAACCCAATGCCGAAGCTCTTTGCCAGCACATCTATGATCGTATTGGGTGCGCTTACAATGCTCCCAGCAACGCTCAGAACGGTACTTTCGTGTCTTGCCAGGGTGATGATATGACTCCCGTCGGTCAGTACGTCAGCAACGGTGTTACCACCACCTGGACTCAACCTGCCGAGACCGTCAGTATCACTGGGGTTCCTTACACTCCTACTCCTGCCGCCTCCAGTAACTGTGTGACCTACACGTCTGCATCATTATACACAGACCTCGCTAGTGTTGGAGTCACTGGTTCGCCTGCGGGTGCTTCTGCTACTGCTTCCGCTAGTGGAAGTGCAAGTGGTAGTTCCAAGGCTGCTGCTACCAAGTCGAGCGCTGATTCCTCTACCACTGGAACCTCCAACTCTGCCGGCGCTGCTATGGGTATCTCCCTCGTTTCTGCCTTCGCTGGAGTTATCCTCTCTACCTTCATGTTCGCTTAAATGCATCTTTACTGATTGACGCAAGGACATGGCATTACGTGAGGAGGAGGAGGGGTTAGAAACTACATACATAATGATTCAGGCAGTTTTGTGCTGTCATATCTACGAATAATCAAAGGACTGTTTTAATACTCGCATCAGTGGTATGGATGTATTTCGCCGCTATCATTCGAACTATCTGGAAATCTACGGATTCATCTACATATACCTGCAGTCCTGAGGTTCTTTTACATGATATTATGTGAACCCAATTGCACCCGGGTGGCAAGGGAGGAAGTATTTAAGTGAGTTTAAGCTAATGTTTGCTGTGATCCATTTTGGCATTTACAGCTTTGATCAGTGTGTGTGTGTAGATTCTGTCTCAGTTATTTAATTCTCTCTTCAGCGGTTGGCACTTACTGCAACGATTCCGGGCTCAGAGTCAGCGCTCGACGTTTCTTCTGAACCCTTTGTACTTACAACTTTGAACAGTCCCCATTTCCCACGAAGACGTCAAGAAGCCGACAGGCTGTGAAAATCCAACTCATTCGAGTCTTTGCTTTCAACCACCACATTCCCCTCTGTTTGAAGGAATTTTGGTCGCTCCTTGCTGTGTCAACTATGCCGAATTTCGCTCGCTGTTCTCTTCTGCTTGCGGCTGCAGTGGCACATGTTTCTGCTCAATCTTTCGTCTCTGATCCTCTCGTGGACAAGAGCTTCCCTTTTACTGCTATAGTCAGACGTGTTCTGTTATTGGCAAATGCTTTAGCTAATATTTGACCTCTTCAGCCCTACCAAGCTGATACCCACACCGATGGACGTGGTCCCCAGTCGGGCTATAACATCTGCAACTCGACGACGGAGAACCAAGACTCCATGTGTCAGACAGGTTTTATCAACCACCTCGATGGTTAGTTTAATTTTGGCGTGGGGAGATTTTAATTCAGACTATGTAACACTTTACCTTTCAGATTTCTGTCTCTTTGCTCCACCTACCCCAAACACTACCATTGGTGACAGTGAGGGTATAGAAGTTGCCTGGTGTACGAAAAAAGGACATGGCACTCGTCTTATTCCAGAAGGCACCTTGCAAGGTGTCCAGCTCGTCCAGAGTCCTGGATACATCGAAATTGTTGGCTTCATTGACCAAACGAAATTAAACTTACAGAGCGATGACTTCGGAGGGGAACTTGACTCCGGAGGGCAAGACGGCGTGAGTACACCGTCATCATGCGGGATAATATTCCGTCATCATGCAGATTAGTGACCTCGTCTCCACAGCGTGGTAATCCCATTGGTGGTCTGATGTACACGAATGCTTTCCCCGCCAGCAACGGGGATAATTCTTCTTACCAACAAGGCAGGCACTGGACCTTGTGAGTTTGTTTTCCTTCTTATGGAATGTTTTTGCTCACATAAACATACCAGCTTCCTCGGCGGCGGCGCGTTCTGTGCAAAGATCTGTGATGACACTCAGCCCAACGCCGAGGGTCTTTGTCAACATATCTATGATCGTATTGGATGTGCCTATAACGCACCTAACAACGCTCCGAACAATACTTTCCAGGCCTGCCAGGGGGCTGATATGGTTCCGGTTGGTCAATATGTCAGTGACGGGATCACCACAACCTGGACGCAACCTGCTGAGGAAACTGTCCCAATCGGCACTATCCCATATACCCCCACTCCGGCCGCGTCCAGTAATTGTGTGACGTTCACTTCCGCAGCATTGTACACCGACCTTGCCAGTATCGGTGTTTCTGGTACCATCACTGCTTCCCCGTCTGCCACTTCGGGTTCAGGTTCGGGTTCTTCAGCTGCTTCCGGTACTCAATCAGGTTCTGGGGCTGCGTCTACTGGATCAACTGGATCTTCCAATGCTGCTGGGATTGCTATGGGCATCTCTGTTGTCTCTGGATTTGTTGGAGTATTTGTGTCTATCTTCGCGTTTGCGTAAGCGAACTAAGATCGGGTTTTGAACTTGTGCGTTTTGGTTTGTCGGGATCGAAACTTCTCTGTAACTTACCTTGATATTTTTGAACTTGATCTGTGTTGTGTAATGCATCGGACTGTTGTCTATGTTGTGTGTACTGGACATTCTTTTCTGTTGATTTTACGATTGGTATGAGTTCTGCTTTATTTGTTACTCAAAATAATCCTTCTTCTGTCTTTGGTGCGAAAGAGTTATCGGTTGGTATGTAGCAGGAAAAACAGATTTTTATCTGTGAAATTTCAAGTATGTATGTATGTACTACATTTATTTGGAAAAAACGAAATTACCAAGGTAACAACTTCGTGCACATATTGTAAAGCCTAGTTTCCTCTACGCGACTTATGTACCTGTACATGAGTTGGATTGCGAATGGAAAATCTGGAAGGCCTTATATAGACATTTTTCTACGCGTTTCAGGGTTTCTATGTCCAGTTCATGTGTCAAGCTAAAGCTTTCAAGTTTTTGACCAATCAGAGGACTCACCGACGTCGACATTGTCGCCACACAATGCCATCAGAACGTACACTGGAAAGTACAATCCATCTGCCTGATCCCATGGTCATACTTCCCAACAGAGCACTGTGATTTGCTGTTCCACTTAGTTTTACCAAGACTAAATGACAGTGGGGACTTGTCTTTGGGACCAGTGGTGATTGTGAGCGGATCATGCAGCTGGCTAGCAACTAGGACTGGGTTAGACCCATCGCCATCGCCTTGAAAGCCAACCACGGTGCCCTTTGCGTCCTTTATGATGGCAACAATCGTGTAGTGATTGACTGGGTTGGCTTTCTTCTCGTTTTTCTGAAACTGGTATATGTGAACCCCACATTTTCCTGAAGCAGGATGATTCTTAGGAGCGCCTCCAGTGCTGTAAATGCGGTAAGTTAAGGAGATCAACCAAGTATGATATTTCTCTTACAAAACCAGTCGATGATTCTGATATCCTATAGCCTTAATTTTGTCATGGGGAGCCGCCCACGCCCACTTTTTACAAGGTAAAGTCAGGATTTCATTATCTCGAACACAAACTTGATGCGTTCAACGTACGTTCATATATCCACCGTCACCGTCATTCATGAATATTCCAGCCCGCGCTAGCATTCAACGTATGTAGGTTCAATTGATGTAAGCCGCTGCTTTGAAGTACCACACACCGGCATAAACATCGAACTTGTATGTTCCAATAACCTAGAAGAAAGAGTTAGATGTTTATCATTTGCAACACAACGAACGAGGTAACGAACGGTTTTGACGGACGTGGTTGAGTGAGACCAGTCGGTATGCTCATCACCTTGAAACCAGGTGGTATGCTTAGGGTGAACAGTGACCACCAACCACCCCGGATGCGCTGAAAAATAAAAGGTTTCAACAGTTCGAACTTGGCAATTGTGAACTTACCTTTCAACGTCTGATCTGTAACTTTCTGAGTAAATTCACCACTAGTAAAATTTCAGACCTGTACTAGCGATGAATGTATCAAACGCGATGACTGACCGTTGCTGTTAGACAATGAATGAGCCATTTGGATATGCAAAGCTTGGGGAAAACAAGCTTACATGGGCAGACTCTCGTTCCGCTTCCGCGATAGCATTGAATATATGCCCAAGAAACTTCAAAAAGCTAGCTACGACCTGGATGGCTGTCCCGATGATCTCTCCGATTTCGGGGATGGCATCGGCTCCTTTCGCTACTTTGCCTAACACACTCCCCGCCTTGTTCATTGCATCCCCTGCCTTCTGAAGCTTTGCGGCGTCTCTGCTATGAATGATTAAATCAGAACTGCGAGGGATGGCAAGGTCGGTATTGGGAGTTATATTGTCATTCCCAAACTCCGAATTTGATCTAACTGGAGCAGTGGCGAAAGGAACTCCATTTTCATCTAATGCAAAAATGTCCAAATCATCATTCAAGTGGGCAGAAGTCAACCGACACGGTTTCGAAGGGGGACAACCAGGGCCTGTATAAAAAATACCATGATCCTGATCCAGACTCGGTATGTCAGCTGCCGCTTCCTGCACGACAGGAACGACCTCCCGCGTCTTCAGAAGTGGAGCTCCAGTGACAATGACAGCCGCAAACGGTAAACACAGAAAACCATACACGAGTTTCATAGTGAGCTTGACGAACGTGAATTCGAGGGCAGTAGACTAGACCTGCTAGCAAGAGAGGGAAACGAACCGGCCGTGCTGAAGACAGCGCAAGGTGGTGCTGGCCCATCCCTTATATAAACACATTGAGGCCCAGTTGATAGAATTGCGGGTCCGGGGTAGGTATCATTGTGTACATCAAGTACATGATCAAGGTTGCGATGAAACCCTTTGCGGGAGTCGGCAAGGCGTGGTAAATAGAATTTCAAAATCCTGATGTCGAATTTGACTGGAAATTGAAGAAGCTTAGAGAGGCTTAACTTAGAGCTGCTCAGAGTAGCTCAGAGTTGACCTAGATTGACAATGAGTTGGCAGTAGTTGACTCGGTGCTCAGATAGATAGATAGATAATGTTTCAGCAAGCATTTCATTGAGTAGCATACGTTTTGTCCAATGGCATAGAATGGCATGTGCAGGAACTGCGCCCAATTTTTGGGCTAGCACGTAGTATAAGACGACAAAGATAGAATTTACGAAATGGCAATCCATCGCTCTGACCCCGTGGCGGTACTTCTCAAGGGAGCACCGTGGTTTACTATTAGAGTCCCACTTGTCTTTACTTAAATAATATCAGACCAGAAGAATAGCGGTGGTGTATCATTGTCAGTGGTGATCGTGAGCGCGTCGTGCAGCTGACTGGTGACCAGAACTCCTTTGGACCCGTCACCATCTCCTTGGTGAAGTCTATGATTCAAGTTGTTCTCTTTGCGTCCTTCTTGATGGCGACAAGCGTTTGATGATTGACTTGGGTCACCTTATGATTTTTTGGTAAACTTAAGACATACATTTTCCGGGGTGATTCCTTGGGACGCCCCTGGTGCTGATAAGTTTACTTATCAATGGCAAATGAGGTAATTTCTCATGGATCGAGTTTCACACACCCAAGAGTCAACCGACGATTCTCAAATCTTGTAATGCTCTTTTCGGGAGCCGACCACGCCCTCTATATACACGAAGTGAAAATGTCGTTTCAAAAAATTAAAAAAACTTTACATTTTGATATCCACCGTCACCATCGTTTGAAGATATTCCGGGACTGGCAACTCGAGCCATAGCATAAACATCCGGGTCTCGTATTAGATACTTGATTCATGGCAAAAGGGTCCCAGCCTACTTGTGAAGAGGTCCCGGTGATCAGAGGACAAGTGATATGATGTCGAGGAAGGTCAATCGGGCTCCGTATAAAAGATAGCATCTACTTAGAAAGATATCTGTCGCATCCTGAATGACTGGGAGGATGTCCTTCGTCAAGGGAGAGGTCGCAATACCGACTACAAAAAATGGTAGGAGATGAGTTTCATGACAATCGAGTGAACTTGACGGTATAGCGGCCCGGGGAAAACTGAACCAACTGCTCGTATTTTAAGAACGGCGTAAGGATGTAGTATAGACGATTTATACCTGCGACAAGACAAGAATAACCGAAACGGAATCGGAGGTCTTTGACGAATGGATTGAGGGAAGATGAGCGCTATGGTATTATTAAATTAATTTTGAGGGGAACAGGAGAGAACCTTTATTGTCTGATTAGTTCCCCAGGATAATTTCGGCGAATGTTGAGCCTATAGCGTGGAGATCATTTGCTGAACCTGCCCATTCCATCCAAAATACGAGGATGTTTAGGGGATGGTGTACCACCTCGACCGCTCTTGACCGTGATTGAAGTTTAAGCACTTCAAATCACAGAATAAAGCGCCCAATGTCAATGAAACTCCGTTTTGTACTAGTTGCATGTCGCCCCGAAGGAATACCTTCCCTTTGATTCCTCGTTATTCCTGTTGATGGAGCGGGCATATGGAACAGTGTGGAACCAGTAGACCTCCCCGTCTTTTCCCATTGAAAACCAGATTAACGATCTGGTCAAACATCAATACTATACATCGAGCCGCCTCGCAATGCCTATAAGGGATAGTCTGGGATAGTCATCAGGGAGTCCATGATCCTCCTGATCAAGAATAACACTCGGGAATAAAACCAGAACTTTCACACCATTCCTTAACCCCGCATTTCCTTGTAAATCAATGCCTGCATCTCGTAGCCTTCGTGGCGGTATACGTGATTAGGAAGGATTCTGAAAACTTCAACGATTAACCTGAGCGTCGTTGGAAATACTACCAACAAGATGGTGGCTGGGTATGTAGGTGGAATCAGAGGAGTGCGAAAGAATTCCGAGGCATCACCTGGCAAATCTTCAACCTTCAACTTTGACTTGGATGAAACTACATATGAACCTCGTAATGCTCAGCCTCGTCAATGCATCGCACAAAAATCACATCATCAGCTTACACGGGAAAGCAAAATATGCATATGAGGAATGACTTGTCTGTTTGTGCACTCATACGTTGGTTGATTTGAAGTACATACATCGCTCTGAATGCAATCGATAGTGGTAGACTTATTGACGGTGTGAGTGACTTTTCACAGCGATTTTCCTTCGAAGCGGAACACTTCTTCTACTTCCTAAAAAGCGCCATGAGTTCTTATGCGCGAGTTTCCATAACGTAGAATAACCGACTTACTGTCCACCAAGGTATGTCTGTGCCGCTTCCTTGAGCGCCTTCCACGAAGCTTTCCTGCATTCCATCGGTGACCGCCCACCACTTCTGCGTTTCCGGATCCTCGGCGACTGATTTCATATCAGCCTCGTAGTCCACGCCGGTGTACTTCATTGTAGCTATCAGCAGCTGCAGCGGAGGATAATGATTAATGGAGTAATCCACGATATGAGCTCTCTCCAGCGCAGCGAGAACCCCGGGCCAGACCGCAGCGTGGATAGCTTTATATGCGTCCACCGCCTCAGCTTTGAGCTGAAGTCCTCTGGTGTAAGTGTCAAGCATATGCGGCAGGAAATTGAAGCAAACCTTGATTATCTGGCAAATTCTCTTGGTGTGAGGGATCGACATAAGAAAAGATATCTAAGCAGATATCGGTAGAACAAGAACAGTATTCTCATGATATTGCCCCGCGGTCCGATTGTTACATCTCTCATGACTGTCGAAACATAGTACATAAGTATCCCATGAAAGTTTTGAGCGAGCTGAACCAGTAAACGCCCACGGCGCTTACACAACAATTCGAGTTCCGACAAGCGTGCACTGCATTGAATAAACGTTTCACTTGACTCTCACTGACCATCTTTATCACTTTCTCGACACTCTCATAACATCAATTACAATGGCTGAAGGCAGCAACTACGACTACCTTTTTAAGGTTACTCCATTTTTGTGCTTCATACGTGTTCCTTGGACTCAGGTTTTCAATATTAGGTCGTTCTCATTGGAGACTCTGGCGTCGGAAAATCGTACGTCTTTGTTTCTTTGTGCCCTTTCACAATGCTGAAATCTTCGGCCCTCTAGAAACTGTGTGTGGAGATGTTCTTCTCCTTACGTATCCACATTACATGTCCATCTGCTTACTTTAAATTCCTCGTGTCGTCTCCAGTGCTTTCGCGATTCACTCGCAATGAATTCAACCTCGAGTCAAAATCCACAATCGGCGTAGAATTTGCTACGAGGTCAATCAATGTCGATGGAAAGACTGTAAAAGCCCAGATTTGGGATACTGGTAAGCTTACAATTGTTTATTGGGTCCTGTGTGTCGGAAGGATGATACAGGTTATCTTCGTTGTTCTGACCTTCTTGGAATTTTAGCCGGTCAAGAGCGTTATCGTGCCATTACATCTGCGTTAGTCTGAAGTCATTCTTGCTCCTTGGTCGCTGCTCACACAATTGATTCGGTTTAGTTATTATCGAGGCGCAGTCGGCGCTCTTTTGGTGTATGATATTGCCAAACACGCAACATACGTGAATGTTACTCGGTGGTTAAAGGAACTACGGGATCACGCCGACTCCAACATTGTCATCATGTTAGTGGGAAACAAGAGCGATTTGAAGCACCTGAGAGCAGTACCAACGGAGGAGGCAAAAGCGTTCTCTTGTGCGTCTATCTTACTGTAACGAAGTTTCTATGTTCTAATCCTTCGTCGATATTGCAGCTGAGAATGGTCTGTCGTTCATTGAGACATCAGCGCTGGACGCTTCGAATGTCGAATCTGCTTTCCAAACCATCCTTACTGGTGCGTGGTTGGCATGAGACGAGATGAAATACGCCTTATTGATATCGCACTGTCAGATATCTACAGGATTGTATCGAGCAAGTCGCTCGAATCCTCGACGAAAGATGTCGTCGATCCTGGCCCCAGCATCAGCGTCGGTCCAAGCGTGGACCCCAATGCAAACCAGGGAAGCAAGTGCTGTTAGATTATTGGCTTGTATGTAGGTCCGTCGCGCAGAGAATGGGCTGGCCGGAAGACCTTTTTGTATCTGTATATATTTGACCAGCACTGCTGGGGTTCTTCTTTTCGTCGTTACATAGTGTACATTCATTTTCTGCCTTACTTATATATTGACAGCCTCCATTCGCTCTCGTCGGCTTACCAGGCTCTGCAAAGTGAAGCATGCGCGGGGAGCTGCATAGATGCTCCTGTAGTAGCACGTTAAATGTTGTAACTTTCTGGTAATCCCAGGATGTGGTGAAGGGAAACGAAAGGGTCATGATCAAGGATTTGTGTTGTTTTCGTTGTCGTCTTCGTGGGGAAGACCCGGCACGAGAAAACATAAATAGATCACGTTCTCCGAGGACGCCTTGCTCTTACTCTGCTCAAGCCTCATTTTAGTCTCGATTCAGTTCTGCCGCTTTGAATCCAAGTGCCACACGTCGATGTGTCCGCGTCATCCTTCAAGTTGCTGTTCTAATCCATATCCATACCATAACATCCAGATTAATGTTTGAGATGATCGATTATCCCAAATGATCCCTTACCACTGGTCCCAGTGGGAGCCTATTTTGAACTTGAAGCATTTATCGATCATTATAATCAGGAATTTCGTCGTCAACTCACATCAGTACACTCCCAATATCACGGACTCTTTGGGAGTCTGGGACTCTTCTGGGGATTATCTTTCTCTTCTGACCATTGTTGGATACATTCCATGATCACAGTGAATTCGGATGATTCCTGCCAGAATCATCCGGAACACAGAACAAATAACATCTATCTACAAGTCAGACTAAATACAAGTCCAACTTCGAGTCAGTCATAGGTGCTCAGTAAGTCCGCTCTAGGAATTTGATTATCGGATAGGTAACTAATTCTATCATTTTTGAAGGAGATTCCTTGCACCACCGCCGCCGCTGCATTGACGAATGTTGTCGATGGCCCGGCTTCATTCGGATTCGGGTCATGGGATCTTCCTTTCGGCGCTTGGTAGTTGAAAAAATGCGTGGTTGCGTCGAACCGGAGAAGGTATGCTATTAGGCTCTTGCATACCCTACAGTCATCTACCATCATTTGGGACACCACCATCAAATGGGACAAACGATGTTTTACCATGATCTATAGCTATTTTGGTTTCGGAATTTTTTGAGGCATGCAGTAGGATAACCCCTTCAAAGTATTAGCTACTCAGATGAGCATGTATTTGCATAGTCCCATCGTAACACTCAGAAAGTGTCATTATGGGATGAAAATGAAAAATGTTTTGATGATTGCCATTGTTAAACTCGAGATGTGGTCTTATGGCTTGGTAAACATAATGATATTATCATTCAACACATTTGCCAACCTTCTAATACTATATATCATGGTATAGCAACATTCAGGTGAGGTGGAAAGAGTTGAGCAGGCGGAAAAGCACTTGAATTACGGCTTAATTACATCAGTTGAATATAAATAATTTCCTAAATTGGTTTATCTTACATCTTATCAGTGCATCCCAAATGCTCGTTTTCACTTGATAACAGATTTTCATACTGATTAGACCTTGGCACAACTATCCCTCCCTCGATAATGTATTTAGGGTAGTAGAAAGTTTGTATAAATGCTCTAATGAATGCCGAACATGCAAAAATACTCATAAATAAGGTGTACATGTTGAAATTTTGGTCGGAGAGATTTGGTCATCCCAAATGGTGGTAGATGACTGTACTTCGTTCTGTTTAACGCAAAGAAAATCCCAATTCACCGGTGTTCTAAACCCAAAATGGCAAACGCTGAGAGGGGGGAAAGGTAATCAATGTTCTGCCAAAACTGCCAGCAACAGATCTGCATGATTGCATCCATATATACATTCATTCGTTGCAAAACGCCACGCGCACATGTCAGAGCACCGTAACCTGTTTGCAACACCCCAGCCCCAGCTCCTCCGGCTCAAACCTCCATTAGATTCAAGTTGCCATTCTATAGCTTCAGGCACTATACAAAGGATAATATTTAGCCGGTACGTTGTTATATGAAGTCCATCCATCACACAATTCTACAATCTCTTTCGCACCTTACGATCACTTGGAACTAGCATCTCTATTCTTGACTTCCTTGAACTGAGTCTCAATGGATCTGTTTCGCCAAGTGTTGATCCTCGCGACGCTCGTCCTTCTAGTCGTCATATACTTTCACAAGAGCAATACACGACGGCGTTCCCTTCCTCCTGGTCCCAAGCCGCTTCCTATCATAGGCAACGTCCTTGAGATACCTACAGAACGATCTTGGATAAAGTACGCAGAGTGGGGAAGGCTATATGGTACATAGTCGTTTCTCGTTCTTTCTTTGAAGACCTTAATTCTGTTCACCAGGTGACGTGATCCACGTAAAGGCCCTCGGACAATCCCTGATTGTTTTAAATTCGGCCAAAGCTATCTTTGACTTGCTTGAGAGGAAAGGTGGGATATACGCTGATCGTCCACGGGTGGTGATGGCAGGAGATCTGTGAGTGTTGTTTCCTTCAGACTACCGATCTTCCTCTTATCCGCTGTCCTTTCTACAGGGTTGGATGGAACAATAGCCCCTTCTTAGGCCATAGTGGACCTGTAAGTCTGCCGATCTATGATGAAGAATAATCTAAAGTTCCGGTTGATTCCCAGAGGCATAAAGAATACCGACGCTTGTTTACCGAGGTTTTAAGTGCCCGCAAAGTCGAAGAATGGCGTCCCTTGCAACAAGCGAAGGTGATTCAGCTCGCGGCTCAGTTGATGAAGTCCCCAGATGCTTTCAGAGCTCACATTAAGAGGTCAGTACGTACTGGACATTGTTCTCTCATCCCAAGTTGAACCGCCGTTCTTTAGCCATGTTGGTAATCTCATATTCGAGATATCGCATGGTCATGTGGTTAAAGATGACAGTGATGCCCTCCTTACCGTCGCACAACAAGTAGACCATGATTTTGCGGAGATGGTAGTCCCAGGTGCATTTCTGGTCGATGTGTTTCCCGTTTGTAAGTCATAGTTTTTTCGGACACCCTTTTGGTACCGTGTCATATTCGACCTTCAGTACGCCATCTACCTTCCTGGACCGGGGCTTCCTTCAAACGAAAAGCAAAACGATATAGGGAAACATTGACAGCCGCTCTTGAATGGCCTTACCAACAAGTGAAGGATCAACTCGTATGTCCGCACTTCGATGATTGTTCATTTTATGTCCTAATCATCGAGAAATATCCAGGCCGCGGGAACTGCATTGCCTTCTTTTACTACCAGTCTAATTGAACGCAAGGAAAACGCGACAGAAGAGGACGAGTTCAATTTCAAGTGGGCTTCGTTGGGCTTTGTTCTAGCAGGTTCAGATACCGTGAGTTTCGCAGTTTCCAAAGATCAGCTTGGTGACTTATGGTGTTATTTTAGTCGTATGGCAGTCTGACGTCCTTTGTATTGGCTATGGCTCTTCACCCAGAGGTTCAACGGAAAGCACAAGCCGAGATAGATTCTGTTGTTGGGGCTTCTCGGTTACCCACTTTCTTGGACCGACCAGACATGCCATACGTTGAAGGGCTGGTGCGGGAGGTGTACAGATGGAACCCTGTTGGTCCAATTGCTTCCCCTCATCGACTTACTACGGAAGCAGATGATGTATATCGTGATTGGACAATTCCTAAAGGCTCTGTTGTCATAGCTAATAGCTGGTTAGTTGTGGTATTGCAAAGAATACCTCGGGGAATTTCAATGAATCACTGACAATGTGTACACAGGGGAGTTATGCATGATCCAGAAGTATATCCTGATCCTTTCGAGTTCAATCCCGACCGATACGTACTTGGGAAAACGAATGATGGAATTCGTGTATGGAGTGATCCTTTAGGCCCAGATCAAATGATTAATCCTGACCCAAGAAAGTTTGCATTTGGGTATGGACGAAGGTGATGGAGTGCCAAATCTGTTATGCCTCTCTGGATGCTCATTTTTACGCACACCAGGATCTGTCCAGGTCAGTTACTCGCGGACGACACGGTGTATATGGGAATCGTTACCATGCTGGCACTATTCGATATAGGCCCTCTTACTTCTGGAAAGCCTCCTCAGTACACTCCCAATGTGATCAGGTCTGTGTGAGCTTGATTGAAATAACTCCGAGCTAACATTGAAGACTTATTTCAGTCACCCTGAACATTTTGCGTGTTCCATGAAACCACGATCTCACCAGGCTCAGGACTTGGTAATGGGCCATTAAACCTAATTGACTGTGCTCCATGTTTATACTTATGTTGTATGTACATAGTTGTTTCATAAATTGTATCTTTTTTCTCTGGCGGCTGAGCGCTTGAAAAGAGCGCTTGTCACTACGGGTCGGGGATGTTTAATCGGCACCATTACTCTTGCACCATTACCTCCACGTTCTAGATTCCTGTTTTCATTGGTGTGAAAGTCTTGCACACTCGTCGAATGTCGTTGACGGCTTCTCAAAAATCTGCAATCTCTTCTGTCTTCGATGTTCTGCTTACTGCAGTTGCGACGCCTCCAAGTAAAGCCAAACCTGGTGACATAGGAGTCGGAGGAACGGGAATAGGAACAGGTAGAGGGCGTAAGAGGCTGTTGAGTGGAATGTTCTTGGTCCTTCTGGATCGGAATGATTGGGCGGAGTACTACGATGTATGTGCCAAAAACTAAAAATGTAAATAAATGAATAAAAATTGATGCGTACATAGTTAATCCCCAATCCACGCGCTTTACACCCGATTCGCGATTCACTTGCCGAGAACAAGTACACGAACGCGTTAGAGGTGTATACAGACTTGAGTTTAGTATTTTGGAACGCCATATTTTACAATGAGCGGGACAGCCAGATTTCTAAAGACGCCGCAGTCTTGAAGAATCTTCTAGACATTGAGTGGGCGAAGCGTGCTGACTTGCCTCAGCCCAAATCACGCTCTCCTCCGCCTGGCTCGGCACAGAAAACTTATCCAGAAATCGAGGAGAAGGAACGGGAGAGGGAAAGAGAAATAGAGCATCAAATAGAGATGGAGAAAGAAAAAGAGAAAGAAAAGGAGAGAAACGCGAAGAGCTCTGAAATACAAACTCCACAGCCGTCTCAACTTCTATACCAACCTCAACCAACATTTCAACCTCAACTCACATTCAACTCTGTCCCGGACATCGTCGACATGGACGTAGACATGCCAGATACTGAGAGCGAAGTCGATCAAACTGATACCGAAGCCGAAGCAGATGACGAAGACGAAGGCGATGGCATTGACGAAGATATTATTCATCAGCTGGAAAACAGTCTCCCCAGATGGCCTGGATTCTATGACAACGAGGAAGAAGGGTGGTTAGCCGAGGGGAACACCGTAAATCGTTGTCACCAGCCTTGTTTTCCCCACTGATTTGCGTCCTGCGTATCTAGGGATTATACTTAGAGCTCATTCATGCACTCAAAGGACACAAGGACGTTATTGGAAACCGTCTCGCTGCCGTACTCGAAGCTATCCCAGATGTCATTGATGGTCCAACGAGTACGACCAAGGGGAAGCTCATTTCAATCAAAGCGATTGAAGTTAGTTGCCTGAGCCCGTTTCATGTTCATGGAACTGATCAGTGTTCTCGATAGGCACGAATAAAGTCTAACGCCTACCCAACTGCCGCGTCTTTCGATAAGGACATGATGTTACTATTCGAGAAAGGGCGAAGGTGGTGGGAGCCTGCGCACCCCCATACTGATCATTCACCGACCTCCTCCTCAAAATCTTACTCCGTACCTTCTGGAAAACCAAAATCAATTTATGGTGGATCTAGGGTAGAATACGCCCAAGTTCTGATCTTACAGGTGAATCTGACTTTCTTGAGCTGTTGAAATCGCATCCTGAGTATGCATCTATGGCCTATAGCGTCTCTACCAAAGCCTTACCTCTCCTTATCTCCCGGATCGCCCTAAACCAAATTCAGGTCCTCCATACTCCTCTGAAACCAATTTCGCGAGCCTCCGTGTTGGGCCTGGGAGACCCAATCCTCATCAATCCCAGAACCCGCCTGTTGCAGAAGAAAACCCAACCCTTACGTCGGGTTTAAAGCAAATCCATACCATTATGGAAAATCGAACTTTTCTTGACCAGGTCAAATACAAGGGATGGACTGTTCGCGTGGGCGATTGGGTGCATCTAGCGAATGGAAGTGATATGTATAGTGGTACAGGTGCAGGGGCGGGTGGTGGTGCCGGGCGACCGATTGTTGCCCAGGTTTGGAAGGTATGGCAGATGCAAACCAATGCTACGAGTGCGAGTACGAATGGTGCTACATCTAGTCGAAGCCAAAATGGTGTATCATCAAAAGGAGATGGAGATGGAATCACTGTTTGCTGGTATTACCGCCCCGAAGAGACATTCCATTCTTCGCAAAGGGTATTTTGGGAGAATGAGGTATTCAAGAGCAGTGAGTTTTTTTTTCGACTCTACCTAATCTCCTAACTTTCCTCATTTCTTAACCTGCCGGGCGTACAGATCACTTCGCGTCTCATCCCGTCTCGGACATACTTGAGCCCATCTTCGTCCAGCATACTCGGGCTCACATCCGGGGCAGACCCCGAGGAAACGAACGGAGATGGTATCCTGGATGGCCGCTATATGTCTGTGATTCGCGTTACAGCTATAGCAAGGGATATAGGAACTATCAGAATCGTGCTAGAGGTCTAAGTGGACAGATAGCACCTAAACCAGCCTTTTTCCGCATCAAAAATTGGGCTTCGTGTCTGCCTCCGGAGATATCTCAGGGAATACAGCAGCTGATATACCCCTTCGAGAAGACAGTCTTTCCTGTCAGGCGACCAAGTCCTTTTACTGTTGGAGGTGGAGGACCTGGTGGTCTTGTTGAAGACAGCGTCTCTGGCACAGTATCGGGGCCAACGAAAGGTGTCTTAGCTGGCTCTGCTGACGTTGCAAAGTCTGTAGCTACTGCTATACAATACTTGCAACAGTATGCCAATGTACAGTCACAATCTCAGCCGTATTCTCAACCTTACCAAAGATATCAGTCATCATCCGTACCCGCACCGGCAACAACAAAAGCATCCAAACCAGATCGAACCTCAACTGCATACGCCATGGCGCAAGCACAAGGGGCGCAAGTTGATCTTTTGATGTTACCCAAAGATACTAGTGAGTGATCCGAACGTCTCAAGAATACATATTCTACAACTTCTTCTGCCCCTTTTCGTAGCCCGTCATTTTTCCAGAGACCCGACCACCGGCTCTCTCCTCTGGTTTCCCTCGGCACCTACGAATGCTCCAGGGCGTGGGGGAAACGCAGCTAGTACATCTGGATACACTGGCTCCAACTCGAGGGTCAGGGTAGGATACAGTCTGGAATATCTACATTGGAGGGCGATGAAATCGGCCAAGAAATCGGAGGAAGATGTCCAGGAAAGTTCGGCGAAACGGAAAACATTGGAGGTAGATGGGGACGTAGTCAATGGCAATGGTAGTGAGGTTGAATCAGATCCGTCAGAGCTAACAAGTTTGAGGAAGAGACAAAAGCCAAGTTGAATGGAAATGACGGAGGGGTTCGCAGAAAACTGAAAGGTCGTAGTGCACGTAAATTTATTTCTAAAGGTTATCACGGTGGGCTGTAGAACTCTCAATATATCGATACCAGATATATATCTATTGTAGCAATAGTACTTTTGTAACGTCTTCGATATGGGGACTGCGAACTTCGAGTTCGAGAGGAAGTGCCGTAGAGTGCCGTACTGCATCGCCACCGACGTCCGTTCGCGATCCGCAGTTCGCAGCTTTTCTAAAGCATTCCGCCTTTTTGCTGATCTGCACACTCCTCTTAACGGCCACATCTGAACCTTACGCGCACGAATCACCTACTCTTATACACGCAAAGTCTCATTTCGATAATTAAATTTTACGTCGAGTGCTACATAGCAAGTCCAATGTACACTCTGAATGCCGATTCTGCTCTCACTGGAACATTTGGCTCTAGCGCTCTACACCAATTTCTAACTCGAGATGCGAAAAGTACCCTTACGCCGAACGCGACGCAGCGTACGACCTTGATCGTTGCCGGATGCTATATTCTAGTTATAGGAATTCTATGGCACATTCCGGTTCTGAGTTGGATAAGTGAGTTCACGAACTGTGTTGGCGCTTGACCTGGCTAATCTTCCTTCTGGTAGTCTATCCGTTCAAGTACGTTCTTATTCTTAGAACGAAGCCACATTCCTGGAATCATCTGTTTTCGAAGGCTGTTGACCGTAGGATTTCACGAGGTGCATAGTCTCAGCCTAACCCTGTACAATATCACTGACGGACTTCGATCCTAAATTTACTCCCTGCGGCGATCACCTTCATGACCTGCTATGCTTCAATCATCAATCTCACTCTGGGGGTAAATGTAGATGTCCCATGCGTTCATGGGCCTACTTACCTGTGCACATATACATTCTATCGAGCTGGACCGTGAGCAACACTATGTTTCTGTTTCTCCTCTCTTCATGGTTAACATATGTATGTCTTCTTCACCACGAACAGCCGATGAAGGCGGTGCCACGCGGATGTCCGGTGGTGTTCCATATCTCACTCTCCCTGCAGGATATCTTGGTTCTTCTTTGATTGGTGCTGCGCTTATCGCTTGTGGCTTCGACACGAATGCCAGCAAGATTGCAAGTATCGTTCTTGCTGTCTTCTTTTTGTTCACACTATGGTGGTCAAGGAGAGATTGGTTGTAAGTGTATCTGCGAGTGCCGCGCCGCCAGAAGCCTGCCTACACTTAATTTTGGATTTTCAGAACCTGGGTCTTGATTTTGGGCATGTCTGGGCTCATAGTCCTCTTTTGGTTCGTCGCCGGCGGAGTAGCACTGCGATACTTTGTACTATTTATTGGGGTCATGAGCTGCATGTATTGCCTATGGGACATCATTGGTAAGTTGACCTCCGTTTTGCTTGGATATCACCGATCTGACATTGCATTACTGTTTTTGAATAGACGACACTATATCCCGGAAGGTCAACTCCTCTGACGCCGCACAGTTTGCTAAAATATGTGGATGCTGTCCATCTCAAGGTACGTGAAGCTCTCGATTCCTAATCTTTCCGAGTCTATATTTACTGTTGAATGTATACGCAGTATGGGGTGTTCTTTGGTTGTGTATATCCCTGGCATTCTTCATTGCCGGGGTCCTCGTTGGCCTTGTAGCATTCAAGGAAAGCGCAGCGCAGCAGAAGGAGGACAGTTCAGTATTTTTGCCTGTACCTGGGAGTAGCAGCGCAATACCGTTGACTGCAACAGGATATGGTGTCTTAAGCTTGATTTTGGTGGCCTTAGTCGGACTCCTTGGTATTCCGATGTAATATCGGGTGTCTTGAAAACGGACCTCCGTACAAGCAATGGCGTCGAATTGACTGGAATGCTTACGATAACATCTGGCTGTACTGTAACTGCATGAACTGTAATGTATGTATGCTTTATTTACTTATTGTACTGAAGATATTCGCGGTCCAATCCGGGTCCAATCAAGTTGTTGTGTTGTCAAGAACGTGAAGTATGTACGAATTTAGTCACGTGTGTCATCTCAGGCTCATATGTTTGTCGAGTCACTACTTGGCCTTGAGCGCGTTGGGCGAGTTGATCGAGTTACAGAGGCTGTTGGGCTGCTGTTGAGAGGTAAAGTAAGATTTCCAATAGCAATACTAACGCTTTCAGTCGCTCATTTCCATATAAAAGGACGAGGGAACGAGATCCGTGACACCTCTTTACCGAAAAAGAGTCACGAGCCATGCGGGTGTTCAGTTATAAGACTCGAGGTTTTATTGCTTCAATCCGACTATTATCGACCGCATCGACCGCATCGACCTCACTCCGTGAAATGGCGCCCCTCACTATTGAATCCCTGAACCCTGCACTTCTCAAGGTGGAGTATGCAGTTCGCGGCGAGCTCGCAATTAAGGCGGAGGAATATCGTACGAAGCTCAAAACCGCTGACCACGACCTACCTTTCGACAGAGTCATATCATCCAACATCGGAAATCCTCAGCAGCAAGGACTTGATCAACCTCAGATCACTTTTCTGAGGCAACTCGCAGCGTTGATGGAGTATCCGGCCTTGGTGGAGCTTGCACCTGGCGTATTTCCGGACGATGTCGTCAAAAGAGCTAAGCAGCTGCAAGCCGAGATAGGAAGCATCGGAGCGTACAGTCACAGTCAGGGTGTGCCTCTGATTAGAGAGCATGTTGCCAAATTCATTGAAGGTAGAACAAAATGTAACCCTGTTTCTGCTTCACTAAATTATTTTACCTTAGAACGCGATGGATACCCATCCGATCCCAAAAATATCTTCCTAACTGCTGGCGCCTCTGCCGGTGTCTCTCTCCTCATCTCCATGCTCATCTCTTCGCCGGATTCGGGCATTATGATTCCTATCCCACAGTACCCACTGTATACCGCCACCATAGCCCAATATTCTGGAAAGCCTATACCGTATTACCTTGACGGATCATCGGATTGGAATACGTCTCTTGAAGAGATCAAGGTCGCGTTAGACAAGGCCGAAGCGGAAGGAACAAAACCTAAAGCTCTGGTGGTCATAAATCCGGGAAATCCGACGGGCGCACTCCTCTCTGAGGACACCCAGATCGAGCTCATTCATATATGTGAGAAACATGGACTTGTCCTTCTTGCCGACGAAGTCTACCAATCCAACCTCCACAAACCCGACACTCATCCCTTTACGTCGTTCAAAAAGCTCGTATCTCAGTTGAAGTCTACGGTTCCCTTGGTGTCATTCCACTCGGTTTCGAAAGGTGTGTTGGGTGAATGTGGTCGTCGTGGAGGATACTTCGAATGCACGAATTTCTCTCCGGAGATCCTCGCACTGATATACAAAATGGTTTCTGTTGGACTTTGTCCTCCACTTCAGGGACAAATTGCTGTCGATACGTTGGTGCGTCCGCCTAAGGAAGGCGAGCTCTCATTTCCCAAATGGAAGGAAGAAACGGACAAAATTCATGCCGCGCTAGCCGAACGCACGAAAATCATGGCAGACAGGTTGAATAAACTGGCCGGAGTGGAGTGTGTCAATTCCCCTGGTGCATTATACTTGTACCCGAAGATCACGCTCTCGTCGAAAGCTATCGCAGAGGCAGAGAAACACGGGAAGCAACCTGATGCATTCTATGCTCTGCAGCTTTTGGATGAGACTGGTATCTGTGTCGTTCCTGGTAGTGGTTTTGGACAGCGAGAAGGTCACTGGCACTACCGCTTGACCTGTCTCTGTCCAGGTGTGGAGGAGTATGTCGGCAAGTTAGAGAAGTTCCACAACAGATTCATAGATAAATTCGGGGTCTGATCACATTTATTATGGTACCCCCCTCGGTTCCATGTACTCAGAATTTCAGAGTATCTAGTCGATAGGAATATAACATCATGATACTGTAGAATCGTATGGTTGCATCACATGTTTCATTAAGCGCCTATTAGGCGCCTTCAATTTTTAAACTCGCTTTTAAGTTCTCATGTCTGCAGGACCATCGCAACGGAAACGGAAAGCAGGTGGTTCAAAAAACTCTGAAGATGCCCATCTTACATTCAAAACACCAGCTGAGATTGACAGAGCTCTTGCTGTCGGAGGAAACGTAGATGGAGTCGTTAAAGGTATATTTTATACCTTATCTTTCCTAGTTGTACCTAATTCTGATACTCGTAGCCCTCAGTTCTATTCGATGGCAATTTCAGCACACTGGAGCCCACCAAATTACTCTCAATCAGTGGCTCAAATCAACTTCTGCTGAGGCTCTATTAAATCTTTGGGAGCAATTGGAAAGCGAAGGAGCGTACGGAAAAGTCCTCTCCATGATAATCTCCCTCCTGTGCATCATTTTGCGACACCTTTATGCATCTTCAGATGGTGACAATCGACTGGCTCGCACCTTGCTTTCACCGGAACGCGTCGCCAAACTCAATGTGTATCTGGCAGGAAGAAATCTCAACCGGAACGGACTGAACACTCAGAATGCTACTTTGACTGTAGAAACATTGAATCTTCTGGCTGCTCTTGCAGCTTGGGATCCGAAGACTGTTTTGGAGAGTTTACGATGGGATATGGAAGTGAGGTTCTTTTCAACTATACTTAGAATTTGGCTGACTTGTGAGACTTAGTCATTTTCCCGTATCCTGCGTGGTTCTCGAAACCGCAAAGACGGGAAAGGTAAAGGCGACGAAAAATCAAAACACCGTTACCATGCTGGTATGTCTGACTGACCTACAGTATCAACACTAGTAACATTACATCCACAGAATCACGCTCCCGAGCCTCTCTTCTGTCCCTGGTAACTGCGATGCTCTCCGAAAATGTCTCAGCACGCGTCAAGAGCGCATTTTTGGCTCCAGGAACACCTACTTTGTCTTTGCTGCAAAACATCCTGTCTGGAGTTGGCGATTCGTATGATGAAGATTACCATGCATATTCATATCCACAAATCAAGAATCTGCTCGAGACGTTATACGCTGGAGTTTGGTGCGATAAACGCGTGACAAAGAGTGTCAAAGTGAACATATTTACGTTTGGGTCAAGTCACAGAACTGGAATGAGGACTGAGGGCGTTCGGGATGTCAAGCGAGCCGGAGAGAGGGTGTGGAAGGGGGTGAGTTATCATAGGACTTTCATTCATGAACAGAATGGTAACCAATAGATAGCTTCTGACCCTTTATACCCGTACGGAGCACGAATCTTCCTTTCATGACATTGATGAAGGAAAACAAACATCAGATGATCATGCTGATGAAGGCGGTATTCCTGCAGATCTTATTCACCATTTCCTCCTTGCTCTATGCACCCGTCCCGGCCAGGGTGTGTGCTTTCGTGATCAGGGATGGTATTCACCCAATCACAATAACAAAACTTCATTCGAGGATGAGATCAACCACGATGAAGCGCACTCACACTCAAATAACGTACATTCATCCTTCCGGCTTGACGAAGGTCCTCAAAAAAGCTCCAGATATACTATCTACAATCCCCTCCTTCTACGCGCTCTGCGACTCCTTACTCCGATGGCGGATCCACGACAACAAGAGCTTGCTGCTCGAATCTTCGAAGCATGTCCCGAACTAGTTGCTTCGTGCCCTGACATCATTTCTGGTGGTCCTGGGGCACTCGATCCAAAGCTCAACGCACGCTGGATGATAGGCATGGCTTGGTATGGTCGGGTCGCTGGGCTGCCTGTGCCAGAGGAGTCATTTTATCTGCCTGCGACTGGTGGTTCGATTACTATTCAGACGCCACGTTTGGAACCTCCCCCCTTACGCAGTGTCGTGGAAAGCATAATGCCTTCATTTTCTGGCGGAGGGAACAAATCTCTCCTCACGAAGGCTTTAGGCACAGGAGGCGCAACGGAGAATCGAGCCACTCAAGATTCCACCGATCAGAATATTGGGAACGGGTTGGGGCTAGTCCAGCACATAACGTCCCTCACTTTATGTCGTTGCCTCAGAAAGCTCATGCAGGTACAGGCAGCATTCCTCCAAGCCGCTCGAGCCGCCGGGGAATTAGAGGCGGACGCACAAATGGGCAACTCACATGTAGGAGACAGCGAATATACTTCGGGTGCCTGGACTCGCCGGCTGACAGAGGTGACCAGAGAGGTTCGGGCCCGATTACCTGATATCCAGTTCGTCCTGGCTTTCTTGAAACGTATTGAGGCTGCTGCATCACCACAGGCGGGATCCCTTTCCGTTTCGTCGACAATAAGGACAGCAAATCCTACCGCTCTTACGCTTCTTTCTGAAAGTGCACATCGACTTGTTTGGCTGTATCATGCCTGCTTCGTGTCTGCATCTTCCCCGAACACACCTGAAGGACTCGGGAGGTTTGATGTTGGCGGTTTAATGGCGAATCTTAGCATATTTTCTGCTGAAGAACCGAATAAGCAAGAGGTGATTGTGGTAGCTAGTGAACTTGATGGGCTGCAAATGATAAAAGACATTCATATCATTCGGACCCTCCGCTTGAGCGGAGAGTTTGGCTCGCGTGCATTTGGAAAAATTGGTGTGTGCTCTCCTATATCACTTAAGTGAAAAACAAATTGATAATGCTGCAGGAAATCTCAAGCTTACGCCGTTCCATCTTTTGCTCCAGGCGTTCGCGCGAGGTTCAGTGTCCCGCGACGGCAGGAAAGTTGGTCACCACGTGCTTTTAAATGAGATATGTGGGCTGTTGGAGCAGGTCCTCGCGCAAAGTCTGCTCTTCCGTCATAACGAGGGGATGGACAGCCGATACCGCGACGGAGCAGAGGAGGAGGTACGTGTCTGGCTTGCTGCCCTTGCAGATACTATAGGCTTTGACGAGGCGGACACTATCGTCACATTTTTGGATGAGTGTGTCCAACGATGCACGCGGACTCCAGAACGATACCTTGATGCACTCGAAGAAGTACGTGACGCGAATATATCTAACATACCCCGATGGTCCGAGGATACTACTCCAGGCGTACTTCCTAGTCCATTACTCATGACATTATTGGAGCAACTAGGCCATCGAATTCACGCTACATCTATACAAGAACAGCAACAGTCGTTCGATTCCGCGATATGCTCCCTGCGCGCTCTTCTTTCGTTCGTAAAAAGACTTTTTGTTCGACTTGCTGCTCTTTGCGAGCCCCGGGCGCTTCCGGTGCTTCGAGCACTTGCGGAGAAAGTTACTATTGGAAAAAACTTGGAGGATGTGACGAAAAGCGACCTTTTAGGCTTTGCACAGACGGAAATTTCACATTTACGAACGCTACTTGAGTTCAACCATACGTGCTCGGGACTGGGCCACATTACAGTAGATCCTGATTTTCGCGGACCTGAATCTGGTAATGAAGGCTTCGAAATCTTATTTGCCGAACGATGCAGTGCTGTCAGGCTTGCAGATCCAAGTTGGCGCTCAAAGATTGTAGACAAAATTTTTGTTGGATCTGGAGCTGTCCGGAAAATTGAGACCACAAAACGAGTGTCGACTATCCTTCACGCAACGCGCCTCATTTCACATAGTCTGCTCGCACTCAGAGACTCGCATGAAAATCGTGACGACTACATGCAATCACTTATTTTATTACTTGCGGAACTGATGGCCAAATCCGACGAATCCAGCGAACTTTCATTGCCCATGAAACAGCTAGTTACGGAATACGTGTTCTGTGGAAATGAGGTCTACAAAAAGTTTTGGACCAGCGAAGAAAGTCAAGGTGCTACGCAAGGTATAACTGTCAAATGAAGCTCTGTCTTTACGCTTCTTACTTCCCTCTTTTTTCAGCAATCGACTATCTTCTTTGCAATAGTGGGCTCAATGATTCCGAGGCTGCTGATCGTGCTCTACTGGGAGAGATCTCGGAGCACTGGGTGTCATATCTACACACACAACTGCAGAATCCAACACCGGGGTCATTGAATACTGTAAGTACCTCAGCCCTGTTTTGCATATTACACTCACACCCTATTGGTAGGACTCGGTCAAGACAGGTCCAAAATTTGCATTGGCTCTTATGTGGCTCCGATATGCGCATCCTCGTGCTCTTTGTGACCTCTTTGATCTGGCATATTCATACCGGTCCCAACCTGCAGTCTCAGAGATTGCGAAGTCCTTGATCTCGAGCACTGTAGAAACGTTAGGTCGGCACGCAAGGATGGTTTCTGCCGTGGAAACATATATGGATTCCGAGCCTTTTGTGTTCGCAGTGGAACTCAGGCATCGACTTTCCGTTTTATTGACCCTCTCCTCAGAAGGCCATTTCGACTCAGCTGTGCTTGAAGAGTTGATTTCGTATGCGCTGCAGTCGCGGCTACCAATTGGTTACGACGGTGTCCTGTCGTCGTTATTGGTTCAACATTCCATCCATTCTCGACGTCGTCATCATTGGAAGCAACGCCTCGGAAATGTTCAGAATATGCCCAACTCGGATGTATTCGAGCAGCATTATTTTTCTCACAACAGTGTCATTACCTGGTCAGATACCACATCAAAGGTTGTCTGCAGTGCAATATACAGCGGATGCATCGAACTTGCCGCAATGAACAAGTGGTTGATTAGCCTGAGTAGGGCTCCTACCGACGCGATTACAATTGCGACAAAACATCTGGTACCTATTCTACATGCCCACCTTGACTGTGTGTGTGTTTCTGGAGCCTTATCTAGTATGAACGATGAGCAGAGGAGAGAATTTTGGCAAGCTTATGAAGCCCATTTCTCGTCGCTCCTAGATCTTGCATTTTGCACTTTGCCGACACTCTCCGCAGAGACACAGATATTATGCGGCATATGCATGTGCAATCTATTGGATCTGAGTGATGCTCACCCCTCAAACCATAGACAAAAGTTGACACGTTCTTTGATGGAGCGTATTCGAGCGTTGTCAATGGATGAGATGTCGTTAGAGCTATTAGCAATCGGAAAGAGATGTGGTCGTTGTCTCGATGAAGGGTTCAGCGAAGTCGGAGATGCTATTATTGACCACGCTCTGCAATGGACCGTGAGGATGCTTACTGGATGTCGGGAGATTCGGGAAAATGATATATGGCTTTTATCTGAACTCGGTGAGTGCTTAAACTGGAGTTATTTGATAAAACAATGCCTCAACTTATTATGATCCTCAGCCAATGTTATTGGAACGAAGTCCACAATAAAGTCGCATTTGGTGGAGCCAGTGCTCACTGCCGTCGTGCGTGAGCACCCATACAGCGAATCCGCCTTAAATTTACTCGACGTGATGCTACCGAAAGCAGGCCTAAAGGTCAGGTCCTTTCTCATTTGCGGCGATCATATACTGAAATCAATTTTTGGCAGCCCTTGATTGTAAATCGACATCTTCAAATCCTCGTACAGCATCCCCATTTCGGCAAACCCACTTCACCTTCTGCAAGACGCGCCTTGATCAACGTGCTATACACACTCTTTCATCTCCATCCATTCAATACCTGCCAGCCCAGCCATGTTCAACCTCTCGTTATTCTCTATCGTGGCTCAGCATCTGTCGCTGACCGTAAACTTCTGGCAATCTTCCGTCTTTTCGAGGAACAACGTCGAACTTCCGTCGCTTCATTGCTTGCTAGGTGGACTTCGTCACCCGAGGGCTTCCAGTCAACCAGTGCCTTCGAGGCATTGAGAGAGGTCGACTCGTTATTGGTTCTTCGAACTGCGCTTCACTTTCCACAATGGCGTAAATGTGAGACCGATGAAAACTGGGAAGAGCGGCTTGAAGACTCTGAAATCTACGATCCTGTGTTCTTATTGCTTCTCTTTGCGCACGTTCTTGTAGAAGACGCACCCAAGACAACACCAGCCTGGGTGGAGCTTTTCAGGACCAATATCGTCGGCCTGGCAATTCGCGCTCTTTCGGCTAAAGATGACTCTCTGCGTGAACTTGCTTCTACTCAGATCGCGGTTTTATGGAAGTGTCTAGAGGTAAATATTCAATGTTGACTTTTTCGACAAAAGTCATTCTCACCGATTCGTTACCTAGCATGCCGAAATGCTAGAGAAACCGCATGTGTTCCACATTCTCAGTCTTCTTCGAGATGCACTTCGTCCTGCTCATGGACGTGCCCCCGAGCGCCTTTCTTCATACACCTCCCTGCTCCTCGTACATGCCCTGCGGGGCGTTTTCTACTCATCCAATTTTGTGTATCCTATAACTGCGCGTTTCTTGTTGCAGCGTCCAACTCTGGACCTTGGGGACGTGCCTATGCTATATGGTATGCTATACAGTAGTGCCGAGGATCATGGGAAGAAAGACCGTGCATGGATTGTCCGTATGCTAACGGACGGAATGCAGAGTTCCGTGGACTGGCGTGTCTTCAAGAGACGTCATACATGGGATCTACTAGCCAGTGTATTTCAAAGCGAGGAAAAAGAACGAGCGTTCAGACATAGTGTACTTGAGGTGAAGTCAGATTGTGTTTCTCTATCTAAAAGTTGTTTATGTTTTTTTTCAGGTTTTAGCAAACTTGACATGTATAACAGAAGCTACGATGTCGCTGTTGCTCAAGTTTAATCTTCTTAGTTGGATTGAGATGCAACTTCTTACACCTCAAGAAGACGAAGGATTGGCGTGGCTCAAAATTCTGGAAAACATACTAGTCATTTCCCGTAGTGAGAAATTGGAAGCATCGACTGCAGGCGAGTGGCGCGCATGCCTTGCTCGGTGCTTGATACTGCTCCTTGATGCATGTAAAGCTCGTATGTGATTCGATCATACTAGGTTTTTTTGGCTAATCGCTTGACTAGTTCGTACTTTCCCGATTTTTCATTTATTCTCGGGGGTTTTATTGCGTCTTGCCCTACTGCCTGGCTCCTCATCAACCCAAATCTCCCGAATCTTCACTCGCTGCGTTTCTGCGATTAAAGATCAAGAAAGAGACAATATCCTACTCTCTGTGGCCCCTTCTACCTCGATAACAGGCCCGGGTGCGCTTTTTGAAGCGCCGCACGGTGCTTCCAGATTATTCGAGGTTCCACCACTTTCTGAGAGTGCTTTGTGCGAAGTACAGGGTGAGTCGATCGAACAGTTATGGCGTGTCGCCATGCTAGTTGATGTAGAGGAAAATCTTCCTGCTTGGGACGAGTTGAGTAGTCTGCTTTTGTTATGGAGGGCCCGTAAAGGAGAGCATTCGGTAGTGGGTGAATGGGCAAGGAGGGAGGCTGTAAAGAACATGCTTCTTTCAAACTAGTGAAAGTGTATGAACCATTAATCGATATATGCATACAGAGTAATAAGTTCATGGAGCATCGATATCATTGACTGTAGCCTGTTGAAGTCGACAGTGATTCCATCGATGATCGTGGTCTCTTATTGTACATCGAACCAGAGTACTGGAGATGTCGAAATATTCAACATTCTCGGGTTTCCGTTCCGGAAAGTTCGTTGCTTGTATGTCGCGACCTACTTTTCTAACGCTTCCGGGTGGTGCTCGTATTGCTTATGAGCTTTTGGGCTCTGAATGGATAGGACACTCAAATCCAATCATTTTCATTGGTGGTGTAGGTTCTACAAGGGGAGACTGGCAGCGACTGGCTCAACCGCTATCTCTGAGGCGCCCAGGTAAATGGCGATGTTTCTTTCCAACTCATCGAAACCCTGAAATATATTCTACAGTTGTGATCTATGACCATAGGTGTGTGCTTCTATGTGCTTCGTGCATTACCCTGTCTCGCTCCCACCAAGAAACACACAAAATCTTGACGCCTATTTGCTTTGCGCATCCGACTCTGTACCTAAAATCTTCCCTTCGACTCTTCATTTGAACTGGAAACGAAAGTCCTAGTGAAGCTTGGTCTTGACCATTCTCTCACAGAGGTGTTGGAGATTCGTCGTATTCAACAGCCGCCAAAGATGATGAGATCACCATTGAGCTTATGGCTCGCGATTTGCTCTTCCTCCTCCAATTTCTGAAGTTCTCAGAGCTGGCGCTCTGTGGATTTTCAATGGGAGGTCAGTCGAAACCGCTGCTTTTCCTTCACGAGCTTACAGATTCATAGGGACTGTCACGCAGCAGCTCCTGCTTCTCCCATATCTTCCCTCTGATCCAGTTGCATTGCCATTCAGGGTTACCCATGTCTTTCTAACTGGCACTTTTCATGTCATGTGGGAAGAGAAGGGGTATGGAATCCGGATAGATAGGACACCCATAACAAAACCTTTGACAGAGGAACAGAAGAAAGCTCGCGCGAGGCCTAATCTTGAAAAAAGCTTTGATCCAGAATGGATTTCCGATCCTGCGAACCAGAGTAGGTTTAACTGGTGGCTGGATCGACAACTCATTGGAAGGTATGATATCTCTGCTACTGCGAATCAGTTACAAACTAAATTGGGCTTTCAATGCTTTCTAGACCTCTTCGCACTATCAGTGAGTGAAGATAAGACACAATGATTCACGTCTCCCTCATCCTACATTGCATATAGTAAAGCAAAGTCGGGCAGTATGTTCTAATCAACACATCCATGCAGTCTCTCTGATGTGACCCTTCAGGTTTCTCGCATGAAACTTTCTGAATATGGACAGATACCCAAAAACACGTCATTCCTAGTGATACACGGAGAAAAAGATGCCATAGTACCCTTTTCTAGCGGCACTAATCTCCGACAGGTTATTCCTCAAGTCTCATTCATCCAAACAGGCCCTCAACCAGGCCAGGTCCCTAATCTCGCTTTTGGGCATCATTGGTGGGAGTATTTTGACATAGAAGTATGGGTCAAGGTTTTTGAAACATTTCTATCTTCGAGGGAGAATCAGCGAAATGGAAAACTGTAAGAGGAAGTACACACATAAACTTTTTTATTGTCACATCGTAGTTAACGGCCTCATGAAATCAACCTCAACCCAGGGAGCAACGATCTCCTTTTCATATGGTCTCCAATAGATTTGTTTCCACTGATCAACTTCACTAGGGCTCAGATTGTGAAAGAGAACGAGGTTCTTCGGTGACTGAGCTGCTGAATGAAGAACAATGTCTTCTTGGGTCTGGCTCTTGAGGACAACCTTTGGCCAAAACCATCTTGTCTGTGACAATAACCAGATTTGATTGTCTGGATTTCGTATGCTCTTCTCAATTTCGGGAGGTATAGAGGCGAGGTTCATGGTGACGATGAAACGATTATCATAGAGTACTTCAAGTGGGGTGGTATCCCCGGAATCAAGCTTCGAGATGATTCTGGACGTTATATCAACACGGAGTGGATTTGTGAAACCGCGGCCGGACATTGTTTCATGACTGGGCGGATTTTGACGAGAAGCCAACCAACCGAAAGTCTCTGAGTTTCTGAAATTGATATTCCCGTTTGAACCTCTGTTGATAAAACGAAATTTGTCCCCGGAGATGGCTACAGGTGTCCATGAGACGCCCCCACCTGCACAAAACGGTCGGATTTGCTTTTCGAAGGGATTTCCACCCCACAACTTGTTGACGATTTGGGAAAGACTATTGGTGCGACGGTTGACTTGAGCTGCGAGAGAGCCCCATGGGTGGAATGAAGCGTAGCGAAGGATACGTAGGATGATAGCTCTCTGGACTTTTGGATTCTCTATTGATGCCAAGCTCCGGTGTGTGATCAGGTATGTGCCCGGAGGCGAACGTAGAGCGTTACGAGACAACATGAAGTCCACTTTTGAAGTACATGTTTGAGCGAATTTTTATCAGAGGTGATACTGGAACAAACCTTCGTGATCAATATCGTCCGCTTGAAGAGTCAGGGCATTCACCGCCGAGCGAATTTGACCTACTCCACCTGACGGATCTATGTCAATGTCGAGCGCTGCGAGTTTCTTGCGAAGAATGGAAACATTGAGAAGATGTTCATCGGACTGGAGGATCAAATTGACTATGAAAAGAATCTTTGGTCAGAATATCAGGAATATCAACCTCGCTTTGTTTCCCGTCATTCGCAAGCCATTGTCGCAAAGCGTTCCGAAGGGTAAGTTCAGGTTGAAAATTCGTCTCGTCGGTGACATACGAGAGTTTGTTCTCTTCACAGGTCGCCAACAGCCTGTCCTTCGGTGATCTGAGTACAAAGGAATGTCTGTAATTGCATTATAGTCATGCGCACCTTCGGGAAAATCAAAAGTGGACGTATTATCCATCTCCTCATTCCTTCGTAATCCATGGGTCCTCCGGCACCAAAGTACCCAAAATTCATGCCCCATCTTCTACAGTGTTTCATCCCAGCAGCTCCGTCTTCCGTGGATCCTTTCATTATTCGCATTAGGGATGTTTCGACTTGATCATCTGCGTGGTGCCCGAGTGCTAAAATACTTGCGTTCGCTTGGGTCATTCCATCGAACAAAACCCTGTACCTAGCAAGGCGCGCGCTGTGCTCCAGAGGTCCTTCAGTAGGGAGCTTTGGAAACCCGTCTTTTGACCAGGGAACTTTGAGGACATGATGTTCTACGCCAATGGATTTCGCATTGTTCGTACAACGTTTGGCCATATCCCCAGACGCGACTTGCAATCCGTGATCCACATGCAATGACACTACACGACGCGGCAAGTTTGACACATGCAGGTTTTCTGAGAAATAGCGGTGCATGAGGAACAGTAGACCCGTCGAATCTGGTCCTCCAGAATTTCCAATGGCTTCAATGAGGAGTCAGAAAAACTGTTGATTGGACGAAGAAAGTAGATAAACCTATAGTTTCAGGCCATGGTATAAGAGGCTTACAGAGACGAAAGGCCCTGATAAATTCATCCCGAGAGATTGGTCGAGCGAGAAGAGTCATGCAACAATTACAAAACCTCTCACGAACGCTCATTCACGTAGAAAATCTAGAAAATACATTTCATACACTCTCGATAGGTATATGTACAGTTTGTTGAACATGTAAAGGGAAGTTGTATGCTACTGGGAATAAACCAATTGTGGTGAACAAGTACAGTGTAGATAGCGAACAAGCGGAAGTCCACGTCCATTCACTGTCCAAAGGGTACAGTACAAGTCCATTGTTTAATAGTAGTACTCGAGAGAAAATGATGAGATCGGGCGAAGAACGAGATAGGTCATGAAGGTAGGAAAAGATCGTAATCGGCGAGAGAGGGGAAAATAGCAAGCAGAACTTGAAAGCTAGAACGAAAAGGGAAGGGTAGATTATAATGGTAACATGAAAGGTTAACCACGAACAGAAAAAAATATTAGAAAAAAACACTGATTTCACACTTATCTTGTATACAAAATGCCTTGGCTAAGAATCTTTTCGAAGCTTGAAATTTGACACCAGCAGTTATCGTGATTTCAAAAGTTGATGAAACCCTGACCGCCAGCCTGTTGTTGTTGCTGCTGCTGTTGAGGACCAGAACCAGGACTCGGATGCCTCATGACGCTCTGGTGCATAGCTTGCGACTGCGACATTGGGAACTGCGACCCTACCATGTTGCCCATGTTGCCCATTCCAAGCCCACCGCCCATATTCATACCCATCATCTGCATCTGCATCATTGGGGTCATTTGAGGCATCTGATAAGCCAATGCGTTGGGATTTCCCATCGCGAAGAGGTTTGCTTGTTGCTGAACCGGCGACTGTTGGCCAGATTGGAGAGGTGACATGTTCTGCATATTAGGAGAGCCGAAGCCTCCGCCCTGGCTGCTGATCGGCGAAGAGGGACCAGACTGTGCTTGAATTTTCTGCATAGCTTGGAGCTGGATATGTTCGAGTCAGCACCTGAGTCAGCAGTTACGGAAGAATCAAAACCTCATAGAATGCGAAGTCCTGCAAAAGCGATGTTCGTGCTGGGTGGGTGTGGAAGATCCTGAGCATTTCCTGTCCAGCGTCCTGGAGTAGCTCTTGAGTGTCCCGAGAATTAGTGACGGGCTTGCGCTCTTGGGTATTACTGACGATGCAGGGAAAAATCATGATCAGCAAGATACCGTAGAATGCAAACTTCCCGTTCTTACTTCAACTTGATGTGTCGTAAATTGACGTTTGGAATATCACGAACGAAGATCCACCGCACTTTAAAGACACCCTTCCACTTGTCAGAAGCCCAAACAGTGCTGCTTTGGGTATAATCAACCTGAAGCAGTTATATGGGTCGCGATTGTCCGGAAGATGAACAAGAAAACGCACATGTGTCAACATTTCCGCCATACCACAGAAATGGCCACTGAACTACAGGTGAGCGAAGTAAAAATGTAATTAGAATTAGTCATATACATACCTAGCGTTGACACTAAAAAACAAATAAATTGGGCCGCGACCATTGCATTCTTTGAATGCCTTGTCGAGCCGCTTGTTTCCTGGGTCGGTCGAACTCCAGATTTCATATTTTAGCGACTTGTGGACATCATCTTCGGTGTATGATTTGATCACGAAATATCGAGCCTAAAGGTGTATAATGAGGGGAAGGGTATAAAAATAAAGTTACAAAGAGATATATAGCTCACAAAACTTGGTCGAATATCAAAGGTGGAAGGGTTGTATCCTTTGGTCGCAATCAACGAAGACACGTCGATCGGAGCTCCAAATGCCTGAGTTGTATTTTGCCCAGCAGGAATATCCCTGTTCTGCCCTTGCTGACTTTGTCCTCCGACAAAAGAGGTCGCAACTCCAAGCCGGGGTTGCTGATTACCCTGAAGCTGCTGCTGCTGATTTTGCTGCAAATATTGCGATGGAATGAGCGGAACGTTGGGAATACGCTCTCCGCTTCCCCCGCTAGGGTTTTTCTGATGTTGATTGTACGCGTACTGTGGATTTGGATTGGAGACACGCCCAGTGATCGTATCATTACCTCCAGAGGCATGGTACGACTGGGCCTGTGATATCGGCGTCTTGCGCCCATCGTAATCCACTCTGTTGTTGTTTCCATTACCATTTCCCCCGCGCATACCGGGAGCCTGTGAAGGCCCTTGATACGTCGGGTTGAATCGAGGTGGGTGAGCACTCTGGCCGAAAAAACCAGATGCTCCAGATCCCGATATCTCCATGTTGGAAAGGGCACGCTGCACGTCATCGATGGCATTGTTGACAGCCGGTCCGCCAGGTGTACGCCAATCGCCTGCACTTCCAGAGCTACTACCGGTAGATCCCCACGGAGATGAACGGCCGAGGGGACTCGTAGGTCCACCAGCGCCATATGTATCGTAGGATTCATACGCAGCGGGATCCTCCATAGCATACGTGTACTCGTATTCTTCTTCTTCGCCGCCGGCAACCGCATGCTCGGGCGTGTTGTTTACAGGCAACGGAGTCTGAAGGGTACCGGCTCGTTTGAGGGAAGTTACCTTGGGTCGGTTGACACCCGCGCCTTGAGCACCGTATGTTAGAGATACATGGCGACGAACACCAGAAGCCGCAGGAGGAGGAGAAGGATCCTGAGTGGAGGTTCCGTAGGCAGGAGATAGAGGTTCATTTGGATCTTGCGCATGCTGAATAGATAAAGTTGATTAGAAACCATGCCAAAATCGAAAGGCTGCAGACTTGCCTCCTCTTCGGGGACAACATAACCACCAATTTCTTTTTCCCATTCCTCCTCGTCGCCTTCGTGACCTGCAATCGCGGTCAAGCTGTTCATCGTCTTGGGCGTCATAGTGCCTGATTTCGATCCAGAATTTTGGAAGGCTAAACAAGATGAGATGATAAGACCAGATCGACAACGCTGGGGGAAAAAAAAAGAAAGAAAGCACACCTCGATGATATTTGGTTGGTAACGAGGCTTGACGATGTAAACTACTTTTTTCTCCTACTGCACCTACACCACCAACCCAGTCTTCTCCAACAACTTCATCATCGTTCCAAAGCTCTTGATTTTGAGTTTCCTCTGAAATCGTATCTTTTGCACTGGCACGAGCAGTTCTAGATGCTGCAGAGATGGTATGGTGTCGTCTGACACTGCCTGTAGTCGGCGGAGAGCCATCAGCGGCAGGGATGGGTTGTGACGACTGAGACGACATGAAAGTCGTCAACAAGGAGCTCGAAGAGACCACAAACTACAGATAAATGCAGATTTTGGGGGTAGATGATGGAAAGATTACAGAGAAAAACGGAGAGAATGATAATTATGTATGATATCAGTGATCGGATTCATTTGGGCTCTTGAATCTTTTGAATCTTTCTCTCAAGTTTCAAAACCAACGTTTGCCTCACTGTTAACATTGTAGAAGTCAATCATTGCGATAAACTAGGACATGATCCTTACAAGTCCCTACCAGCCAAACTGTCCCATGGAACCTGAAGCCGGCATCGACCGTAGAATACGGGCTTTACCGCCATCATGGAGCTGTTCACAGGAACCCATACAAGTTCCGTCTACTGTATATGAGAGAAACGACTTAGGATGAATCTTTCTATATGCCGTTAGTGCAACAGTCCCTTTGGCAAACTGAGAAAGCCTCCACAGGCCTCCACGGCTGTTCAAACATTCCATGGCAGGAATCAAAATACAGGGATATTGAAGACGGCTGACTACTTACTGTGTTAATTCCGACAATCAACCGATATAGGTCGTCATTATACGACCAATTGATTATTCTAAGTTTCTAACGCTAATCCTCAGTTGCGAATAAGGCCTGACAGCATTGATGGTGGATATATGATATGCCAGTGGAGGAGATCTCTGGTAAGAGGATATTCAGTATACGCTGTGGCCTCGTCTTCCTCTTTATCACAGATCTTTTCGTAAGTGCAAACATTACTGTATGGTGATGTCGATGAGCGCGATTCGAAGTACTGAGTACACTGGTGCTCGCAACTGCACTCTCTAAGAATTGCCAGGAGCTGCTTTGGCTTAATTACACCAGTCAGGGGCTACATATTATTCAAATCTGATGGCGGAGTGACAAACTTGGAACAGGGTCGCCCAGGGTCTCTCATACTTCTAGCCTCAACCTTGATATTCTCAGCCAACGTTACCCTTGAAGCTCAGGCTCCATGCACATAACGATTGCCAGGAATTCAAGGTAATACGAATTTATGGCGGTTGGTGCCATCAACTTGCAAGCATCCGCGAATGCTCCACTAGCAGCTTCTCCTGGGTGGGTTATGCTTCTTATTCCAAGACTTCACTTAGTTTCTCAACTTGGGTTCTACTGCTGTGAAATAGTTTCCTGCTAGCAGGAGCTTGGGTCAACCTATTTCTCTACACAATCGAACTCCTCGTTGGAACATACTTTCTCTTTAAAATACCTGGAAAGCACGCGAAGGCTCTGGTGGCGCTAGCACTTTTGGTTGACACTATTTCCACGATCTCGGTTTGCCAATTCACATGGATGGTGCGTTTGTTGTATTGTGTATCGAGGCTTCCTCCTCCCTGATTCCTTTCTTTGTATCTCAGGTGCTGCTAATTCGTGAATATCTCTTCTTCTTATGCGTTCCGGAAATCGTCAGAGTCTTAGGAGATCCCGTATTGTAGCCAACAATTCTCCAAAAGCCATCGCGGAACCATTTTTGTTGGCCTCTATGATGAGCTCGCTTGCAGCCACCATTGAGGAATCATATTTCGCATTCCGGCTTTGGACAATGTAAGTATTCTCGCCTCACGAAACAAACGCGTTAATCGTGCAATGCAGCACTCGGAGCAAGATCACAATTACAATCTTGGTTATCCTGATATATCTACCGGTTTGTATCTCGCTTCTTTCGAGATTTACATTGCCATGACGAGTTTTTACAGATGACTTTCGTCATTGCCTCCATTGGTCTCGCCTTCAATTCGGGTGTTGCGGTCGACCAAGCTAAACTCGCAACTTTGAACATGTAGGTTTTGACGATATCTTTTGCTCTCGTTGAAATAAAACTATCAATCATAGTATTGCTAGCTTTATGGGCGCCTTCACCGATACTATCATCGCCGTATATTTGGTGTATAAGCTGAAAACCATCAACGCTTTGCAGTTTTCGTATTTGACGAAATGGTACGTACTTATTCTTCACCCAATGATTCGAATGTATCCTCACACACACGCAGTCTTATCCGCAAAATTATTACATATACTGTCGCATGTGGTCTCATCACGGCGCTCTTTACCATAGCCACCTCAGTCTTGGCTTTTTCCTCTGTCGGACGTGAGTGCGCACATTCTAACTTTCACATCTACTTCTTACATCCTGTGTCCTTATTTTGCCTCTTCCCCCTTGTTTCTTATAGCTTTCCTGTTATTCTTCGATTGCAATGGTCGCGTGTACACTCTCACCATTCTCCTCAACTTTATAACATTTCATGAATGGCGCAAAGACTACGACGAGAAACGTCGTTCGACCCGCAACAATAACGACAACGACAATTCGGATTTCCAATGGAAAGGTAGTACATGGTCTCGGCGATTCCGTTCAAGTATGTGGTTTTCTGACTCATTCATTCACTTCTTCATGGCCATGAACAATGCTCAATGTTCGAAACCACATACTTAGGTCAAAGTAGTACCACATCACCGCGTTACCCTCCTTCGGTCCTCAGTCGTAATCGGAGCGCTGTATCGGTCATGCGTACCGAGGTAAGTGGATTTTTCTTCTGTCGGTTCACATTCGGTTTTGTTCATGATCTGTGTACTAAAGATCCACGGAGCAGTCATGGATGGATTCCAGAAACCAGTACCTGGGCCACCATTTTCCATGGAGTCGATATTTAGTAAATCAGAGGAAGAATTGAGCTAACTTTGAACGGTCTGAGAGCAGGACTTGAGAGTTGCTTGATCATGCCATTATACTACTATCACTGATCATTATTGAGAATAATCGTCGTATATATAAGCGTTTTGAAGTAGAATAGAATCCAGAATTTGCGGTAGCGTTCAGCGCCACGGATTCTTGATTCCTCACCATCATCATCAACATAAGTTACACGCATGTCGAGTCCTCCGCCCTCGGGAACCATTTTTGAACAAAATCCTTATGAAAATCATCCCAGTCTGTCGGTTATAGAGGCTGAAGTACTTTGGGAATACGCCAAACTAGCTCAGAACGTTAAACTGGTCAGTTGTGTCTCCTTAACGAGTCACTGAACTGAGTTATGCTGGGACTATCAACCTCAAGGTGACAACTAAAACGCGAAAATTAATGGATGAACCAGATCAGATGTTGGTGGCGAGACTGAGATCGTTAGAAACGAAGATGGGGCTGGTGATGGTCTTGGTTCGTCCTTGTTTCGAGTTAATGGTGGCGAGCTCAATTGACGCGACGTACTCGTACAGTTCAAAGCCTCTGTATGGAATGTGATCAACGAGCAGCCGGTTGATGTACAATATGGCCCCGCAGAGACGAGTGAAGACACAACTATACGGCAATGATATTTGACGATATTCTGTTTTAACGATGTACAGTGCAGTGTATCAATAGGTTTCTACATAATCGAGGTTTCTACATACTCATCGCAGCCATTCTGCCGGTCAACGCACTGACCGAAGCAGTGTCCCAGATGACTAACTTACCATCTACGCCAGTCGTGCTCACCTGGGTGATCTGTCCAGGTACGCCTGCGTACGGACGAACGCTGGTGATCGTGTTCTGATGGATTGTAATGAGCTTCGTATCAGTCGTGCCATTGCTCGTTTGACCACGGCTGTCGGCATCGCGGAAGGTTGCGAAAGCGCCAGCTTTAAGACGACCGATAGAACCTGCTCCTGCTTTGGACCCAGCGGCGTAGCTGCCATTATCAAGCGTCCCAATTTCCTGCCACCCAACGTCGGATCCGCTGAAGACTATGGGCTGGCAGTCGTGACCAGCGGCGATGATATTGTCTTCTGAGGTCCAAGTCAAGGTGACCAAAGGCAGAGTCGGCATGCGGATATTGTAAACAGGGCCCCCTGGATAAGCTATGCTAATAGAGCTGTCGTGACCTGAGATGAATCAGAGAATGAGAAATCAGTACATTGATGATACGCACTAGCAAAAGCAAGGACATCTCCGGAAGGAGAGAATCCGACACTATGAACCCATCCACCAGCAGCACTGGTAAACTCTCCACAAATAGTGTTGAAAGGAAGTTTGGATCCCCACACAGTCGCAGCAGGTCTAGTTCTCATGAATCAAGCCCATCAGCAGAAGTTTCATCGTTCGCCGTACCTTTCGTCGATTTCTTTGATATACGCGGAAAACACGCGGGCTTTCATGTCTGCACTTCCAGCTGCCAACAGTACATTGTTTGGATGCCAGTCCACAGCAAGAACGGTAGATCTGATAGGCTTCTTGAGTAGCTTGGATACCCACCAATTGTTTTCAGGATCAAAAGAACAGATCGCGATAGCGCTATTACGAACAAGTAGGTAAGATGAGAAAAGATAAACGGTAATTTTGCTGAAACTCTACCGAGCGCCACTAGCTACAGCAAATTTGTCTTCCTTTGGACTCCATCGGACGTGAGTTGCTGCTCTGTTGATCCTTAGGAGAACCAAGGTTGGTTTCCAAACAATCTTTCCCGTCTCTGGATCTGGGGTTTGTTGCCAAACATACGCGTTCCTGTCTTGCGATGCTGTGACGATTTGGTTGGAATTTGGTGCCCAGTCGATGGAAGTGATGACTTTGTCGTGCTAAACTTGTCGTTCAGGACGTAAAAGCACAGGGAATGGTGCGAGAATACCTCAGTAAGCATCTCAGTAGGGACCCATTCGGAGCCACTGCGAATAAGTATCTGAGCGTCGTTGGAGTTTAAGCTCACAGCAAGCTCTATATGCTCGTCAGCTAACGGCCGCTTGTTAATATTGTAAAATACTGACGAGAACGATCAGCATTGAATGCATGCGCAGTGATTGGGTTTTGAGAAATGCTGAAGACCTCAGGCATTACAGTAGGACCAGCAGTCTACTACTGCGTAATGAAACGATGATGGAGGAGTTCAAAGAAGTTATACCGGCCCGGATGCACGTTCACCGCCTCTCGACTGGACCGCGAGCCTCTATATCCTTGAACTTCGATATAGTGCTACTATGCATCCATAATATTCGAGTTCCTTAATTTTGGACGACCTCTATAAAGCTTGGAAGTTCTCTGACGCTAAGTTCTGAGCGTCGCTTCACTCTCAAATAATCAACCTCCTCTCTGTCTGGACCGGTTACCACAGATAGCCACAGATCCAGAAAAATTTCTGGATCTCGAACGATATGTCAGTTCCTGACCTTGCTTCCGTAGGTGTTTGGCAAGACAAGAGAACACAGATATGGATTCAAGATTTCATTTGCCTCTGCCCCGCCCTTACAAGCTCTGATTCCGAGTAGATTTCGATACTCTCCGTTTTGTGCAGGGAGACAGGATTGTTGAAGGGATGACGAACGATCTCACTTAAGCTTCCTTGCTCAGCTGTGCTTAGAGAGGCTTAGTAGGGCTTAGTGCTCACACATCACTTTGTCCTTTCAGAACCAATCTCACTTATGACAAGTCAAAAAGTTTATCATCGGCTAGAAAACAAGATTGCCTCACAAGTTATTAGTGCGATCGGGATGCATACCATGGCACGTCGGGCTGTCACGTCTTTGGCGGCGGGCGCGTCTTTTGTTATATGCGACCAAACGAGAACCCGCACAGCGCATCATGGCGGCCGGCTAATATTCGGGAGAGATCCATGCAGGATCCGTTTGTTCGATCACAGAGGACAAAATAATAATCATCTGCAGTTTGCACGTATGTATGTTTCAGTCTTCCACTCCTCATGCATGCAGGTTAATGTTTCATCCGACGACATCAATTATATGGTAGCTCGAAGCCCGTGTTAAGCAGATACCTCTTCACTAGACAGTCTTAAGCAGTCTCAACGGGCGGGTGTTTAAAGGCGTTTGATTTATTCACGTTGAGATCTGCTAATGATGCGTGTGCACGACACATCTGATGCAACCGACAAAAAGACAATAAGAGTCGGGGTGACGATCAGCCCCCGTTGCCGGAGTAAGGAAAAAACAATTGGATTCAAAGATCTGAACTGGATCTGAACGTGTAACACGCGAATTACATTTATCCATAGCGCCTATTCTCTTTGGACATAAAGTTCTTTCGTGGGGACTATAGTTCCCAACCAAATCTCTTACTTCCTCCAAATCTAGCCTCTCCGATATCCGTTGCTCGGACTTGCGCATTTATTTCAACGTTCAACAATAGTTCGACCCACCCGACAGTTAAAAAGGAGAGGATTGTTTCCTTCCAGACTAACCACTTCATATCCCACATGTCTATTCCCGCTCCAGAATCCGTCAATCCATTACTCGATACTCCGCCTACAACCCTTTCCAGACCGTTTCCTCCTCCATCGCTGGCTGATGTTCCCTTCGATTATATTCTTGAACAACTTCGTGACTTAGCCCCATCTTACTGGGGGAACTCTGAAAGTTCGGATTGCACTTTAGGTATGTTGATTACATCCATTATATTCTAAACGTCAAAATACTGATTGGCCTTTAGTAATTCCTGTTCCGTATTCTCGAGTCAGATTGACTACGACTTCTCCCTCTCTCTCTACTACTTCTCCCTCTCTCTCTACTACACCCGCCCGACCTTCTTATGACCCATCAGGTTTGGGTCGTCGAGCAACAGAGCCCAGTACATTAGCCCTCTTACCTCGAATTAGTTTAAAGGTATGCCAGTAACTTCACTTGTTTAACGTTTATTCTAATTGTTCCATTAGTTACACAGCGAATATCTATCTGCTCATTCCAGTTTCCTACGATCTCTGTTCAGCGGTGCTTCCACTGTGGATCTTATCAACAGCGCTCCGAGCACACATCCCACTCCAAACATTCCTTTGCGTACCCCTTCAGGGCGTTTTACCATTCCTGCTGACCGCCTACCCCGATTGTTAAACTCCTCCGCTGCTCATCCTGTACTGTTCCTGCCCGTTCCAGACCCTTCCTCCATCGATTTGGTCTTTCATTGGATGTACTTTGGCGATCTGCGCTACATTCGAGATTCTCTTCACGAGAAACACATTCAATGGGAGGGTATTGCTCGTAACGTCGAGTACCTAGGACTTTCACACGAACTCAAGGTGTTCCTTGGGGATTGGTACGCGCGCTGGTTGCATCCTGATCGTAGCCAGTCCTGTGATGATCTAACCTCCCTCAAATACAACTCGGACCCTGACTCTGATTCTGATTCTTTTGCTGAAACCCTTGTATCCGACATTGCCGATGATATGGACTGTCTGGACATCAAGTGTGACTTCGACGCCAAGCACGAGGAACCCGGGCGAGGCAGAGACAGGGGCACGCGCGGTCTTTCTTGGACCTTGGGGTATGAAGAGAAGTTTCCCGATACGACGACCATTTCTAACCCTCGACGCGATGAATCACCTGTCGCTCCTCACTGTGCACAATAAAGTAATATTTCATTCATATTCTTTCCTTTTCGACCCGAGATACTTCGTCTTTTCGTACTTACCTTGTTGGACCTTTGCGGCTTATCATTATTTGCCTTTCAAAAGTTCGTCGAGCGCCTTCGTGCATGACCCGTTATTTCTGTTACCGAGGTTTCTCGAAATATCTTCTTGTTATCCTACCAATCTTCACATTCTTTCGAACCACTTTTGAACCGTAATTGTTTTACGATGTAGGAGTACTCAAAGCCAAAACCATGTATCTTAATTTACCGTATAGCTGATGATTGAAGATAGTCATTCACACACATTTGAAAGCTATAGGATTTTCTCTTCCCCGATGTTATTGTGAAACTTGAGAAGCGCAAAGTCTGCAGTGAATGTTGCGGGAGATAGCAGTCCGCTGAATACAATTATGAAAAACACAAAAAATAGGAAAACAAAAAGCGACTATGCAGCATGTCGTTCAAGGCCCGCTGCGAAGAACAAAAAAAGTGAGTGTATGTACATAGAATAATATGGGGAAATCATGCATCTTGTATAAAATTGCCATTACCCCGTCTGGAAGGCCAGCGACGAGTATTCGGTATGTACAAATATGTAAAACATTCAGTATGGCGCCAACTACGACTTATGCTGAGAACAAACCAATCTTCAATTGTTAGACATATCCTAACATATCTCGGCTCCAGCGTGACAAGTCAGGAATATCCTGCTGCTTGGGTATGTTCATATTCTCACCGATAGAATCCGAGGGATCGAGTACAGTGGATAGAGTGAAAACAAGAAAAACACGCACTACAATGGTATTACATACTCGCATCTCACAAGGTCCGTTGTCCATATACGCAAAAACCACACGCTGCTAGATTGATACTTATCCTATATCCTATATTATAAAAGACTAACTGGGCGCTTAGCATGATTACCAATAATTGGTCAGCAGATTAAACGCCTAAATTTTACCACGAAACGGTGCTGCGGAGTCGCCGGAATCAATGCCGTGTTCTCCGGCAGTTTTTACTTTAAGTGAGGGTCAACACCACGAGTACTTTAACAGTTGAACTCTGTGACATGATACATTCATATATATGCATTGAGTATACTGCATGCTGTGGCTGCTGCCTTATTTTACAGTATTGATATAAGAAGTGCTACAAATTGAAGAAATCACTTCAAACTTTGCAAGGCATTATGAAGAAGAATTCTGACTTAGCAAAATTGCTTGCCATCTACAAGTCTCAACTCAATACATCCTGCAGTAAACAATGATCCATGGGTTCTTGAATGTACTATCATTTGCCACAGAAATGTTGTAGTATATTAACTACTTGGATGCTTTAGCAGGAAATGCATTCACCTATTAGAGAGCTGATAGTGTTGGTGCAAATGAAGGAGAGGACAACAACAATGAATTTCACTACCCTGTTGGGTATTTAAATAGTATCCATGAACCAGGTCTTCCACTGGTAAAACTTGAGCTCAAGATTGGTGCACCTATTATGATACTTTGAAATATTACTTCCAGGTATCTGCAATAGAACCTGACATCTGTAAAACCTGGGTTTTTGGCTAATAGCTGGAGAGCAGCTGACAATGCTCTCCAGCCAGTATCCTTGCTCTGGCAAACATCCATGTTTTGCAGATATTCATCTTGGGCTAAGGGTCTGAGAACAGTTGAGAGCACTTCCCAACAGTGGAAGCACCCAAAGCATGTTACATCCAGTGCTTGCAGCACTGGGATCTGCTCTTGGCCCTTAGCTGAATATTCAGGTTTTGCAGATGAGTCAGAGTTCTGGAAGCAGGAATATTGGGTTGTGATAAATCTGGAAAATCAATTCCCTGTATCATACTCAGTTCATCAGGTTTTGAAGAGGCACCAGATTCCAGTATGACTTACATTTGCAATGATAATAAATAAATTACAGGGAAAATCTGTAAAACATGTTGCATTTCCAAATCCTGTGTGTTTTCCAGAGCAATGGTACTGGCTAATTGTCTGAGAGCACCTGAAAGAGCTTCCCAGCAGCCAAACCATTTAGAACAAGTCAAAAATACTCCAAGTGCTTTGGGTAATGGAGAGTGCTCTTCACCTGGCACCCTTGGACTGGCAAATATACAAGCTTTACAGATGTGGAGTATGATAAAGAAGGCTGTAATAAAAGTTTTGTTTGGTAAAGGTAAGTTTTATATTCAATTCATAGCAAGTCTCTAACTTTGACTTTGAATTTTAGAAGATAGACATTGCCTTACTACAAATATGGTGTACCTTAATGTACCCAGAAGTTTTTCTAGATAGGAAAAGTATGTTGTTTGCAATGAAAATGGCTCAGAATACTGCATAATAAATATTGAAGTATGGAGGCGCAAGGCGCCGACTCAGGGGGGTTTGGGGGCTTGCCCCCAACAAGCTGTGAACCCTGCTGTAGCACACGGTGCGAGCAGAGCGAGCCACCGTGGCGAAGGCACGGGTTCTAAAGCTTGTATGGATCTAAAAATGTATCCGTATTGATTAGTACTTCATAGTAAGTAGTCTCAAAGGCGGGCAAACAAAAAAGTTAGCGGAATAGATAGCTCAAAGATCTGACGCTAGCCTATCATATCTGTGAGTGAACGGAAACCCGTACTTATGGGAATCCGAGACGAGCACCTCCGAGCACAGACAACGCCCTTTCAGTCGTCCGTGTCAGGAAATTTGTAACTGTGGCTTTCCATCTGCGCACAAAAGAGTAAGCGTTCATGATCAGAGGATACGAAGAGGACTTACAGTGATGTTCCCGCCCTTATAACTGCCGCGTTTCTTCTTGTTCTTTTCCTTACGGAAGCCAGCCCCACGAGTGACGATCAGGTCAGCATGAGCTTTAGCACCATAATCGTTTTCTGGAGCAGCCTATGATAATTAACAAGAAAGCATCAGCGATGTAGCTCAGGACAGGCCGATGAAGAACCTGAAAAAACGGAAGGAGGGTTGTCCCCCGGGGCTCGAGAATGGATTAAAAAAGGACAGCCATACCTTGTTCTCGTATCTGTTATCCCTGATAAGATGAGCAGGAACCTTGTCAGGATCAATCCGCTGGAAGCGTTCATTTGTCGTTCTTCGTTTGCCAAGTTTAGGCGCCTCCAGGGCGGAGGATTTTGTTGCTATATCCCGGGCCGTCGAAACCGTGGCCGTAGGAACAGCTGCACCACTTTCAGAAGTCCGACGTTTTTTAGTGACCTTCTTTTGGTCTTCCAGAGTAGAGTCAACTGAATGTTGCTTGCTAACGACAACATCAACATCAACAGTTTTTGCTTTTTTTTTGTTATCCGTCGTTTTAGTTGACTTTTTCGCCTTGTTTTTGGTGGATGTATCAGATTCCGATTCCGACGAATTTGACGAAGAGGAGGAGGAAGAAGAGGAAGTGGGATCTGAATCGGAAGATGAAGAGGCCTTATCTTCTTCCAAGACCTTCCTTTTGGCAGTTTTTGTCGGCTTTTTAGGCTCCGTGTCGGACTCAGAATCTGAAGACGATGAAGACGAAGATGGACTAGACCTTGTCTTGTTAGCTTTCTTGGTTGGTTTCTTCTTTTTTGTCGGTTTTTCGTCAGACTCAGACTCAGAAGACGACGCAGACGAGGAGGAGGCGGAGACACTAGAACTCTTCGCCTTGCTTAACTTTTTAGGCACCTCCGACTTTGACTTTCTGAAAGTACGGAATTAACGGAAACTGAGCATAGAGCAATACAAGAGCCTGAGTGAAACCTACACCGCGGCGACAGTCTGTTTTCGACTACTTTTCTCCTTCTTTCCTTTTTCCGACCCAGTGGACAGGGTGGAACTTGATTCCCGCTCTAAAATCTTCGTAACTTTCTTATCTACTTTTGTGTCGGTCTCGAATGACCTGCAAGAGGAAGCATGAGACCTACCAGATGTAGAAGATTCATCAGAAGAAGAGTCTGAGTCTGAACAAGAGGGTCAATGGAGCGCAAAAATTGTATCAACAAATGTACCTTCGGAATCAGATGTTGCAGCTGGCTGTTCGGCTTTCTTTTCTATCTTTTCTGTCGAGCCGTCGGAATCAGAGTCGGAATCAGAGTCGGATGTGGATGCTTCCGATGAAGATGAAGACACTGGTTTTTTACTTTTGGTTTTGACCAATGTGGACGGGTTGCCTTGTTTATTCTTCGGTGCGGATACATCGCTTTTGGAAGAGTTGTGACTGGATTCCGAGGAAGCTATATGTACACACAGACAGGTATGTGCAAGGAGTGAATTTTGTATCATGAGACGTCTTCATTGAAGAGTGCATGTCAAGAGACACGTACAGCCTAAGTCACTACTGAGATTCGGGGTTAACAGTAAATATCTTGAGAATGATTCGGTGTTGAATGCTCACTCGGATGAAGAATCAGAATCGTTGGATGTACTACCGTAACGAGTATGTCATGAGCATAGAGCGCAAACATCAGTCAGAACGGCGACTCACCTCTTCTTTTCGGATTTATCGCGGTAAACTCTCCATTCTTTGATAATTTCATCTAAGCTAGGTGTCGCATCGTCCTGTGAATCTTTCAAAACAACTACGCCTTTTGCGGCCTTTTTTAACGCCTTTGCGACATCGTTGTGGTCGCGACTCTTTAAAAAAGCATAGATATGCGTGTACGCCGCTGTAGAGAGTTAGTCAATGCATGCTTCAAGATTTACTGGTGCTTACCCGCAAGATGCTGATCACCCATGAAGAGGGTAATAATAAAAAGAAAGTCCTAAGCGAAATTTTTGATTGCTCATTGCGTGACCACGAGCGCTTAGTTACATGCTCGCCTTGAACAAGTTATCACCTTACAGCCATCATCCATGAGCGAAATTAAAGGTCCTTCGCCTGATGCTAAAGTCGATGGCTCATCTCTTAGGATCGCCATCGTGCATGCGAGATGGAACAAAGTTATCATTGATGCGCTGGTCGCAGGAGCATTGAAGAAGTTGAAGGAAGCTGGAGTGAAAGAGAGTAATATCGTAGTAGAATCCGTCCCAGGTAGCTTTGAGCTTCCTATCGCATGCTCTAGGTGCGTCTCTCTGTATTTTCTGCAGATTTCAAGGCCCAAAACATTGCAGGATGATTACAGGATCGCATATCCAAGCTGCATCTAACGAAGCTGATCTACTTGGCGGCCTCAATTTTGGTACTCCCAAAGTAGCTTCTCGCTCTGGTACACCAGCACCAACAATACCCTCTTCGAACCAGGCTTTTGACGCGGTCATCGCTATCGGTGTTCTCATCAAGGGTGCTACTATGCATTTCGAATACATCTGCGATGCGGTCTCCAATTCATTAATGAAGATTCAGGTAGACACTGGGGTTCCGGTCATCTTCGGAGTTTTGACGGTGTTGAACGATGATCAGGCGTTGGAAAGAGCAGGTCTTGGTAAAGGAGATAAGAAAGGGCATAACCATGGCGAAGAATGGGGCCTTGCGGCCGTCGAGATGGGCTCGCATGTCCGACGGTGGAACTCTGGCAAGTTTCTATGAAGTGCTGTAAATTGAGAAGTGAAAAACAATGTACTGTACATAGAGCAATTTGTACCTGACAATACTACACTTGTCCTCTTACTATTACATTGACGTACACGATGAAGAAAAAGGTAAGGTCTATCATCGCTTTCTATTATATGAGATAAATTATATCCATAGGTTCTTCTCATGGGTGCCTCTGGCAGTGGCAAGACGTCGATGCGCTCGTTGATATTGTCCGTTCAACTTTTCTTGTATCCGAGTCATCTTAGGTTCAACCTTGATCATTTCCCAGCTCAAACAACCCAGCGTCTTCGACTGCCCGCCTTGGTGCCACGATAGACGTCGAGCAGAATCATGTCCGTTTCCTCGGTGATCTTATACTGAATCTCTGGGACTGCGGTGGCCAAGACGCGTTTATGGATTCGTATCTCACTACTCAACGCTCAACGATTTTCCAACATGTTGGCGTGATGATCTATGTTTTTGACGCCGAAACTCGAGAAATGAACAAGGATTTAGAGTATTATCGGGATTGCCTTGAGGGTTTGACGCAGTGTAGTCCAGAGGCTGCTGTGTTTCTGCTCGTACATAAGATGGATCTGGTACGGGAACCTAAAGCAATTATGTTTGAAAAGAAACGCGAAGAGTTGCAGAAAGCCAGTAGTGGTGTCGTTATCACGGTCTTTGGGACTAGTATTTACGATGAAAGTCTCTACAGGGTGAGTACAAGAGTTGATAATATGATATTTATATACTGACTTGTCATTATATAGGCCTGGTCAAGTATTGTTCACACATTGATCCCTAACGCTGCTGTCCTGAACAAACACCTCAATATTGTCGCTGCAGCCTGCAGCGCAACAGAAGTTATACTTTTCGAGCGAACAACCTTCCTCGTAATAGCTACCTCCACTTCATCCACCTCATCTCCTTCCGCCTCCACATCCTCGACCTCCTCCTCTTCTGCTTCTATATCCTCATCTACCTACGCCCCCTCTCCCCCGTCTCCCTCTGATCCGCACCAAATGCACCTCAAACGTTACGAACGCACCTCCGAACTCATCAAAGCATTTAAATGGTCTTGCTCGCGCGTCCGAGAGGAATTTCATTCTCTTGAATTGGATATGTATGATTTTACTGCTGTGTTAGATGAGATGACGAGGAATACGTATGTTATGGTCGTGGTTCACGACCCAACAATAGGTGGGTTTCCAGATATGTAAGATGAGAACAAGGGACTCATTCCTTTGCTGATCTCTCTCAGAAACCGCTGCAATCAAGTTGAATATCCGTATGGCTCGTAAAAAGTTTGAGGAGTTGCAAGGAGATAGTATTGGTACTTGAATTTGTTGTTTAAGTATTGATAATTAAGCTTCGGTTCGAGGAGAGCTAGCAAATATATGTACACCCAACGACAAGAGGGAAAATGAAAAATGAAAACCCGGACACAGGGAATGTCAGAAATCAAAGTTGTTTCCAGCACTTAATCCCAAGCCAGTAATAAACATAACCTAACCATCATATTAGTCAATCTCGCAGTAATGCTATGATCTTCCCAGTCGTTCAGCCTGACGTGCTGCCTCTGTACCGGGTATAGGTTTGAAGATCGTATTGTACGTCTCTTCCTTGGTCCTCTTTTGCTTCTGGGCACTAGCCCGGGTTCCATCGACAGGCACAACTGAACCACTGCTTTCAGATGCCACTGAAGGTGTCTGCTTTCTTCGTCCACGTCCACGAGCGGGCGTGTCAGGTACCACAGACGGCGTCCGCTTTCTCGATTGTCCACGCCCCAGTCCACGAGCAGGAGTCGCAACGGCGGGCTCAGTTCGGACAGACTCGTTCTGAGCTTTTTCTAACATCATCCGTACTTGCCTATCGTCTTCTGACTCGTCGTCGTCCCCGGCTCGCCCTCGTTTGCGCGATTCAATCGTTGCCGTTTGGGGGTTTGGCTGTGATTCCGGTTGAGATTCAGAGTCCGAGAACAGAGGGTCATGCTCGTGCTCATACTCCATTTTGGAGGGTAAGGATTCTGGTTCATGCGAAGCTTCACGAAGGGGCGGTAATGTTTGCGAAGGTTCAGGTACTTTCCGTGTCTTGCGTGATGGAGCAGGAGGGAGAGGAAGAGGCTCTACGGATGCAGACCGGGAGCGTGCTCGAGACCGTGTATTATAATAAGGTGGGTCTTCGAGTGCAGGAGGGTCAACTGAAAGTCGATCGTTTGGTCCTGCGCCGGCTAACGGCATTAGCTGTTCGAGTGAGAACGTGAACGGTTGCGCATTTTCAGGGTCCACTCCACCCTCTAACGCAGTAGGAACAGAAAATTCCTCCATGCCATCTTCATCCTGATTAGGTGGTTGTGTAGGGGGGTTTATGTTGACCAAGGTTTGGGAAATTCCTGGCTCGCGCATACCGTCCGGTGTATCAGCACGGGTGGGTTGAGGTTCAGAGCGGTTGTGGGATTTGGATTTAGGTGTGCGAGACTTTGAAGTAGCTTGGGCATCGTCTTCGTCTTCGTCCAAATTTTCCTCTTCCAGATTTTCCTCCTCTTCAGGTAGATGCTCGCCTTGTACGACGCGTCCCCTTCCCTTCGTAAATATTCGCCTAAAGTTATTTCTGGACTCGACTTCATGAATCTCATCATAAGTCTCTTCATCTTCATCTTCATCTACCTCTTGCCCTTCTTCGCCTGGAAGCAGTCGGCCTTTATGATAAAGGGCCTTGGAATTGATTCCTTCTAGAGCAACGATTTCAGCAATTCGTGAGTCGAGACGAGCTTGATTCTTCTTGTAGTGTTCTCGCCAACTCTGAGCTGTATGTCTGCTGGTCCATTCATAAACCCCTTTCACACACTTGGGCTACCGGGATTCGTTAATTAACCAGCCCTTGAGAGATGGAGATGTCTTACATAGGAGACCAGCTTCTTGTAAAAATTTAGGGATTGACGACCACCGGAGGCGGGATTCGGAAGGGTACGAGCTAAATGTTTGCACAAATTCTCGTCATCTTCGTGTGTATATGCGATCCTTCTGTAAATAACACGTTTAAGTTTCGATATGACGACAACAAGGAGCTGAACGCGAACCCCCTCCCGGGAGGAAATCCAGGCATCGCCCTTTTGAGTGGAGGTTCCAAATGGAAGAAACCCGCTTCTATGCATTCGTCGACAAAAGACATTTCCTTAATCCATATCTGACGCTTTTTGATATCAGGATGGGAGTCGTATGCATCCTGCAGGTAACGTTGGCTTGTCCCTACGGCGGTAGGGTCGATGAGAATGATTTCAACTCCGTCATCGTCGTCTAATACATCGCCACCGTTAGCCTAAATAACAGGATATCTAAGTCAGGACAAACAAAGTGAAAGGCAAAAAAGCTCACCCATATCTTATCAGACACAGCCTGTATGGTCTCGAGTCCTTTGATTGAGTAGTGCAGAGCGAAGTAAACAGGGATGCCGTCTCGGGTGAAAATGGGCTCGTCCATAATGTGATTGATGGTCACGGTAGAATCAGAAAAGTCAACAACCGATACAATACACTGCGTGCGCGTCCACGGCCCGGAGATCCGGTGCGTTGTAGTAAGTTGTAGTTTAACCCAACCACTTTTTCCACTTTCCCAAACCAACTTTCGACTTCCCTGCATCGTTCATATCGTAAAATTGGCCACTGGTCCGAGGGTCCGAGGTGCATCTGCCTTGCCGCACTCCGGGCATTAGCTCAGCATTTCTTTCGACCCGCCTCAATCTGCTGGTATTCAATATATAATAGTTTCACGTATAGAAGTCACATGTACAATTCAGTACTCAGTCCTTACCTACCGACATGAAGGATACCTCCCCGAGTGGCCCATTTCTCTCTCTAGCACGCGAACTGCGCGACAAAATCTATGACTTCTTGCTGTACACACCTATTGGAACACCTTCCACGTCCATCTCTGGGCATCTTATAGACGTTTCAGAACCCTACTGGATGTTTATGACCCGTCCAAAACTTGATTGGCACTGGCAGATACCAGTCAGTCGAGGCTCCTGCTTTGGCATTCTATACGCTTGCCGCCAAGTATATGCCGAAGTTGTAGAATGCATCGAAAGACAGGACGGACGTGGTGGCATGTCCTTCGAGCTCGAGATTGCTCTCATCGGGGTACCACATCCCGAAGATAGAACAATCTTGGGTGTCGAACAAGTATGGCCAAGTTGGATTGTGCTTCCACTGTGCACGTATCCGGTATTCTTACATGATTCCAAAAACTTTGCAGGCTCTCCATTGACCTCTACGGGTGTCAATGCGAAGTGCAAGAATCTCGACGTTTCGTTGAAGCTACAATCGGAGGTCGCTTACAGATGGCTCGTTATCTCGGGACTGTCAAGACTGACTCAAATTCTCTTCACGATGTTAGCCAGATTTCTGTTGTATGGGCCTTTGGGACTATACAGAAACACGGATACCAATCGTGTCTGGAACATAGACATTCTAACTGTGAATGTCATGAGCGTTGGGACATTCACAGATCCTTACAGCGGCCAATCTCGCCCGGTGCCAATCGAAGTCGTCGAGGAGAGCGTCGGCTTCCTATCTCGCTACATAAACGAACTTTGTACTGAAGGTGCATTATCTGACCGAGTCAGTGTGGTAAGATTCGCTGTGGAAGGCGAGCTTAAACGCGAATGGCTAATTAATCGAGGGGAAGGGTTGTCGCCTCTTGCGAAAAAGGATTGGGCAGCTTACGGATGGAAGATCGATGCACAGGACAGGTCGAGAGAATCTAATTTACACCATGTTGTCAATACGAATATCGCACCTAGAAAACGAAAGTCTGTTCTGGGATCGAGATCATGTTGCAGAATGCAGTAAATATGAAATTTGTGTACTACGTAGCTAAAGAAATCGTGTGGGGTATACATTAAATATTGTCATAACATTACACTTTTGAACGGAACGTAAAATGTCGATATCAGGAATCAATTGACCGCAACAAACTTTCATGGCGAGGACCTTGACTGACGTTCGTTTTTCAGGTCAAAGATGACCAGCGACCTCCCGAGCAATTATATGTTGCATCGGGATGTAAGCGGAGGGCATGAAGGGTGTTTGATAATTCGTAGCTTGCATCGAGCGTCAGGTCGTCCAGTGATTACAAAACGGCCAAACTGGTGAATCGGGCAACGGCAAGAAAGAATTTTCAAGCCTACTTTCGATGAAAGACCTTTTCCACAATGCTGTACGGGCGGTATGACCAGTTAGCTGGGTAACTTCAATGGTACGGCCGAGAGCGCAGGTATCAGAGTGATGGAAGCATCCTCGCGAGTGCCATTTCAATCATGCAAGAATCCATCCGAAATCTGATGACCACTGTTGACATTTACTCGCGAAACAGACCTAGTAATCATGCTCGACAAATTCATATGGGAGGTGTTGCGCGAAGGTGAAAAGGACGATGAACCACCATTGGTATCATCAACAATGCCATTATTGGGGGACGGAGGAATGGGTGATGAGCTGCGCGAGCCGCCTGAGTTGGCTAGTATCACGCCTGCAGGAAGCGTATAGGACCGGACAGGAGAGCCCCGAATTGGTGTCACTGGCCCATCATGTACATTGGAGTTCAAACCCGTTAATGTGAGCACCGAAGGTCGAGTGCGTGATCGTTTCGGTTTTGGGGCAAGAAACTGTCGTAAGGGGCGTAGCCATTTTATCGGACCAGACGTAGGGCCAGATGTAGGAGAGGGCGGTCGGGAAATGATTCCATTTCCGTTGAGAAACTTTCCTTCTTCTAAAGCAAAAGAATTGAGATCACGCTTTGCGACTTTACGTAGCGTGCGCAAGCAAAACGCGCGAGATTGACGACGCAAAGGACATGCGATAACAAGAATAACGAAGAAAACCATGGTGTAAAGGATGAGAAGGACGGGAGAAAATCCAAGTGAAGTCCTGTGTAGAGACGGCGGTAGATGAGGGGTTAGACGGTCCTCTAAGCCATCCAGTGACGACCACGGACGAATGGGTTTGACGGGAAAACCTTCAGGTATTTGTGGGTCGTTGATTGGAGGTACGGTGCCATGCAGGGGTGGTACCTCTTTGCTAGCTTCAAGAACCATCTTTCCCAGTGTCCAACTGATAGCTATATCTCCAACAGAGTCCATTGATTGAAAAGCTGGTCTACCCAAACCTTTTTGCTCTGCTTTCGCGTCTACGTTGTCACTTTCAGAAGTTGTGTTTCCCCCTATATCAACGATTCGGGGCATTCCTATACCTTCGTGAAGGACATTTGTAATCCAAGCAGCCTTGAAACATTGCATCTGCAATCGAGTTATTTCCACCTGCGGGCCCCACTTTCCGACAGCTACGGCTTCTCCATTCTTGCCTTGAACCTCACCATCTCCGTCCAAAGGGCGATATTTGACAGTTTCCTCATGTTCGCGCACGATATCAGACCATTCTCTAGCACAAAAATTGGAGGCAGCGCGTTCATACTGGACGAAGTTGTAAGGACCGCCAAGCCCAAAGACATGCTCCGATGAAAACCAGTACTCGGAAACACCAATGAAATGAGACACCGAAAAATCGATGGGTGGGACATGAACTCCGTCCATGAGACATGGCACATCGGGACAGGGTTTGCTCTTGTTGAGCAGGGTGGAGGTTTTCTGCATGCACTGTTCGAAGGAGCCAGTACCTTTAAGGTGGTGTGTTTTCTGAATATGGTCGGCAGCATGACCAACAAAGGCCGGAGTTTCGACCAACTCGAGATCTTTCGGCAGACACGGGTCAGGAACAACATCGGCTTCGCCAGAACGACTTTCTTCAAAGCCTTCGATAGCCATACCGACATATCGTTCCCTCGCCTGATTCGTTCCATAGCCTAACCACGTCGTTACGAAAACCATGTGGTGTATTTCGTCGCCGTCCAATAAGCGTAACCGGACGTCTATCAGATCATTCGTGTCTAATTCATGGTCCTTGCCTGGCTCGAAAGCGATCTGAGTTGACGCGCCTCCCATATCCAGAAATCCATAAGTGGTATGTCCTTGTTTGTTCGTGAAACCGTCCATAAGATAATTTACTGCTATCCATCCAAACAGACCCTCTTCCTCTCCGGTGATAATGAGCACACTTGAGCCACAGGGCCCGTTTTCCGAAGGGTCGTCAATTTTGAAGTAAGAATGACGGACGAGAAAGGAGCAAGTTTCCTTCAAAATATCGGCCTGCTTTTCTGAAGAAAGCAAGCGCATTCCAGCCGTAGCAAGGAGGAAAAGAGGTGTGTCTTTGTGAAGCGACGGAGGAATTTTGTCCCGGGCATGACTGAGAAGGGGGCGAAGATAAGCTCCAATGTCCTCAGGGTTCTCTGCAAACGTGGATATACCTGAAAAATGTGAGTAATAGCTCTTTATTTGACTGAGTAGAGCGCACCTGGCTCGACTTTAGTAGACCAATCCTCTCCATTTTTTGTACCCTTTTCAACCTTGGGCAACGTATGCGAGAACGTAAATGCCCAATCAGTAGAAACAATTGAGGGATCCTTCCAACTGTAAATTTGGAGCCGTGAGCCTGACGATCCAGCGTCTATGACAATACCGAAGTGACGACCAGCTAACCAAGGGTCGCTGGCTATGGGAGGAGGCATTGAGAAGCGCCCTTGCGTTGACGCCAATAATAATCAGGATGTTCGCACGACCACTGGAACTGAACACATAAACTCAGTTAATAAAACTCTGTACATTGTCATCGGTACTTTTTACTCTTATCCATAACATTCAAAGCTCTTCCTGAGTACTAGACTAGGATCTGGTTATACTAGGAACAACTATCTTTTGAACGCTGATCGAAACACCACTTTGGGTTTCAACAAAATTGCTTCCTCGGACCGTCCATCTATATCCACACTCTTCATCATTAGGCCAATTTCACTCGTGCATAGAACAGTCTCGTCTGTCAATGATCTTTTTCCATCTTCATCTTGCATCCTCCGAGTATCGAAATGCACTCCCGGAGTAGGCATTTCAAGAGTCAAATCCATGGATGTAATCTGTGTCATCGCTATATCGAGCTTCTCGAGGAGCAATACAATAGCGGAAATCCTTCCACGGATAGTGCTCTCAATTCTCGCTACGATTTCGGAACTCCGACTTGGCCACCAGCCTGCCACGATCAAAATAGCTTTCACTATTTCTGCAATATGTTCGTGAAGACCTGGATTTTGATACACAGTGTGTTTTGTCTGTGCCTTTGTCAACGATCTCCATGTACGATATACAACAGCCTGTTCTGTGAAACACTTGTAAGTGAGCAGAACATTTACAGTCAATTGAATACCAACTTTGTTGCATTTGAATGCCAGCGAATGCGCCATTTATTGCATCATTGGCCTCTCCAGGCATAGCCCAGAGGCAAAGGACATACTGAGACCGCTGATTTAACCCTGCTTGCAGAGCGATCTGCACCAGTGTCATGTGCTCGTCGAGTACAGCATGATTATGCTGCAGAAGCGTTGCGACCTCTTCACCTAACGTTTTGCTGACAATATCCACTGCCCATGGATCATTCTCCAATGAGACTTGGCTGGACATGAAACCGACAATTGTATCCGTTATGGAAGCTGCTGCTTGAAAAATCTCCCCATTCAGCGACTTGACCATCGACACAATATCTGCTCCGGAATACATGTCGGAGGTGTTTAGGAATGCACGTGCTCCTTGTAACTCTTTCATTCGAGCATCTAGTAGCTCCTGGCTATGAGCGTCCTTTGTTTTATAATGGGCAGCGGCTGCCTGTTCATTCATTAGATGCTTTCGCAGCTCCCCGATCTCATTTTTCTGCTTCATCAAGGAGTGCTGAGCATTACCTAGCTGTGCTTCCATCTCCTGGTTTCTACGCTGAATGTCACACAAGTGCGCTTCTAACCTCTGATTTTGCTTCTGAATATGCGCAATTTGTTCTTCGAGATATTGCCTCGGTATACGACTCTCCCTTAGAACGCCGCTCGAGGTCTCTCGATCTGCCCTCCCGTCTCGACCGTGGAGGCTTGTATCCCTCGTTGTACGATGTCCTATTTCGATCGACCCTGATGGACCTCTGCCACTGGATTGGGACGGCGCCGCATTCCGGTGATTTACAGTCCCCGGTACCATGCCAGCCTGTGTGTCAGTTTTTCGATCTTCCCCAGCTTTGGTAGAAGGAGCTGACTGAACTGCATCTGAATATGTCCGACGATTCGATTGGAACGTTTCCGTTCGAGAGTCTGTGGAGGCGGACTGGGTATTCATTCGGTCGCCATCATGTTCTCGGATCGCAGTCGTGGAAGGGACCGTGACTGCAGCATTCGCGTCAGGTTGGGCATCACGGTGCTCCTGTGGAATTCCATGGCCATATTTTGGCCGGACAGGGTCAGACGATGAATGTGCCGGTTGACCTTGGTCGTGAGGATTGTATAATTGACTTCCCTCGTTCCTGCCTTCCTGGTGTAGCATAGCGTCATCACGGGTATGAGTAGGATTTGGAAAGACCATATGAGTGAATGCCTTGAGTAGATCCCCGAGCATTGACGTTCGAAGAGGTAGTGGGTTGAAAGGCGAATCTCGCCACACAGACTTCCAAAACCAATATGTATGTATTACATGTGGTAGCGCCTTTGCGTCTATTGGAGTCTCGTGTCTACTTCGCCGCTTTACAAGCTTTGGAAGCCACTCGTAGAAGCTCGTAGTATTCAATTGAGGATATATCCGCAGCTACCTCAAGGCGAGCTAGTACAATCGATCGATTACTTATCCTTTCCCCTCAGAACACCCTGCCTTTACTGAGCCTTCATCATCGATATGCCCCAGCGCAAACCTTTTGCCGGAACGCAACAAGGACTGGTACTTGCCATCGACGTCGGGACTACCTATTCAGGCTGCTCATTCAGGTTGGATGATCGTCTTTCTCAAGTCGCCCGAATACGAAGCTTATATTATCTGGTAGTGTTCTCGATCCGGGGGTGGTACCAGAAATCAAAGGCGTCACTAGGTCCTGCGAAATTATGATTGCAATTCATATTCTTTTTGATGTGTCTATTCCAACAGGTTTCCTGCTCAAGCTCCTGGTGGTTCCTCAAAAATTCCCTCTGTGGCCCCTGTATTACGATTCCGCGGGTAAAGTTCGAGCGGTTGGAGCAGATACTCTCTTGGACACAGTCATCGAACAAGCAGGAGACGAACAATGGACCAAAGTCGAGTGGTATGCCTGACTCCTCAAAATATCCATCATTTACTGATTCAAATTGTGGTCACTGATTTTACAGGTTCAAGTTGCATCTACGACCCAAGTCTAGTAAAACCCCACTTCGTATCCACCAGCAAATACTCTCATTACCACCAGACAAGTCTGTGATAGATGTGTTCGCAGATTTTCTCCGATATCTGTTCTCATGCTGTAGGACATTTATCGAAGAGACGCTGCTCCCGGATGGCAGAAGCTTTTGGGAATCTGTCAAGGACCGAATCGTCTTTGTTTTGAGCCACCCAAACGGCTGGGAAGGACGGCAGCAGAGTAGTATGCGACGGGCCGCGGTACTGGCTGGTCTCGCTCCAGATAGTCCTGAAGGCCAGAATCGTATACTGTTTGTCACGGAGGGGGAAGCCAGTCTGCACTTTTGCATCAACAATGGACTTACAGTCCAAGTATGTATTTCATTATTTTCCACTGTATGCTGAACCGATCGCCGTCGACCCAGGAGGACGAAGGTATCATCATCGTAGATGCCGGTGGAGGGACTATCGATCTCAGCGCTTACTCTGTATCAAATACTGACACAAATGCTTTCGAGGAGATCAGTCGATCTGAATGTGTGTATTTTTTTATGCTTTCCGTTCCATGTGCCACACACATTTGATCCAAGGTTGCTTCGCTGGTTCGATATTTGTCACCAAGGAATCTCGCGTTTACTTCGAAGGTTGGTACAGTCTTTTCCAAATGCGCCTCGTTGATCCATCGTAGTTGCTCAAATTTTCGTATCCAGATAAGCTTCAAGGGACTCGGTTCGAGGAAGATGTACCAAGGATTACCGAATGTTTTGATCAAACCACCAAGTTACAATTCAGAGATAGTGATGAACCATCCTACGTCAAATTCGGGGGACTGCGTGACCGTGAGCCAAACCTCGATATTCGTTCTGGTCAAATGAAGATACCTGGGTGCTTGCTGATTATGTTCCCCTAGAGGTGGTTGTATTGACTGTAATTGATTTTTAGAACCATTGTCGCTCGGTTCTTTCAACCTTCTGTCAATGCGATGTTGAAAGCCGTCGTTGAACAACGCCGTGAGGCGCGTAAAGCAATAACCGTGCGCTCGTCAATGAGCTTTCTCCGACGAACTTCAACTAACTATGAATTGTAGACCGTACTTCTAGTCGGCGGATTTGCCGCGAGCCCTTTCATGTTTACTAAGCTCAAAGATGACCTTGGACAATTGGGTTTGAGTATACATCGTCCTGATACCCATGTGTAAGCGTTGTATAAACGTCGTTGTTGATGACCCACAGACTGACATACTAAGGCAGGAATAAAGCAGTCGCAGATGGTGGCGTTTCATTCTACCTGGATCGTTTTGTATCAAGCCGTGTAGCCAGATATTCCTACGGAATAAAATGCTCCAAGATTTACCAGACATCTAATCCTGAGCATCGAAGACGTGGATTCCATAACTCCATAGCAGGAACTTTTCAGGTAGAAAACTGCTTTTCGCTCATCTTACAAAAAGTGAGATTATTTCTTTCCTATGATTATCACAGCTTTTAATCCGCAACACAGGGTGTACAGATAACGGAATTACAAGAGTTCCGAAACCCGTTCGTCTACTACAGTTATCACCGTTTGCAAAGTATGACTGAAACTATATTGGAATATCGAGGCATAGACAAGGATCCCTCCTGGATTGATGTAGATTGCAGTGTGTCTTTTATAGCACCGCAAAGTGACTGGTTGACTTCAACAATTTTATCTTTTCAGATATGTACTCTACTGCCTGTATAGTTACTGCTGATACTTCCAAAATATCCGCCACGCTCGTTCCACGTCGAAACCCGACAGGCTACGAGTATTTCCAGCTTAACTTCGATGTTGTTTTGCTCTTCGGACTAACAGAGTTAAAGGCACAGATTGCCTGGCAAGAGAATGTGAGTCTCCTACCCATTTCACGTCTGATCTTGTCTATTGATATTTTGTCGTTCCCGAAGGGAGTTGAAAAAAGGTTTGTCTTGTCACTGTCGTCCACAGTGTAACTTTCTATACAGATTCTGTAGAGGTCCAGCGCAGATTGTATATGAACCTGCGAGCGATGATTGAACATGTTCTGCGCGCGGCATCACAAAGAAGTCACTAGTTGTTACATAAATTGAAACGGATACTCAGTCCTGTGTCATATCCTCAAACATATGTTGCTTTCTTCTTGCTTTGTTCACCTAGTACATACGAAGACATGAATTCAGAATTGAGATGAAATTGGCGCTTGAGAGACAACATGAAAGAACAGGCGCTAAACCACAAAGGTTCCTGATCCACTTGCACCAGTACCAGTGCCACTATTAAGACGCGTCTTTGGCGTGCTCTTTTCTATTTTCAAGCTTAGTTTTAATGGCGTCAAATCTGTCTAGTACAGTATACGCTTCTCGAAGAAAGGAACTACTTGCGCTCGTCAATCAACTCAGAGCGGTTGGGTGAGTTACCCCTGTAAAAGTATGTGCGTTTTCTGATACCCAATTTTGATTCTTGCAGAGCACAAAATGACTTGGATCTTCCAAGAATAACCGTAATTGGTAATCAGAGTGCCGGGAAGTCGAGTGTGGTGGAGGCCATATCCGGAGTGAGGACAGACTCTTTGTCAATATCATTCTTCAACGCTTAATATCTCTGTCGCAGATCACTGTACCAAGAGATGCAGGAACATGCACCCGTTGTCCAATGGAATGTCGATTATTCTCCTCTTCCAATGCTTGGACCTGTTGCGTTTCTATTCGGATTGAATTTGACGACGACGGTAACCGTCTACGAGAAGTCGCCGAAAACATTTTTATTGGAAACATTACCGATAAATCTCAAGTCGAATCTGCCCTACGAAAAGCGCAATTCGCCGTCCTGAATCCTGAAATATCCTGGGATAAGATTCTTGAATCGCCTATCGAGGAGCTGAAGAAATTGGTGAATGCAAAATCTCTTCCGTTTTCTCAAAATGTAGTTTGCGTCGACTTGGAGGGCCCTGATTTGACAGATCTGTCCTTTATCGACCTACCTGGTGAGTTGAATGTTTTGTCTTGTGCTGCGAAAGATAATGTACTGACTGGGCTGTTTTGACTAGGTCTTATCCAAAATGCGCAACCGGAAGTGGTGCAGCTTGTAGAGGACATGGTAGTGTCTCATATTAAGGGCAATTGCATTATACTTGTTGCCGTACCCATGACTGGTGTGTAACCGTTGAATTTAAGGAATTTCCCGATTTACTGTCGTCATTCAGATGACATTGAGAACCAGAAAGCTCTTCGTCTTGCAAGTCAAGAAGATCCAGATGGTAGAAGGACTATCGGTGGGCTGAAATTTTTTCTTGTCGTACTAAAACTATGATATAACCAATATGGACCAGGGGTTCTTACTAAACCCGATATGCCACCTCAACATCCTAACAATCAAAGTATATAGGCCTGGTATATAGATTCACATGACAGGGCTACTCCCCTGAATTCTCGTTGATCCCTAACATTGCTAATAATTCTGGCAATAATCCGAGGTTTCTGAGAATAGTAATGGGTCCAGCCCAGCCTAAAACTATGACATAAGTCCTGGAATCTCCCGGGATTGAGCGGGACCAAGTCCGCCTCATCAACAGCGGGACCGAACCATCCGGATAAGCGCTTTTCGTCATCACCAGCGCTAAACTTCCCACCGACTCCCGCCCATCGCACCTCACTACTATCCGTCTTACCTGAACTACAAACTGCAAATTCCCATACTCTCACCTTCCTTGGCTTGACACCTCAGCGTAATTCCACTCATGTCCAAGCGCAGACCCCGTACCGTACGAAACGTGCGGTCTACAGTCGGCGCTGGGCGTTTTTCACCTTTCCTCACTCAAACTCAACGACTGGGAGCTGCTGCTGTTGCTCAAAAGCGAGAGCAAGCAACTCTCCGAAGCTCTCAAGCAAGCAAAGGTTTGTTTGCTAAGTCGTATATTGTAGGCTCGCCTCATCAGTAATCTCATACTCAGGCTTAAGTCGGGAGTTTCAGAAAGCTTTAGACGAGCTTGCAGGACCTTCCCACCCTGGCATCGAGCACCCTCAACCAATGGATGTGGATAATAGCGGCTTTGATATGAGCATGGCTGCAAATGAAGATGACGACGAGGATGTTGGAGAAGGACGGGCTGGAGACTCGGCGGGAATGTCAATTGACATTCGAGACGTCCTCCATTTTCGCAGGTGCGTAGTTTTTGTACTTTGTTGTTAAAACTCAGCCTCTAACCTCTGTGGTAGATGGGAGGGGCGTCGCAAATACAAGAATGCACAAATGTGGAAAAACCGGGTCGACAACTTCAACAACGCTTGGGCCTCTCTTATGGACGAGTTGACTGAGGCTTATGTCAAATGGAAATACAACTTCAATTTATCTGATAACTTCAACGAAGAATATAGCTTTAAGATCGACGCAGTCAACATTTACACCCTTGAGAAAGAGGTCTGCATTCATAGAAGCGAAAACACTAAGGCTGCCGTTGCACTAGTCTCTGCTGGGTATCTTGGCACGTCTCCTGAGTTCCCATCTCTTGCAATATCTCTTCAGACTCTGGAGCTATACTACACACTCCGCCTTTTCAAACCATCCTTCAGTGTTGAAGCTTTTGCCAAAGCGCTTTGCCACTTGTATTCAGTGCGCCTCTCTTCTATTACATGTTATGATTACTGATTCATTTCTGCAGATTCCCTTCCGTCGGGGCTATCGTACGGGTCTCTCAGATACATTTGATGTTTACTTGGCTATCCGACGGAGAATTGATAGTCAAGTTGCTAAGGAGCTAGGTCACGAAGGTGCAAACTATCGCGTTCTCAATAGCTGCCCAGCATGCTGTTACAAGGTACATAGATATTTTTCTCTAACCAGTAGTATTTACGACTTCAATTTATTGAAGCTTGAAGACGAGCCAGAACTGGAGTTCTCGCGCATGTGGGTGGTTGACGGGAATAACTCCCTTAAGCGCATGGCGGGCATCGGGAATCGGGAAGTTTCTGACACCCGGATCTTTGGAGAGAGTGATTACTATTTATCCGAAGACTTTGTCAACATATATGCTGGTGAAATCAAGGCCCGTCCACTTGCCCGCAATATCGAGGATGAGGACCCTGATGAGCTTCAAAGTGATTGGGTTGATGAGGAACACGGAGACCCTACAGATGGAATTGAAGACAGTGAGCTGGCACAGTGCACCGAGAATTGGAAAGCTGCTGCTGCCGACCAGCAGAAAAAAATGTGGGGTATTTTTCATGAGTCTGGATACTTTGCAAGTGCATGCAGGCATGGCTTTGTCCTATGGGTTGCTGACATGATACGTAGCGGGGAGCTGTAGGTTCGAAAGCCTTACTTTTCGAACAGATCACTGATATTTCTTCTAATGTAGTGCTAAATATCCTCTAGCTATTGTAGCAAAGGCTCTCGGGGTACTTCCGCTGCACTGGCTTATGGGCTATGACATTGGCTGCAGCTTCGGGGGTACCATTCTTCGCAGCTCACTTGGCCCGGAATTTGCCAAGCAGAAATGCCGGACATGTGTCAACACATTTCATGGTTACTCACACAACGCAGCATGTCAACAGAAATACCACCCACTCAACATCCTTGGCATGGGTCTAGAAGACCTCGAAACACTCGAACGACTTTTCTCATCATCGAATCAACTTGCTCCTCTCATCCGATATATGACTGCCTATCGACGCCGCGTTTTCATTGACATATTCTTACAGCAATGGGACCAGGAGAAATACCAGAACCTTGCTACTATGCTGCACAATAACTACGTACAGGCACTCAACATACTCGAAGATGAGGCCAAAGCCCTTCAGGCAGATCTTTTAGCCAAAGGTATCACAATCGAAGACCTCGAAACTTACTTTGTGGAAGAATCAAACCATTTGAAGGAGATTGGGAAGGAGGCTGAGGGGGACCTGCATGCGGTTGCATATGTCGAGCTTCTGCAGAGATACCGAGAACTTAGGTGAGTATAGAGATTCAATCTTAAAGCCTTCACTGACTCATGTTGAAGCTCTGCTTGTGACAATGCTGCTGCTGATTTTCGCTCCCAGACACCCGCAGACTACGAATTTCTTGCTTCTGCAGCATCCTACAGCAGAAATCTATCGGATGGGCGCCGGGCTGAAACAAAGCGGCGGTACTTGCGGGAACAACGGGATAAGACGCTCTTTGAGGTGGTGCAGATGGAGACTGCAATGTCTATTTCACCACGTTGGGAGCCAACAGACAGGGAGTATATTGAGACGATCGAGTATATGAACACCAGAAAATACCAATAGGCACTCGAGCGGCTCTACAAGTTGGTTATTCAGCGTCTCTTTGAGTTACATAAAATGAATCTTTCATTCACTGGTGTGTTGTCTTGACATTATTACTTCACCTATATTAATCGACTAATTGCCCAGGCTACAAAATGCGGACTCACATTTCAAACGCCCTTCAACGCCGCTCAAAAGCTATCCGAAATGCTGTCAAGACTTACAACTCCGCTGCTGCAGCTATAGGCCGACCGACACTTGATTGGGTAAAGGTTACCCACTACTCATTCCTTGACCAATTCAACATCCTTCAAGACACCCGCCATAGCATTCTGGACAAGAAATGGGCAGACCCTGTTGTCCGACATCTCATGAAGCAGCATCGCCAAGTTGCACGGGCCAAGGAGGAAATTCAGCATTGTAACATTCAAATTCGCAGGTTACAAACCTCCATTTTTGACGAAGACAAGAAATTTCAAAAAGTTTTGGAGCATTTGAAGGACACTTCTATGTACTTCCCAGTCCATGACTTTATTAACCGCCGACGTGCTGTGAACCAGCTTCTCCTCAGCCGTATCTATCAAACGCAGGCTTTGCCTGGTTTCACTGGTAATAGGAACCCTGGGGTACGTGAAGGGTCTGAACCTCCGACGTCAACTTCTGTACCTGTGAATCTTGACCTTCCTGACCCTGACTCAGACGACGGAGAGGATGCTGAGGATGATGAAATAGTCGATGGGATGGGCGCTGTTATTGAGTATATGTCGAACCTATCTACCTAGACTCTATACTTTGAATAACTATATTTTTTGGCTAATTTTTGATTGAGTGGTTGGCCTCCGAACAGCGCCGGAACAGTGCACTCAATATCAGCTAAATGTCAATTTTCAGATGATACAGCGCCCTGTCATGTGAATCTATATACGTTGGGATGTTGAGGGGTTAATTAGTTATACAGCACCCGCAGGTGTTAAATACATCAAAATCTACATTGCATTGGATGATTATCAGAGCGACGAGGACCGAAGGTGGAGAGTAAGTTCATATAACTGTGATACAACTTGACTTGTGCACATTGAAATGGGCGACATGAGTGATATATATCAACACGTCGTCAGGATAGTAATTAATGGATGACAGAGTGGACAGTTGTAAGTAGACAACATAGTAATATGGTAACATAACATGGGCAAACGGTACAATTGACAAAAGAACGACGGTAACTGAGGAGGACGGCGTTGGAATGACGATGGAAGTAAAGGGCAGGGGCCATGCTAGAAATCATGAGGACACCTCGTGTTGAGTAGAGGAGGCAGCAGAAAAAATCAAGGACTCACCCGAAAAAGATTCTCAAAACCGCAACTTCTGTGTATGAGATGCAGATGACGTTGTATGTTAAGCTTTAGATGGTGGCTGCTAGATAGTAATTAAAGCAGCTGTGAACATGTGTGTTGGAAAGAGCAACGTTAGTAGCACTTACTTGGTACAAAAGTGCCCCAGAGATTATTAAGGAGAGAAGACGCATTGCATAGACAGAACACGTTCACAACAGAGTTGAGAATAGGATAGGGCGTTAAAGAGCTGTTCAGGTAGTGGCTGCTAAGCTAGTTAGCTCAGCTGTGTGCATGAGAGAGAGAACAGCATAGGCAGCACATACTTGTTATGAGGCATCCCTGGGGGAGAGAATGGCTTGTGCGGATGGAAAATGTTCACAAGCAGAGCTGGAGGATGGGACAAGATACGGCGTCGAAGAGCTAGAGAACAGGTGAGAAGTTTTAGGAAAGATAGTTTGAGAACTTACCACATTACAGGCTGGTAAAGGGTGTATCTGTGGCAACAAAACAGTGACAGAGAAAGCAAAGTTGCAGTGGTGGAGAGAGGTTGAAGACGTGGGAACAAAAATAACGGCGCTTTTCAGATATATTTTCTAACTCCCGAGGGCTAAATTTAAGGAACAGCACCCTCTTCAGAGCAGTTTCTCTACAGCAGATTAAGTTCGATAGGTGTATAACGTAGGGTATGTACTATATCACGCTGGTAAATCTGATGTACGGGCACAATGGGAGGTGCGTAAGCAGAATGAGCTACTAGGATCTGACAATTAATAACGAGCTGAAAGTTGTACCCTGTTGCACCTGTACTTATCATAATTACACCGTTTGTAGAATATCTTTCCACAAGATGCCTCCAGACCTTGCAGATGAGTTGTTTGAAACATTATCGACTTCAGTAGAGATGCTATATATTTTTGTTTGGTTGTCTTGCAATTTAGATGTTAGTTGAGCCTCGAGATAGATATCGAATATGACCTGGCTTTGCAACTGGACTCAGTGAGGTTGTTTCATCTGTTAGATACATTCTTGCATTCACATTATATCTTAGAATAAGAGTACTGTAAAATAACATTCAGATTATAGCTTAAGGTTTCCATGCATGAACTGTTTTCAAGTCAACTTCGACGTATTTCACTGTTACAACTCTTCCTGTCAATTCTTTACCATCTATGCAACTCTAATTTCAAGCGAGGAATTGTTCTTAATGGTGAATAGATTCAGCTCTTTGATTAATGTATGCTACGTTACAATGGCTCATTCTCGAATCCGAGTTCAGCTAGTGTAGAAAAGAGTTCAAGACCCATCTTCCATCGAGCCTTCTTTCGCAGCTTCTCCTCCCTCGCTTCTGCTGCTGTGAGCCCTGCATGATAATTTTCTTCGGACTGGAATCCACGGTTAACCCAACGAAAATTACCACCAGGTGCATACTGGGTAAATGAATAATGAACTTCCTTTTTACCAATGCATGTGTTTGAGTGGCGGCAGACACCAGATGGAATAGCGACGAGGGATCCAGGGGGGAATTCAACAACAAGTTTGAGATCCCATAGAATTATATGGCCCCCTTTCTTCCAGTTGTACCAACCTAGAGCCCATATCCAGCAGAGGTTAAAAGGTAGATTCCCGAAATCAATGTGAGGGAGGCAGATAGTCCGAGGTCCAAAGTTGAAAGCTGCGGCAGGAAGGACGCTGTTGTGGAATATACGCACTAGGGAGTGGTCGCTTGAGAGCAAGTCGTTGAAGTGGTCTTCACAATATCTGTATAAACGGGGCGCCCATGTCTTGAAAACGCCTAATGGCGAAGTGTTTTCAGTAAACCAACCACATGTAAATCAGCAACGTACCAGTAGCAAAACCCGAAAGGCGTTGAAACGGTTTGGAAGAAGTAAGTCGGTTGAGTGCTGACGCGTTTGCTTGGTTATGGACGATGTTCTGGGGGTGCTTTGCAGACGAACGTTAGAAAGGCTGAATCCACACCTGTGATAACAAAACATACCGTCCGCCCATTGCCGTGAGCGACACCAGTTGACAACGCTGGGAAGGAGCCCCTGCGATGCTCCTTCTGGTCAGCAGAGAAGGAGCACCGACTTCGCTCAGTCTGGATGAGACGAGCTGCTTCCTGCGCGCACTTTTTGATCCCAGGGTCGTCTGGGTACACCGCTAGGCCGTATATCCGACCGTCGGCATCAACAAAAGGTACGGTAGTTCTGTATACTGAAGTGAGAAAAGTGAATTATCAGCAGGCCAAGACGTACCCAGGTTTTGCCTCAATCAACTCGAAACGTTCGGCAGCTTCTGGCCCAATGAGCTCCTTCAACCACCAAGTT